CACACCGGCCTCTGGTGGCCTCATTTCTGTCTCTGGGGTCCCAAGACTAACCTTTAGGTGCCTCTGAGGGCCCCGCACTGAATTCTGAAGACCCGATGCCGGTCTCTAAGGGTCTGCATCGGCCTCTGAGGGCCCACCTTGGCCTATGAGGGCCCTCCGCTGGTCTCTAGGTTCCAACGCCGGCCCATGCCGGTCTGTTACGGCCCCACACTGACCTCTAAGGGCCCATGCTGACCTGTAAAGACCCACATTAGCCTCTGAGGGCCTTGCACTGGATTCTGAAGACCCGATGCTGGCCTCTGAGGCCCATATTGGTTTTTGAGGACCTTCTACTGGCCGCTGCAGGGTCCAACGTCGCCCCATGCCTGTATTTTAGGGTCCCGCGCTGACCTCTAGGGCCCATGCTGGCCTGGAAGGACCCACATTAGCCTCTGATGGCCCAAGTCGGCATCTAAAGGTCTCAAATTGCCCTTTGCAGGCTCTGTAGGTACTGGTCTCTGAGGGCCTTAACCCTCGCCGGCCGAGGGGGGGGGGGGTGCCGCCCCTCCATAGATTTTTTTTCGCGATAGCTCCTAACACGCCGGCGATAGAGAGCTGAAGCTTGGCATACCTGACCTTTGAATCAAGCCGGTTTTTTTTTTTTACACCAACCGCATTTTCGGGTCAGATCAGGTCACTGACCTATGAGGTCATAAGTGAACCTCTGCACGGTTTTCAGATGTCGCAGCTTCGCAACACCCTCACTGCCAGAGGAGATTTCACAGGGAAGTGAACCTTGAAGGACCTAGTATCCATTAGGAGTCTCACAACTTGTACATCTCGGACTTTTCCTAAAGGTCATATGAGGTCAGGTCATTTTCGTGACCTCACCATTAGGTATAAGTCAATGGGGATAAAATGAAAACTCTTTTCTGGCGCCGGGAATGATCTCCATATAGCTCAAGCACACCGAATCGTGATGATTTCATGCACTCCTTGCAAGGTTCGATTCGTCACTTTTGCAATGTTGACCTTGCGCGATGTCATTTATGACGTTATAAGGGTCATATTAGTTTTTAGTCAATAACTACCAATCAGATTGAGCTAGCGAGTCGGAAAAGCCACCAATGGACTCAGGAAGATCTGCCGAATCGAATGATATGCGACATGACCTCCTTCGACTAATTTCGTGGCCTGGGGGCGCTGACCTGACCGTGACCCAAGATCAACACCCTAAGTTTACCTCACCAAAACAAAAAGCATATCATTCGACGCGCCTGAGAGAGGCGAACACGATGCTGGCAAAATCGCGGCTCTGCGTCCGTTATTTACGAAGTTATTCACCAAAAACTGAACCGTATCTTGAGGCACTTGACCTGACCTTAGAGGTCACTGGTTGACCTAGGATCTTAAAATCGGGTATCGATCTCTGCGTCTCGTAACGGCGCACACGCTCGTTTTTTTCGCCTCCACCTGGGGCGAAACGGCGAGGGGGTCGTATCCGCCCCCGCCCCCTCGGTCGGCGCGTATGTAGAAAACCTATAGGTCCGGCGAGGGTTAACTGGCCTCTGAGGGCACAGACCGGCCTCTAAAAGTCCCACACCGGCCTCTGATAGTCAATCAGCCCAGTTGCAGTGGTCGCTGATATAAAACCTCTTAAAAACGTTACAGGCCTGGCTGAGCCTAGCTGGGCCGTTCATGCTGGTTTTTTTATAGGTATATTGAAAAGACTCGCTTTGCATGTTTCACGCTCCCTGGTAATGAAAAAGATACTGGATGCCTCTGGAATTTGCATGCGTGCCAACGGCTGCGGAGGACAGGTGAACGCGTCGATCAGTGGACGGGAGTCTCCCTGAAATTTTAACCAATTTTTTTTCTCGATTTGTTTTTTTAAACTCTGAGCATGTTTGCGAAAACAAAGTGGCCGAAATCCGAGGAGAAATTGGATTTTGGGGGTAGGTTAGGTTTTGGACCTCTGGAAGCCTGGCCCCCCCCCCAACTTTCGAAAACGTTCCTACGCCTGTGAGTCGCTAGAGTGATGAAAACGCCTTAGATCTGTTCGGCTCGACGATACGGATCGACTGATATGCAACATAACCTTTTTGATCACCAGAAGCAAACGCTACAGCGGGGGCCACTGGTTAAAAACAACTGAAAAGTGATACCTAGTTATCACCGATTCAAGTTAACTTCTCGGAGTCGGTGTCGAGGCAGCTTCACCGATTCCGACTCCGACTCCGACTCCTGGCTGCATGCCACGACTCCGGGCGACTCCGACTCCGACTCCGACTCCGAAAGCCTGTCTGAAACTATCTCAAGCATATAGAATCGTGATTTCATGTACTCCTTGCAAGGTTAGATGCTTCATGACGTCGTCACAAGGGTCATACATTTTTCTTCAATAACTCCCGATCAAATTGAGTTAGCGAATCGGGAAAGCCACAAGTGGACTCAGAAAGACCTGCCGAATCGAATGATATGCAACATGACATTACTCGATCAGCTTCATGACCTGAGAGCTCTGACCTGACCTTGTCACGAGTTCAATGCCTTAAATTGACCTAACCCCAGCAAAAAGTATATCACGCGATGCGCTTGAGCTAGGTGGGCACAATCATGCCAAAATCGCGGCTCTACGGCCTTTTTTGGCGAAGTTATTTACCAAAAACCGAACCCGTGCCTTAGGTGAAGTTAGGTCACTTGACCTGACCTCAGAGGTCACCGGTTGACCTGAGACCTTTAAAGCTTGTTGTTGTTGGAATAGAGACCTTTAAAGCGGATTCTTATCAGTCACTCTGCATTGTGCTCTGCCGCATACGACCACTTTACCGCTAAATTCTAGTTGAATTAGCGGCGCATTAGCGAGGTGGGTTCAATCAACCCTATCGGCCGGGGCAAATGTAGAAAGACGATGGTCCGGCGGGAAAATTTGAGGAATTCTGAAGATTCGATCGTGTTCTCCACTCAATTCCACGTAAGATGCCGGGTTCTGTACCTACATAACTTGAACGTAACGGATGCGGCGGCCGCAAACGTAAATCGAGGTCCCGAATTCCTTATTCCTCAACACAGGCGGCGGCCGGTTCCTGGTCTGCGCAATATGGCCACCATCACTATACACTACGGCCAATAGTGTTGAAGCGGCAGTGCTCCCCTGTGCTTTGGCCTCAAAGAACGATTCCATGACGGTTTTTCGTCCAGCAGATTTTCGTCGGACAATTTTTCGTCCGCAGATTTTCGTCCGACTTTTTTTCGTCTCGCATTTTTTCGTCCGTACATTTTTTCGTCCGGACATTTTTTCGTTCGTATATTTTTTCGTCTGTGCATTTTTTCGTCCGGACATTTTTTCGTCTACAATTTTAACGTAACGTAACGTGACGCAACCTAACCTAACCTAACCTAACCTAACCTAACCTAACCTCAGGCACGTACCCAGGATTTCGCCCAGGAGGGGGCCACCTGCTTCCGAAGGGGCCCTTAGGTCACCCGGGGGCCCCCAGGCCGCCCAGGCAACCAGGGACCCTCAGGGGTCCCAGGCAACCAGGGGCCCCCATGCGACCAGGCCCCCGCTACCAGGGACCCCTTGGCGACTAGGGGCCCCAGGCGATCAGGGGCCCATGCGACCAGGCCCCCCGGCTACCAGGGCCCCCTAGGCGACTAGGGACCCCAGGCAATCAGGGGCTCCCATGCGACCAGGCCCCGGTTACCAGGGCCCCCTAGGCGACCAGGGGCCCAGGAAATCGGGGGACCTCGGATGACTGCAGGGCCCCATCGGGTCATCAGGGGCCCCTCGGGTAACCAGGGGCTCATAAATGAAACTTTGATATCATTTTTTCTTCCTAGTAAAAGACGTTTTATCCAGTGTTTGATATACCGGGGCCTGAGGGGCCCCCTGAGCGCCTTCGGCGCTCAGGAGGGGGCCATGGCCCCCGTGGCCCCCCCTTGGGTACGTCACTGCCTAACCTAACCTAACCTAACCTTACCTAACCTTACCTACTGATGTTTGCCTACCGGGGGATAAGGAAAAAGTTACTTGCATGAATAGATTGCAAGCAATGGTAAGTCAAATATTTTTAGGTTAAGTGGTTATGCATCAGGCTTCAGGCCTTCGGCCTGAAGCCAGATACACAACCACTTAACCTTAAAATATTTGACTTACCCACTGAACTCTATAATGGACTTACCATTGCCTGTAATCTCTCCTAAGGCATTGCCTTCGGCACTGCACTGCTTCGCCCCGAGTATTATTATGACGTCATTTTCCTCACAGTTGAATAGCATTGTAGTATGTTTTCACTCAACCTTGGGTGCACAGACGTAAAATTTATTGAACGAAAAAATGTCCGGACGAAAATATGTACAGACGAAAAAATATACGAACGAAAAAATGTCCGGACGAAAAAATGTACAGACGAAAAAATGGACAGACGAAAAAATGCACAGACGAAAAAATGTACAGACGAAAAAATGCGAGACGAAAAAAAGTCGGACGAATATCTGCGGACGAAAAACTGTCCGACGAAAAAATGCCAGACGAAATTTTGTCCGGACACGCTCAAAGAACTTGTAAAGTGTTCAAAATTGTAGTTGAAAAAGATGCTATCTGAGCACAGAATCTGTTAGCGTCACGTGACTTGTCTTTAGTAGTTTATTGAGAATTTACTGATGTAATTATCAATTTACTGCTTTAAACAACCTTGATATACATTTAGAATTCTTATTACTTTTGAATAAGCTTTTGGTAAGGTCATAACATTGCAAATCACAAAAGTTTAAAAAATAGTCACGTGGGTGTCAAGGAATGTCACAGGTGCGTCAGATTTGTAACTGGGGACTTACCAGTGACCTCGAGGTCTATAGATAGCCTTCGTCAATGGCCTTTACCATTGACGAGTTCAACGGGCTTTACTTTCAAACATCGGGTCTACCAATAGATCAAGTCATAGATCAGACCAAGACTGATCAGACCAAGGGTATATAAACCTAGGCCGTATATATAAACCAGATCAGACTGTCTGTATATCTATGGGTCTACGCCTTGGGTCTACCTGTTTCTGATAGGTATCTTGCATTTCTCTGTCATGTGAGTGCTCAAACTGAAACCGGTAAGCGCAGGTCAAGGACCCCATTTTGGCTATCTCGACTCAAAACTAATGTTAAAGGGAGCCTCCCACCTTCAAAAAGTTTATGAATTGGCATGAAAGTGATATCGCTCGGTTCAGAAAGAGCGAAAACGAATATCTACCAAATTTCACCGAAAAATATTCACCGGTTTTCAAGATAATAGACTTTTACTTTTTTTTACTTTTTGGGATCTCCGCTGTTCCTAGCGACTTTATTTGGAAGCAATAGTTTGGCAGCTGAAAGTGCGACACTTATTGCGCGTAAAGCAGCATATACCACCGCGTGCTACAAAACGTTTTAGTCAAACATTTAAAAATTGTTAGATATCTGCACTGATGTCACACATTCAGAGGGGTATTCCAATGCATTAGCCCCTCTGAATCAAAATGCTGCAATTTTGAAATTCAATACCTATTTCTGATTTAAGGCATTTCTCGATGTTGTGAGTGCTGAAAACGGTAATTGTGAGCCAGGGACCCCATTTTGGCTATCTCAACTCAAATCTAATGTTAAGGTGGGAGGGTCCCTTTAAGGTGGGATGGTCACTTTAAATACCAGGAGCTCAAAGAGATCGGGTACTACAGGCTCTGAGCCTAAAAATACCGATACTGTAAGCAGCACATTTAAGGAACCACGATAAGTTAGCCCTTTTACTGGCAAGGGAGGTAATGTTTCCCGATTGCCCATGTTGGTCAGCAAGGGCCCCTCAGACCTGGGGTCCAACACCGGCTTCTAACACCAATAATTGAAAGACCCCTTTTTATAACTTAATATGATATCAGTGAAAGCCTTGTCAGTGCTGGAAATGAGGCCACTTTCTGGTCCCGGCGTTTTATTCTACGGGCGGGTTAATCCCGTCCAGCGTTAAGCATTTCGGGACCCACTCAGGGTCGCGGTTGTTTTTCCCGCTCGCCCCAGTTGAGATACAAAGTTATAGTCACGTGAAGCTTATTTAGGGCCAGCCAAACCAGCCTAGTCTGGAGTTACTGTTTATTATATGCATATGGTATGTACCGTAAACCGGGGTGACAATGATACCCAGGGTGACTTTGATCAAAGACCAGTTTCAGACCTAAAATGAGCATTTTACTGCTGTGAACTGTATATTCTATGCCAATGGGTAAATAAAGCAATGAAACATTATAGCAGACAATTCGGTCCCAGTTAAAATAATTCATGTTGATGTCACAGCTTGTTTTTTTTTGTCATTGGCATGAAGCATAAATTCGCTAGCATCTCCAGCAATAATAATGGTAAAGATGAGAAAGACCCAGGTAAAGAAAGAGAAAGCAAAGGCTTAGATACTGAGGATGGAGGATGAGCATTGAGCTGCCCTATCTCAATGGTAATTGGAGCATCAATGGGAAGTGAAAAAGACCATCAACTGGGAGGGGCATGAGCAGTGTGGCAAGTGGTCCCACAGCCACCAGCAGACAAAGGGTGATGTAGGTCCAGTGTTTCATTTTTCAGCCTTTTTGGTGGCAAATCACACCTAATGGGGAAAATATTTTCATCCCTAAAATATGAATGACTGACTTTACTTCATCTCTGAAAAGAGTTTCATGTATTCCCAACAGCCAGTTCACTTGTCACTTGACAGTTGATGCACCCACATCCTTTTGTTCCACACCCTGTCAAGATCCTGACATGAAATCCTGGTTTATCAGTTAGCATAAAAATTGGCATTACACCATTTTGCAAAAATACTGCAGTTATTTACTTTCTTTTTTTCATCTTAGGATTTTTTTCTTCATCGGCACACCCAACCAATATCCAATTTTAGAACACTGTGTAGGTCAGGTAGCCTGAGGCTTAGGACATCTATGACTGCTACTTAATCTTGAATTCAGAGGTTAAAGTAGCTAATTTTGCTGCTTATAGCTCTGTAATGTGAGTTAAGACCTGGAGCATGCAACTTTATTTTAATACCTCAATGATTCATAGTTTTGCTATAAAATGTGTGAGTTTTTGTCAAGTAAAGCCTTTGATTTTTATTTAAAACATGTAAGTTTATCACACAAGCCTCTTCTGAGGGCTGTTATGGCACATATAAGGTGGTTTTATTGTAGTGATCATAGTTACCCCGACCTCTGGGTGAGAATGATCGTTTTTTTTTGTTAAAAAATAAAATATTTATGATAAATTTCAAGACATTAACTGTACTCAGTTAGATAGAGAATTGTACAATTGGTATGATTGGTCAAAAGTGATACAAACCCCGGTTTACGGTAGGTATCACTTGACAGGAAAATATTGATAATGTTGCACATGAGTCTTGTTTTTTGTCTCTCCATCAGGGGCGCAGCCGGGGGGGGGGGGGGGGAGGCACACTGGTCTTAACCTTCCAGGCGGTGGAGGGGGGCATTTTTTGCCCCCCTTTAGTTTTTTCGATATAGCTCAAGAACCGCTGCGCCGATCGTCACCAAACTTTCAGTACCCTCCCGGGAGTAGCTAGCGCACATGGTGACCAAAATTTTTTCCAAAGGCTATGATAGGTTGGCCGCTAATGACGTCAGAGTGACGTCATTTTTGCCATTTTCGACCCAAAAAAGGTTTCGCGGGAAGAGCTGTCAGGCCTACAGCTTTAGAGATACAGAAAAATGTTCCAGACATAAAAGGTGTGGAATCAAGAGGGCTACAAAACTGCTATTTCGGTTTTTCGAATTTTTTGGATATCCATTTCAGGCATCGTCGGTTGTTTCTTGTAGTTCATTTTGGGTCAGGGTCAGGTCAGTGACGTCACACGCTTGACGTGACCCAATGCACAAATGACCTTGCAGACTTCCGATTCTCCCAATGCATCATTTTTAGAGTTATGACATCGAAATACACACCAAACGATAGAGAATTGATCAAGGATCACGATAGTGAAGGTTTCAAGTCGATATCTCTTACCGTTTTGCCGCAATCGGCGCGAATATCTGAAAAGTTAGATTTTTCCGAAAATTTGACCTTTGACCGGTCATAAGTAGGTCAAATGTTGACCTAGGACCAAAAAATATACCACCAATCGCGAGATCTCGTTAAGAGCAATCCGTTGATCTGCTAAGCTCTACGACGTTCCGTTTTCAAACGCCAGGGTGGGGGGGTCGCACTAACCCCCCCCCCCTGCATGGGCGAAGGTGGCAAAACACCGTTTACGGGCGAGGGTTAACGCTTTTTTTAAAAGAAATGTAGATCATGTGGAGTGGAATCGACTGTTGTTTAAATTATGAAAATAGGCCGATATTGAAAATCTTGAGATGTCAAAGGGGTCGTAAACAGCCCCTGCCACCAAAAGAGGTAGCCATTAGCCGGGAGCCCGCCACCAATAGGGTTAATTAGGTTGTTCATTGACTCATTTCCTCTACAGGTTTTGGTTTACAGAAGAGCCAACTAGCAGCTGGCACATGTTGGTCTCCCATGATGGCAATCTTGTGGCAGTTGCTTGTCATCATTCTAATTTCCAACTGCCATCTAGTTTTTGGAGATGCTCAAGACAGGTGCATCCTGGATCTGCAATTAACCAGCATTAATAAGTCATATGATCTGATAAGGTATGAATGTCTCATGTCTTGCTCATTAGTGTGGGTATGAGGGGCTTATCTGTGGTTGAATTTCGGGTCAGAGCAATGGTTAGGTCACCAATGATCAAATGCTCTGTGTACTCTGTGTGCTGTGTGCGCAGTGCCGCGCTCGGCCCGGTGTCGGGCCGCCGTTCAGCTCTGTGTGCTGTGTGTGCTGTGTGGCAGTGCCGGCCGTTCAGCTCTGTGTGCTGTGTGCGCAGTGCCGCGCTCGGCCCGGTGTCGGTGTCGGCCCGGTGGTCGGGCCGCCCGGTGGTGGCCGCCGTTCAGCTGTGCGCCGCCGGCCCGTGCGCCGCTCCGTCGGCGGCCTGTGTCACCTCCGGCGATGGACAGCCTCTGGTGGCGGACGCCGGCCGGCTCACCAACAGCACCGGTGAGCACGGCGGTCAGCCGGCCAGCCGCTGGTCCAGGCCAGCCGGGGAGGCCCGAGGCAATCAGAGGGAGGCTCAGGGACAGGGCTGGAGCAGGCGACAGCGCGCCACGATTTTCCCCATGTGCGCAAAAAAGCAAATTGGAGGATGTGACCAAAAAGATTAGGTAGTTGAGGTGAATGGGCCTGCTTAAGACGGAAGCAGGGCAGTGACGTATGTTTTAATTTTTATGCGTAGATCTTGGCCCCTAGGAGGTTTTTGGTGGCAGCTGCACTGGGCGATACTGTACCGTTTGCTGCTGAGGAGAGTGCTGCTATAGATCGTTGGTACGTGTGCTGCCAGTTTGCTGTGTGACCGCTGCTCTGGCGACTGAGTGTTGTGTGCTGTGTGCACCAGCTCTGGTGGTGAAGGACAGCTCTCAGCTGCAGCTGGACCTGGCGCCCGGCCAGCCGTGCAGCAGCCAAGGGCGCAACACCACCTTTAACACGACGGTGTTGTTTGTCTGCGATCCGTCGGACCAGGTGAGCGGCGCCCAGCGGCCGGCCTCAGTGGTGCGCGGCCGGCAGCCGCGCAGACTGGTGGCTCTCTGCTCCGCCAGAGGGCGGCGCGTCAGTAAATGGCTCTAGGTCGGACAAGGGTTTTCACTATCGGTGGATTCGGCATTTTCTGTAAACCAATGTGGGTGTTTTTTGGGTGACCTCTGATCTGGCGCCGGTACCCTCAGGAGTCTGAGCGGCAACGTCCGCTGGCCGTGTTTGGGGACTGCTCTCTGACCGTCATCTGGTACACGGCGGGCGCGTGCGGCCGACCGGCCGCCGCGCCGGCCGCCTGTCCGCTGCTCGCCTACGGGCCGCTGCGCTCCCGGCCGGGCCTGGCCGGCCTGGCGTCCGCTCGCTGGAGCGCCGTCGGCGCCGGCGTGTCGGTGCAGGCGCGGCTGTGCGGCGGCGGGGACGGGCCGTGCGCCGGCGCGCCCCTCTGTGTCACCGCCGGCGGCCGCGCGCAGGCTGTGGGCTCCGCCGACCGGCCGCCGCGGCTGGCGACCACCGCCAACGGTAGCGTCACGCTCACCTACGGGCCGTCCGACGGAGGTGAGCCGCCGCTGTCCCGGGCTGGGAACGCCCCCACAGCCGGGCCCGGCCCCAGCCTCTCACCGTGGACTGCTGTATCGGTGTCTGTGTGTCTGTCCATGTCTGCGCCCGCCGCCGACCGCTGTCTCGGTGTCTGTCTGTCTGTCTGTGTGCGGGCCGGCGGCTGACGCTGGCCGCGCTGTCCCCAGAGCGGGCCGAGGTGGCGCTGCGCTGTCGGGAGGAGGCCGGCGCCGGGCGGCTGCTGGTCGTCGGCCACCGCCAGCCGCGGCTGCTGCAGCTCGCGCTGGAGACGGCCGTGGTCTGCCCCGTCCGCCGTGTCGACTGCCGGGTGAGGAGGGACGGCCGGTGGTAACGGTGGGGGGGGGACGGCCGGTGGTAACGGTGGGGGGGGGGGGGGGGACGGCCGGTGGTAACGGTGGGGTGGGAGGGACGGCCGGTGGTAACGGTGGGGTGGGGGACGGGCGGCTGGCGGTATCGTTAGGGTGGGAGGGACGGCCGGTGGTAACGGTGGGGTGGGAGGGACGGCCGGTGGTAACGGTGGGGTGGGAGGGACGGCCGGTGGTAACGGTGGGGTGGGGGACGGGCGGCTGGCGGTATCGTTAGGGTGGGGAGGGTGGGGAGGTATGACGGTGGCGTTAGGGTGGGGAGGTATGACGGTGGCGTTAGGGTGGGGAGGTATGACGGTGGCGTTAGGGTGGGGAGGTATGACGGTGGCGTTAGGGTGGGGAGGTATGACGGTGGCGTTAGGGTGGGGAGGGTGGGGAGGTATGACGGTGGCGTTAGGGTGGGGAGGTATGACGGTGGCGGCAACCGGCTGACGCCTCCCCCGTCCCAGGTGACCGCGGAAGACGGTACCGTCCGCGACCTGAGCGCGCTCTCTCTGGAGACGGGCGCGTGGGAGACAGCTGACCGGGCCGCCGGACGCGCCGGCGACCGCTTCTTCATCAACATGTGCCGCGCGCTGGGCGGCGACAGCGGCGCGGCGCTGTGCGGAGGTGGGCAGCCGCACCGGGGCCCGCCGTATGTCAGCGGGCTCCGATCGCCTGTATGTGGCGCCGGGCTGCTGTGCATTTTGTTTGTTTGGTATCTCGCTGGATATCTACATTGTGAATATGACGTCATTATCCTTGGACACGTATCTGTCGTGATTGGTGCCATCGGCTGCAGCTGGCTCCTGGTGACGTCATCTGTGTCTCGTTGTTGCAGGGGTAGTCGGCACCGCGGTGTGTCTGCTCTCTGGCCGCGCCAGCCCCGCCACTCGTGACGTCATCTGTGTCTCGTTTCAGGCGTGGCCGGCACCGCGGTTTGTTTGCGCGCGGAGACGGGCGACCCGGTCAGCCTGGGCGCCGTGGCCGGACCGCCCTCTCGGATGGCCGACGGCTCGATATCCATCGTGTACTCCAGTGAGTGGGCCGGGCGGCCGGCGGCAGCGTGCCGCACTGCAGCCGGCTCCGAGCTCACAGGACTTACAGCTTTATGGAGAGCTCTCAGCTCGGAAGTATTGCTCGAACCGATATCGGGATCAACCGTTGTCCTCATATACAAACCTTCTGCGAGCTGCGACAATTCAGCAGCCGGCCGGTGAATTGTTACAATAGAGTTTACCTGATGGCATGTTCTGATTCACACCTGCGCCGTCAGTCAGGCGCGGTGCCGTGTGTTGTCTCGGTCGGTCTGACCGCGGTGCCGTGTGTTGTGGGGCTGTCAGCGGCTGACCGCGGTGCCGTGTGTTGTGGGGCTGTCAGCGGCTGACCGCGGCGCCGTGTGTTGTCTCGGTCGGTCTGACCGCGGTGCCGTGTGTTGTCTCGGTCGGTCTGACCGCGGTGCCGTGTGTTGTCTCGGTCGGTCTGACCGCGGTGCCGTGTGTTGTGGGGCTGTCAGCGGCTGACGGCGCCGTGTGTTGTCTCGGTCGGTCTGACCGCGGTGCCGTGTGTTGTGGGGCTGTCAGCGGCTGACCGCGGTGCCGTGTGTTGTGGCTGTCAGCGGCTGACCGCGGTGCCGTGTGTTGTGGGGCTGTCAGCGGCTGACCGCGGTGCCGTGTGTTGTGGCTGTCACCGGCTGACGGCGCCGTCCTGTTACAGACGGCTCCCCGTGCGGTGGCGACCGGTACAGCTCCGAGCTGCAGCTGGTCTGCGGCCCGCTCAGGGACGGCGCGCCGCTGCTGCTCGGCCGCGCCCACTGCCGCTTCACCTTCCTCTGGGAGACGGTGGTCGCCTGCGGACGCCAGGTCAGGCCCGCTCAGCTGGTACTGCCGTGCCGCGTGTGCCGCCGGTCGTACCCTACCCAGTACCCGGCGGCGGCCGGGGCCGGTGCAGCGGTCCGTTCGTCCCTCTGACGGCCCCGTCCGGCCGGCAGGAGAGCTCCGGCGGCCGGTGCGCGGTGGTGGAGCCGCTGTACGGACACCGGCTGGACGTCAGCGCGCTGCGCCGGCCCGACTCGGACTACGCGCTGCCGCTGGACGGCGGCGGCACGCTCTACCTGAACCTCTGCGGCCCGCTGGTGCGCCGCTGCGCCGGCGCCGCCGGACAGGGCGCCTGTCTGCTGCACGCCAACGGCACCGAGCTCTCCTACGGTGAGGCAGGGACACGGAGCGCGGCAGGGACAGGTACCGACCCAGCGGACGGGACTCCAGTACCGCTGGGACTGGGCGCTGAACGCGCACAGTCGCAGCCTCTCAGGATCGCAACATGGCGACCGACCCAGCACCACAGGCCAGCTCAGCATCGCACCAGGCGCGAACTAAATGCGCTGCACGACACCCGACAGCTGATCATATTTTTGTTTTTTATCCTTATTGTTAATTTTATCTTTTAACGCTCCATGGTGTGACGCTAGTCATAACCCCATTGTTGCTTTTTCAGCATATGTTTGAATATCTCATGGGGTGGAGACTTCCACTGGCGTCCAACTGGCGTCTAACTGAGCAGACGTTCAAGTTGGCGGCTAACTTGGCGTCTAACTGTTGGACGGAGACTTCCAAGCAAGACGCGTCTAAAGTTAGCTGTCGCCAGATAGACGCAGCTGCCGTCCAGCTAGACGCGTCTAAGACTTAGACGCGTCTAGCTAGACACGAAATGGAAGTCTCCACCCATTGTCTTAGATATTGTGGCATATTATGCTCTCTCTCTCTCTCTCTCTCTCAGTCTCTCTCTCTCTCTCTCTCTCTCTCTCTCTCTCTCTCTCTCTCTCTCTCTCTCTCTCTCTCTCTCTCTCTCTCTCTCTCTCTCTCTCTCTCTCTCGCTCTCGCTCTCGCTCTCGCTCTCGCTCTCTCTTTTTTCTCTCTCTCTCTTTTCTCTCTCTGTGCGTGACACCCGTCCTCCCCGGTGCAGACGTCGCCAGCTCCCGGCTGTGGCGCTGTCTCTCTGTGCGTGACACCCGTCCTCCCCGGTGCAGGCGGCGCCAGCTCCCGGCTGTGGCACTGTCTCTCTGTGCGTGACACCCGTCCTCCCGGTGCAGGCGTCGCCAGCTCCCGGCTGTGGCACTGTCTCTCTGTGCGTGACACCCGTCCTCCCCGGTGCAGGCGTCGCCAGCTCCCGGCTGTGGCACTGTCTCTCCGTGCGTGACACCCGTCCTCCCCGGTGCAGGCGGCGCCAGCTCCCGGCTGTGGCACTGTCTCTCTGTGCGTGACACCCGTCCTCCCCGGTGCAGGCGTCGCCAGCTCCCGGCTGTGGCACTGTCTCTCTGTGCGTGACACCCGTCCTCCCCGGTGCAGGCGGCGCCAGCTCCCGGCTGTGGCACTCGGACGGCGTGCTCTCGCTGCGGCTGACGGGCGGCGCGCGCTGCGGTCCGTCCGCCAACCACTCGACTCGCGTGGTGTTCACGTGTGACCAGCGGGCGCCGGCGGCCGCCGAGCCGGGCCTGGTGCACCTGGGCTGCACCTCGTTTGTGGTGGTGCCGACCCGCCTGGCGTGTCCGCCGCGCCGCGCCGCCGACTGCCGCACGCCGGTCAGTCGAGCCGGCGACAGCCTCCACCCGCTCCTTCTCGGCAATGCTCCCACCAATCACACTGTAGCTCGAAGTGACTTTAGAATAATGAGTGAAATACTTGGGACAGTTACCTTTCCTAGTGTGTGAGCTAGGCTTAATAATTGGTCCAATTCATTAAACTAGGTTGATGGTGAATGTGTAGGACAGACCTCTGCGACACCATGGTGTCATTTTGTACGACACCTGGCGCCGTCCGCTGGGCGCTAAGTGACCCTCCCCGCACGACCAACAGGACGGCCGGTTCGACCTGAGCGCTCTGACGGCGCTCACCGGCAACCACGAGTACCGCGAGCCGGGCGCCACCTACGTGCTGAACGTGTGCCACTCGGTGAACCCCGAGCAGGGCGTCAACTGCCCGCCGGACGCGGCCGTCTGCCTGGTGCGGCCCGCCGGCAACGGCACAGGGCGCAGGTGAGGGTCTCGGGGAGGTGCACGGCGCGGGGGAGGGTCCCGGGGAGGCGCACGGCGCGGGGGAGGGTCTCGGGGAGGCGCACGGCGCGGGGGAGGGTCTCGGGGAGGCGCACGGCGCGGGGGAGGGTCTCGGGGAGGTGCACGGCGCGGGGGAGGGTCCCGGGGAGGCGCACGGCGCGGGGGAGGGTCTCGGGGAGGTGCACGGCGCGGGGGAGGGTCCCGGGGAGGCGCACGGCGCGGGGGAGGGTCCCGGGGAGGTGCACGGCGCGGGGGAGGGTCTCGGGGAGGCGCACGGCGCGGGGGAGGGTCTCGGGGAGGCGCACGGCGCGGGGGAGGGTCCCGGGGAGGCGCACGGCGCGGGGGAGGGTCTCGGGGAGGTGCACGGCGCGGGGGAGGGTCTCGGGGAGGCGCACGGCGCGGGGGAGGGTCCCGGGGAGGCGCACGGCGCGGGGGAGGGTCTCGGGGAGGCGCATGGTGCGGGAAGGGTGAGGACACTCCAGAGACGGGCAGCCGGCCGTGGGACGGGTCGGTTGGCCCGCGCGCCAGCTGCGTCCGGGTGAGGGAGCCCGCGCCCCGGCCTGCCGCCAGCTACACGAGCCTGGGCGCCGTGTCGGCCGGCCCGACCGTGGACGGCGACCGCCTGCTGCTGCGCTACTCGACCGGACAGCGGTGCGACGGCGACCCGGCGCGACGGCTGCGCGCCGCCGAGATCCGCTTCAGCTGCGACCCGACCGCGCAGGTGGGTCGGACGGCCGCGGAGGAGAATCCGTACCGACTTGTAACGGGCGGGAACATTCACTAAGATATCAGCACTTTTGTCGCACCCTATGCTGCAGTGTGTCGCCTCCGGTACCGTGCGTATTTGCCGTAGTCTGGCACGGCGTCTTACCGGGCCGGGTGTGCGTATCAGGGCACCCAGCCGCGGCTGGTCTCCACGGACGACTGTGTGTTCCGGTTCGCCTGGACGACGGCCAGCGCCTGCCCGCTGCAGCAGACGCGGGGAGCGGCCAACTGCTCCGTGGAGAACCCACAGACCGGCTTCAGGTGAGCCCCCGCAGACCCCACAGACCGGCCACAGGTGAGCCTGCAGAACCCACAGACCGACTACCCTGCTGAGCCCACAGACCGGCGACAGGCACGGGTTCGACCTGTTTCCCGAGTGCACTCTGTGTGTGACCTGTGACCGGTGACCGGTGACCTGTGACCTGTGACCGGTGACCTGTGACCTGTGACCTGTGACCGGTGGCCGGTGCCGGCAGGTTCGACCTGTCGCCGCTGGCGCGGCCCGGTGGCTACTCTGCCTCGCTGCGGGACAACCAGTACCGGCTGAATGTGTGCTCCCCGCTGCCGGCGACGGCTGGCTGCCCGGCCGGAACGGGTAGGTACTCAGCGCACTCTCAGCGACACTGGCAGGACGGTGGTGTGAAAGCCGACGCTGGCCTGGCTAGGCCTAACATGAGTTTTGTGGAGCAACTGTGTGCCTTATCATTCTTGGACGCTGCTGTTACTTCAGTAGGAGTGCCGCTGTAGTTTCGGTGACGCGGTGTTGTTTGCCCCCCAGGAATATGTAAGACCGCCGCCGCCAGCCCGGCCGGCAGTGTCAGTGTGGGCGCGGCGAGTGGGAACCTGGTGTACGACGCCGGCGTCCTGCTGCTCTCCTACGGGTAACTCGCCGATTCCGCCATCGTGGGGACACATAGTCGATATTAACGCAACAGCTTCATCATTACGTGGAAAGACAGGCGCGCTAGTTGATTGTACAGGAAGCTAGAATCGATGACTAGTTTATTGCAATTCCAATTTAATCCGATTCTGAAGCCGGTGAGCAATGTGACATCCATAGCCCACTGAACTCGTATTGATACAATTTCTATAAATATTCCGGCAATACTATATCCATTTATTTCTGTTTCCGGAGTGACCCAATGACTGATGTGGCGTCCAGCCGCAATAGCCGCTCGGCTCCCGGTCGCTGACGCGGCTGCGCCCCTCTGCACAGTGAAGGTGCGCCGTGCGATGGAGGCGGCCGTTACAGCACCGTGATCAGCTTCTTCTGCGGCCCGGACGGCGAGCCGTCGACGGCGCACGTGGTGGAGGACGACCGGTGCGCCGTCACCGTCCACTGGCCCACCCAGCTGGCCTGCGAGACCCGGGTGGGTGCTCATCTCTCCATCTCTGGCCGTCTGGTACGGCCGCTGTGTGCGTGGAGGGGGCTGTGAGTGCGGCCAGGGTGTGCCGCTCGGCCGTCACCTCTGGGCTCCGTCCGCCGCAGGTGGAGTGCGCCGTGGACACGCCGGACGGCCTGGTGGACCTGCGCGCGCTGGCGGCACTGGGTGGCGCGTCCCCCGATCCGCGCGCACGACCGGCCGGCAGCGACGACCAGACCTACCGTGTCGGTGTGTGTCGACCTCTGGCGCCGGCCGCCGGGCGGGCCTGTCCGGCCGGCAGCGCCGCCTGCCGCTCCAGCGGCTCACAGCACCAGGTGAGACACCGCAGCGGCTCACAGCACCAGGTGAGACCCCGCTGCGGCTCACAGCACCAGGTGAGACCCCGCAGCGGCTCACCACCAGGTGAGACCCCGCCTCGCCTGTGAAGACCCCGCCTCGCCTCACTGCCGCTCCAGCGGCTCACAGCACCAGGTGAGACACCGCAGCGGCTCACAGCACCAGGTGAGACCCCGCTGCGGCTCACAGCACCAGGTGAGACCCCGCAGCGGCTCACCACCAGGTGAGACCCCGCAGCGGCTCACAGCACCAGGTGAGACACCGCAGCGGCTTACTGCACCAGGTGAGACGCCGCAGCGGCTCACTGCACCAGGTGAGACACCGCAGCGGCTCACTGCACCAGGTGAGACACCGCAGTGGTTCACAGCACCAGATGAGGAACCGCAGTGGCTCACTGCACCAGGTGAGACCCCGCAGCGGCTCGCAGCACCAGGTGAAAGACCACCGGGGAACGACGGCGGATGTGGCGATAGCAAAGCACAGGTGCGATCGAACATCTACAACAACAGAATTGTTCAGACTTTCTACCGACAGGTTTCAATTACCGTATCGTCGACTACAGAATGATGTTCCACTTTTCACAGGCGATTATTTGCCTGGGGTGGTAGGCTGTGCCGCATCACACGGCTGAGTTCACAAATTATAGCTTTGCCCCAATGCTCACAATCGACACGCCTAATTGCGTGATAAACGGCACAACTTAGCGCTCCGGTCAACTGATAGCTTCTGAGGAGTTGAACATCATTCTACTCGTATAGTCGACTATACATTGGGCGTCTTAGACCTCAGAGATATGAAGGAGTGTTTTGTGAACACGGGCGTCGACCAGTAGCAATGAAAGGAAGGTCGATCTGATCTGTCGGCGCTGACCTGGGCGAGCTGACCGGTGGTCTCCGCGGCAGGGCTTGGGTCACGTGGTATCTCCGCCGCGGTTCAGCACCGACCACGTGACGCTGACGTACGAGCACGGGTCGCCGTGCGCCGGGCAGCCGGGCCGCAACTTGTCCACAGAACTGCAGCTCTACTGTAACGCCTCGCAGCCGGCCACGGTCAGTGTGCAAGACAGGAAGGGGATTTGAGAAATCTCCCAGAGAGGTGTCTGACCGGGCCGTCCCTCTGTGGTAGGAGAGCCGTCCCTCTGTGGTGGGAGAGCCGTCCCTCTGTGGTGGGAGAGCCGTCCCTCTGTGGTAGGAGAGCCGTGCCTCTGTGGTGGGAGAGCCGTCCCTCTGTGGTAGGAGAGCCGTCCCTCTGTGGTAGGAGAGCCGTCCCTCTGTGGTAGGAGAGCCGTCCCTCTGTGGTGGGAGAGCCGTCCCTCTGGTGGGAGAGCCGTCCCTCTGTGGTGGGAGAGCCGTCCCTCTGTGGTGGGAGAGCCGTCCCTCTGTGGTGGGAGAGCTGTCCCTCTGTGGTGGGAGAGCCGTCCCTCTGGTGGGAGAGCCGTCCCTCTGTGGTGGGAGAGCCGTCCCTCTGGTGGGAGAGCCGTCCCTCTGGTGGGAGAGCCGTCCCTCTGTGGTGGGAGAGCCGTCCCTCTGTGGTGGGAGAGCCGTCCCTCTGTGGTGGGAGAGCCGTCCCTCTGTGGTGGGAGAGCCGTCCCTCTGTGGTGGGAGAGCCGTCCCTCTGTGGTGGGAGAGCTGTCCCTCTGTGGTGGGAGAGCCGTCCCTCTGGTGGGAGAGCCGTCCCTCTGTGGTGGGAGAGCCGTCCCTCTGTGGTGGGAGAGCCGTCCCTCTGTGGTGGGAGAGCTGTCCCTCTGTGGTGGGAGAGCCGTCCCTCTGGTGGGAGAGCCGTCCCTCTGTGGTGGGAGAGCCGTCCCTCTGGTGGGAGAGCCGTCCCTCTGCGGTAGGAGAGCCGTCCCTCTGTGGTGGGAGAGCCGTCCCTCTGTGGTGGGAGAGCTGTCCCTCTGTGGTAGGAGAGCCGTCCCTCTGTGGTAGGAGAGCCGTCCCTCTGTGGTGGGAGAGCCGTCCCTCTGGTGGGAGAGCCGTCCCTCTGTGGTGGGAGAGCCGTCCCTCTGTGGTGGGAGAGCCGTCCCTCTGTGGTGGGAGAGCCGTCCCTCTGTGGTGGGAGAGCCGTCCCTCTGTGGTGGGAGAGCCGTCCCTCTGTGGTGGGAGAGCTGTCCCTCTGTGGTGGGAGAGCCGTCCCTCTGGTGGGAGAGCCGTCCCTCTGTGGTGGGAGAGCCGTCCCTCTGTGGTGGGAGAGCCGTCCCTCTGTGGTAGGAGAGCCGTCCCTCTGTGGTGGGAGAGCCGTACCAGTCTGTGGTAGGAGAGCCGTCCCTCTGTGGTAGGAGAGCCGTCCCTCTGTGGTAGGAGAGCCGTCCCTCTGTGGTGGGAGAGCCGTCCCTCTGTGGTGGGAGAGCCGTCCCTCTGTGGTAGGAGAGCCGTCCCTCTGTGGTGGGAGAGCCGTCCCTCTGTGGTAGGAGAGCCGTCCCTCTGTGGTAGGAGAGCCGTCCCTCTGTGGTGGGAGAGCCGTCCCTCTGTGGTAGGAAAGCCGTCCCTCTGGTGGGAGAGCCGTCTCTCTGCGGTAGGAGAGCCGTCCCTCTGTGGTGGGAGAGCCGTCCCTCTGTGGTGGGAGAGCCGTCCCTCTGTGGTGGGAGAGCCGTCCCTCTGGTGGGAGAGCCGTCCCTCTGTGGTGGGAGAGCCGTCCCTCTGTGGTGGGAGAGCCGTCCCTCTGTGGTGGGAGAGCCGTCCCTCTGTGGTGGGAGAGCTGTCCCTCTGTGGTGGGAGAGCCGTCCCTCTGGTGGGAGAGCCGTCCCTCTGTGGTGGGAGAGCCGTCCCTCTGTGGTGGGAGAGCCGTCCCTCTGTGGTAGGAGAGCCGTCCCTCTGTGGTGAGAGAGCCGTACCAGTCTGTGGTAGGAGAGCCGTCCCTCTGTGGTAGGAGAGCCGTCCCTCTGTGGTGGGAGAGCCGTCCCTCTGTGGTGGGAGAGCCGTCCCTCTGTGGTAGGAGAGCCGTCCCTCTGTGGTGGGAGAGCCGTCCCTCTGTGGTAGGAGAGCCGTCCCTCTGTGGTAGGAGAGCCGTCCCTCTGTGGTGGGAGAGCCGTCCCTCTGTGGTAGGAAAGCCGTCCCTCTGGTGGGAGAGCCGTCCCTCTGCGGTAGGAGAGCCGTCCCTCTGTGGTGGGAGAGCCGTCCCTCTGTGGTGGGAGAGCCGTCCCTCTGTGGTGGGAGAGCCGTCCCTCTGTGGTGGGAGAGCCGTCCCTCTGGTGGGAGAGCCGTCCCTCTGTGGTGGGAGAGCCGTCCCTCTGTGGTGGGAGAGCTGTCCCTCTGTGGTGGGAGAGCCGTCCCTCTGTGGTGGGAGAGCCATCCCTCTGTGGTAGGAGAGCCGTCCCTCTGTGGTGGGAGAGCCGTCCCTCTGTGGTGGGAGAGCCGTCCCTCTGGTGGGAGAGCCGTCCCTCTGTGGTGGGAGAGCCGTCCCTCTGTGGTGGGAGAGCCGTCCCTCTGTGGTGGGAGAGCCGTCCCTCTGTGGTGGGATAGCCGTCCCTCTGTGGTGGGAGAGCCGTCCCTCTGTGGTGGGAGAGCCGTCCCTCTGTGGTGGGAGAGCCGTCCCTCTGTGGTGGGAGAGCCGTCCCTCTGTGGTGGGAGAGCCGTCCCTCTGTGGTGGGAGAGCCGTCCCTCTGTGGTGGGATAGCCGTCCCTCTGTGGTGGGAGAGCCGTCCCTCTGCGTCTGACGGCGCCGCCTCTCTGACAGGAGAGCCGCCCGGAGTGGCCGCTCTACGCCGACTGCCGGTACACGTTCCGTTGGCGCTCGGCGGCCGCGTGTCCTCTGTCGCCGGCCAGTGGGCGTGCCCGGCGCCAGTGTCTGGTCGGCCGGCCCGACGGCACCGTCCTCGACCTCAGCACGCTGACGGCCCAACAGTCGGAACAGGTAACAGACCTTCAGAACTGGTAACACGTGTCACAGGCAGTCAGAACAGGCAACATACAGACAGAACAAGTAAGAAGCTGACAGATACAGGCGATCAGGGTACTCCCTGGACGGGCAACACGCACCGGCGTCAGCTGACAGTTTGTGCCGCTCATAACGCAGCTAATTTGATACAGCCCTTTTTCACGATCAGCGCGGAAACGGTCAATTATGTGGTAAGCGGCACAGGTTATGTTTCCTGTGAACTGGTGGCTCAGGATGGGTGGGGGTTGGTTCTTAGGCCACACAGAGCCTGTGACACAGTGCGCTCTGTGCCGCGGCGTTTGCTGCTGAGGCGGCGCGCTAGGGGTGCCGTGCCGTGGGTCGTGAGCGCCGAGACACTAGGAGGGGGGCCAGCGGAGCGTCGGAGTGACCCCGCCGCCGTCCGACCGAGACCGGCTCGGCGCCTGCGGACGGGCCGTGTCCGCCGGCAGGCAGTGTCCGTGCCCGCGGCGTTCCTCACCATCCGGGACGCCGTCAGTGCCGCGCGCTCGGGCCGCCGTGGCCCTCCGCGCGCCGATGTACAGCGCTTCCACAGACCTGTTGGACGATGCGGCGGTCGTGCCCCGTCTGCGGAGTCCCGGCGCCCCCGCGCGCCCGGCTGATGTTGGAGGCTCGGTGCCGGCGGCGTCAGTCGGACTGCCGGCCCAGCCGTCCTGTTGAAGCCGTTACCGGGCCCTTCCCGTTCGTGTCTGCCGGCCCTGTGTGATTTAAATCAGCTGGGGGCTGATGGCGCCTTACTCCTAAGTTCTGGAATTTAAACAAAGTCACACTATCCTCTGCTTAACGGAAGCATTTGGTTATTTCTTTTCTTTCTTTATACACCATCCATCAAACAAGTTTTAAGGGAAGTAATTACACGTACTCGTTTTTGATCATGTGATCTGAGTGAGGTTCGGCCGTGAGTGGCACACGTGCTTGGTTCGCCTGTGGACTGGTGCGCGAAGCTGAGTCCGATTAAAATGCTGGCGTGTCCATTGGCCGACGGGTCTTTGCCGGTACTGGGGCCATTGGATGTGCCCGTGGAATTTCCACCGGCCCGGACTGTGCCGTGGGGTCGCCGGGCGCGGGTCGGGACTGGCTGGCGCTGATCGCTGCCGCCAGTGAATGGCAGCGGCTGCGTACTGACGTGTCGGGCACTGTCCGACACCCGGCGGGCGGGGCGGGCCCCACGGCGCGGGAACGGGGGCGGCAGGGAGGCGCCGCGCCGGCACTGGACGGCGGCGGGAGACAGGCGGTACTTGACGTAGATACACTGGAGGCCAGAGGGCTCATTTCAGGCGCAGACAGCGGGGCGACTGGGCGGTACCGGTGGGTGTGGTGGGGCGGAACATAGGCACTGTCCCGGCGTGGGGCGGGAGGGTTCTGAGCAGCGGCCCACTTCCCAGGACAGTAGCGGGATGACCCATTCGCTCAGTAGGGGAGGAAACTGAGCAGCGCCTGGCGCTCCGCGGGAAGCTTTCCTGGAGGAAAGTGCGGCCCGAACGCTGTCCTGTACAGGCGAATTACAGGACGGTGATTTGCCCCAGCGCGGACAGCGCCGGCCGCAGTCATGTCATTTCTATGTTCTCGTCCGAACAATATGTTGTTATGTTGTTTGGAACTAGAAGGCATACAAGACAGACTGTCCACATTAGGTACCTGTCAGGCGAAATGCACTTAAAAATTGATAGATGATCTCGAAAGTAACCTTATATTCTGCTGGCTTCACTCGCACAAATGACTATAGCGATTCTGGACACAAGCACACACCTATCAAGGTCCTAATAGGAGGTAAGCTCGTGAGGCACAAGCAAGGATTGTCGTCGCTGCCTGGTCACTGGCTCCCATTCCGACTGTCATCCTATCAATCTGCCCGTGCCCGTCGCCATTTAGACTGCGCCCCTCCCTGTGTGACCGTACCTGCTCCCAGCTGAGCGCCCCCGGCCCGTGTCCAGGTGCAGTTCGCCGGCCGGACGGTGCGTCTGCGGCCCTGCCACGCCGACCCCCGCTGCGCCGGCGCCGTCTGCGTGGACAACTCCAGCTTCGGCGACGAGGCCAGCTTCAGCGTCAGCGAGTCGGACGACGGGGCCGTAACGCTGGAGTACAGCACGGACGCCGCCTGCGCGCCACAGGGTGAGTGGGACGGCGGGGCCGTAACGCTGGAGTACAGCACGGACCCCGGCTGCGCGCCACAGGGTGAGTGGGACGGCAGGGCCGTGACGCTGGAGTACAGCACGGACGCCGCCTGCGCGCCACAGGGTGAGTGGGACGGCGGGGCCGTAACGCTGGAGTACAGCACGGACGCCGCCTGCGCGCCACGGGGTGAGTGGGACGGCGGGGCCGTGACGCTGGAGTACAGCACGGACGCCGCCTGCGCGCCACAGGGTGAGTCGGACGACGGGGCCGCGACGCTCGCTGGAGTACAGCACGGACGCCGCCTGCGCACCACAGGGTGAGTGGGACGGCGGGGCCGTGACGCTGGAGTACAGCACGGACTCCGCCTGCGCGCCACAGGGTGAGTGGGACGGCGGGGCCGTGACGCTCGCTGGAGTACAGCACGGACTCCGCCTGCGCGCCACACGGTGAGTGGGACGGCGGGGCCGTGACGCTGGAGTAGTCACAGCACGGACTCCGCCTGCGCGCCACAGGGTGAGTGGGACGGCGGGGCCGCGACGCTCGCTGGAGTACAGCACGGACGCCGCCTGCGCGCCACAGGGTGAGTGGGACGGCGGGGCCGTGACGCTGGAGTACAGCACGGACGCCGCCTGCGCGCCACAGGGTGAGTGGGACGGCAGGGCCGTGACGCTGGAGTACAGCACGGACGCCGCCTGCGCGCCACAGGGTGAGTGGGACGGCAGGGTCGTGACGCTGGAGTAGTCACAGCACGGACGCCGCCTGCGCGCCACAGGGTGAGTGGGACGGCACCCCGCTCACACAGGCTCACGTTCCCGCGGCGGCGCCAATGGCCTTTAATGACGTCAGTTTGCTGACCACCGTACCCTCCATTTTAGTGTACGGTCAATTCCTCGGGAGTACTGTCGGGGAAATGTCTGCCGACCGCCACCGCTGGGCGCTCCGCTGCTGATTGGCGCAGTGTCGGCCGTTGGCGGTGTGGTTTGGAGCTGTGTGCGGCAGGATGGCTCCGGAGGGGCGCTCCATTCGGCAGCTGGACCGGTCCGCGGTGTAACGGTCCGGACCGGCCGCCGCACCTCGTGACCGGCGAATGAGGCGCCGACAGCGACGACGACGGAGCCCGGAACACGGCCGGTCAACGGTCACTGGTCCGCTCTGACCGGGATGGTCACCGGTCACTGGTCCGCTCTGACCGGGATGGTCACCGGTCACTGGTCCGCTCTGACCGGGATGGTCACCGGTCACTGGTCCGCTCTGACCGGGATGGTCACCGGTCACTGGTCCGCTCTGACCGGGATGGTCACCGGTCACTGGTCCGCTCAGACCGCGATGATCGGTCACTGGTCCGCTCTGACCGGGATGGTCACCGGTCACTGGTCCGTTCTGACCGGGATGGTCACCGGTCACTGGTCCGCTCTGACCGGGATGGTCACCGGTCACTGGTCCGCTCTGACCGGGATGGTCACCGGTCACTGGTCCGCTCTGACCGGGATGGTCACCGGTCACTGGTCCGCTCTGATCGGGATGGTCACCGGTCACTGGTCCGCTCTGACCGGGATGGTCACCGGTCACTGGTCCGTTCTGACCGGGATGGTCACCGGTCACTGGTCCGCTCTGACCGGGATGGTCACCGGTCACTGGTCCGCTCTGACCGGGATGGTCACCGGTCACTGGTCCGCTCTGACCGGGATGGTCACCGGTCACTGGTCCGCTCTGACCGGGATGGTCACCGGTCACTGGTCCGCTCTGACCGGGATGGTCACCGGTCACTGGTCCGCTCTGACCGGGATGGTCACCGGTCACTGGTCCGCTCTGATCGGGATGGTCACCGGTCACTGGTCCGCTCTGACCGGGATGGTCACCGGTCACTGGTCGGCTCTGACCGGGATGGTCACCGGTCACTGGTCCGCTCTGACCGGGCGGGACCGATTGCTTTCTAATTAAACCATCTTGACTGCGAATATAGTTTTAATTGGTAAACCATTTCGTGGTTAGCTAACCTACGACGGCAAATTCCTTTGCACTGGCTCATAACGCAAGCCGACGGGTGCGTGGTAGAATTTATAGATAAATTGCTACGGTAGAGTCTTTGGGTGTCCGGTGCATCAGAATCCAGTATTGGTGCAGTAGGTTATTGGTGCCAGACCTGGTGCCGCGCCGCCCGCCGTCCCGGCCCACCGTGACGCCGCGTCCCGCAGCTATGTCGGCAGGCAGCGTCTCTGTGAGCCCGTTGGCGCAGGAGCCGCCGTCCAATTCGCCACGCCCGGTCGTGCCGCGGCTCGGATGGGCCGCGATTGGCGTGCCACGGCCAGCGCCGGCCTGTTCTGCTGCTCTCGCTGTGTCACGGTGATCGTGTGCACGGAGCACGAGCCTGCTCACACCGAGCGGCGACCCGGTGGCGGCGATCGCGGCCCTGCAGCTCCCGGCTGGTGGCCGCTCGGTTCACTGCACTGCTGGGCTCCTGGGACCCACAGTCCGCCGCCCCCGCCGGGCCCGGAGGTGACCGCCGTGTGTGTGTGGCGGTGGCCGCTGTCCGGCCGGCCGGCCGCGGTGAGCCGGCGCGCCTCCCTCTGTCCGCCGGCGCCGATCGCTGTCCCCGTCTGCCCTGACTCGGCGCTGAGAATCTTGGTGCGCTGTTTTCCGTGCCGTGAGTTGGAAAAGTGTCCCATTGTGCGGCGGGCCGGCGCTGTTTGGTCGGCGCTACACACGGAGCGACAGAGTGCCGACCTGTCGGTGATTCAGCCGCCAGCAGCGCCGGGGAGCGGCCGGCGCCGCGCGCGACGGAGCGCTCGGACCGTGCTGGGGCCGGCGGACCGCCGAGCCGTGACAGGCGCGCCGCATCCTCGCGCGTGATCAGCCGCTTTTTTCTTTTTCTAATCCACCGCTCTCGATTGGCCAACCTGAAAGCCGGCCCGCGCAAAAAAAGAATCGAAGCTAAAAAGCACGAAGTGATTGTTAGTTGCGGTACAAACACTGGATCCTCTTCCAAGGCCGGCGGGCAGCGTCGGCCGTCCTTTTCCTGCGCTGGCCGGCCGCGCCGCGCGGGGCGGGCGCCGGGGTCGGGGTCACCCATGAGTCAGTGAGTCAGTCACCGACAGAGCTTCCGTCATCAGCTGTTCGCCGACAGGGCCGCAGATCTGTCACGGAGCGTCAGACCTGACTGTAGGGGCAGACAGGGGACTGACAGACGTGGGACTGTCGGTCGTATGAAGGCGCCGACCGCGTCCGCCACTCGCTGCCTGTTCAGAGCGGGGAGGACCGCCCGCCACTCGCTGCCTGTTCAGAGCGGGGAGGACCGCCCGCCACTCGCTGCCTGTTCAGAGCGGGGAGGACCGCGCCCGCCACTCGCTGCCTGTTCAGGGCGGGGAGGACCGCGCCCGCCACTCGCTGCCTGTTCAGAGCGGGGAGGACCGCCCGCCACTCGCTGCCTGTTCAGAGCGGGGAGGACCGCGCCCGCCACTCGCTGCCTGTTCAGAGCGGGGAGGACCGCCCGCCACTCGCTGCCTGTTCAGAGCGGGGAGGACCGCGCCCGCCACTCGCTGCCTGTTCAGAGCGGGGAGGACCGCCCGCCACTCGCTGCCTGTTCAGAGCGGGGAGGACCGCGTCCGCCACTCGCTGCCTGTTCAGAGCGGGGAGGACCGCCCGCCACTCGCTGCCTGTTCAGGGCGGGGAGGACCGCCCGCCACTCGCTGCCTGTTCAGAGCGGGGAGGACCGCGCCCGCCACTCGCTGCCTGTTCAGAGCGGGGAGGACCGCGCCCGCCACTCGCTGCCTGTTCAGAGCGGGGAGGACCGCCCGCCACTCGCTGCCTGTTCAGAGCGGGGAGGACCGCCCACCACTCGCTGCCTGTTCAGAGCGGGGAGGACCGCCCGCCACTCGCTGCCTGTTCAGACCGGGGAGGACCGCGCCCGCCACTCGCTATCTGTGCACACGGTGGGGCGGCAATTTTCGCGCGTGCAGGGGGTCGCGGTGCAATTTTCATATTAAGTGTGTCATGTTAACATGTAAAACGATGTTTGTGAGTCCTGAGAACGACGTTCGTCAAAAAAAGGCGCATCTCAATTTTCTCCCATTGACTTATAAATTGTAATAGGGAAGTCGCAAAATTGACCTGACCTTAGGTCACCGATATCCAAATTCCGAAAATACATTTTGCGCATACCTACTGTTGCTCTAACCAATTACTAAAAGTTTCAAAGCGATCGGTCACTCGGTGTAGCTATGGCAGACATTGAAACTTTTTACGGAGTGAGGTGACGACGTGACCTGGTGGCCTGAACTTGAGAGACCTGGGTCTGAAATTTTCACAACATGTACGAAAAAGATGCATGAACAGATTTGCCAAAAACGGCGGAGCGGAGCGCCGCCGTTTTGAGTTATCTGCGAAAAACCGCAAAGGGGTGCTCACTGCTCAAGCAACCCCCCCCCCCCAGCCCGGCGCGTGTTAAAGCAGAGGTCGGAGTCTGAGTGGGAAAGACAGAGCTCTCTCCCATCTCTCTCTCTCCCCTCTGCCGCGGGCTGGGGCATAAGCCGGGCCCTTTCCGTTCCTGAATGGGTCTCCGTTAGGCGCTCGCCACAAGTGTCCAGCCGTGATCTGCAGTCGTCTCTATTCAAAGGGTGTCAGGATTCTAAGCGTATAGGCTAAGACGTATTTATTCTATTGTGCGAGGCGGATTTAGTTGAAGGTCACCCGGGACGTGACGGTGCAAATTCGTCCTGCAGCCGCTGAGTAATAGGTAATATAAATGACATACTCGTCCGAGCCTTTTCGAAACCTGTTCTCGGGGCCGAGTGGCGATGCGGTGAAGTTTCCCGGTCGCTGAGCACTCTGATGTCCATCGAGCGCCTGCTGTGAGTCAGCCCTGCCTGGCGGCCGCTGCATGGAGCCGCACAGACCGACTGCGGCGCTGTGCTCGCGGACTGCCGCGCGGGGATCTGACCGGCGGGCCCAGCCGCCGCCAGTGTGGCACGGACGGCGACTTGCATACCTACGGCTGCCGTGCCGCCGTGCGAGGTGGAGTCGCCGCATCAGCCGGGCCAAACCGGCCCAGGGAATCAGGGCCCGGCCGGGCTGCCCGGCACAGCGCGGCACAGGGCCGGATCGCCGCTGCGGGCCGCACGGGACTGCACTGCCCGGCGTATCGTACCTATCCGCCTGACCGCCCGGCGTATCGTACCTACCCGCCGGACTGCTCGGTGTGCCATACCTACCCGCCGGACCGCTCGGTGTGCGATGCCTACCCGCCGGACTGCTCGGTGTGCCATACCTACCCGCCGGACTGCTCGGTGTGCCATACCTACCCGCCGGACCGCCCGGTGTGCCATACCTACCCGCCGGACCGCCCGGTGTGCCATACCTACCCGCCGGACTGCTCGGTGTGCCATACCTACCCGCCGGACTGCTCGGTGTGCCATACCTACCCGCCGGACCGCCCGGTGTGCCATACCTACCCGCCGGACTGCTCGGTGTGCCATACCTACCCGCCGGACTGCTCGGTGTGCCATACCTACCCGCCGGACCGCTCGGTGTGCCATACCTACCTCGCTGTCTCCGCGCTGAGTCCGAATCGGCGGTATCTGCTCGCTCGGCGATGGCTGTTTTCGAGCTACCCGCCATGGACAGCTCTGTTTGCTGAGCAGCGGCAGTGCGGGCGCGGCGCGGGGTGCGGCGCCGGTCACCGGCCGCCGCGCCGGAGGGCGTCTGTAATCTGCATGCACTCTGCAGCCGCTGCGCCCAGCCGGCTCCGCGGCGGATCGGCGGGTCGGCGGTCAGTGGCGGTGCCGGCCGGCGGAGTCCGCGGACAGGCCCGCCATGTCCGTCGGCGGGTCCCGGGCTGATACCGAGCTGCTGAGGGTCCGCCAGCGGCTGCTGGGGGGGGGGGGGGAGGGGAGGAGCTGCTGGGAGCGATGCGGGGGTCCGCTGAGGGTCCGATGCTGGTACGCTGGGGGGCCGATGTGGGTCGGTTTCCTGCGTTAGCTCCATCAGTGTATCTCAGTACGAACCATCCGGCCAGTGCGTTGCGTCAGCCACGGACGCGGGAGCGTTGGGGGGGGGGGGGGGTAGTGCCACACGGGCCCGCGGGGCTGGCCGATCCGGGGTATAGGTAGATCGGCGCACGCACATCCACAACCCTGGAAAGGAGCAGTCGCCAACGTCATAATCCCCAGATCCTGGCGTTACATAACACCAGTGCCCGAGTAAGGGTGGGCGCCATGGGAAAGATTCTCTATCGTAGCCTCACGGCCGTTTTCGAGCACGCAGTCACGGGCGGCCATCCCGGCGACCGTTTTCCCGGTTTTGCTGATACACCATCTCTGGCCGGCCGAGTCACGCAGTGCGGGCGCCGGGCTCCTCGAGCGCCGAGCCATGGGCCGTCACGGGACCTGCACCCTCCGCCGGCGCCGACTGCCGGCGGCCCGTGGGGCCGGCGCCGCCGCGACTGCCGTCCACGCATCAGGGCCCGCTCGACGGGGCGCCAGCGGCGTGCAGCTACGGCAGCGTCCACTGGACACCTCCCAGTGTTTGACGCACGCGGGGAGGCCGCCCTTGACCGCTGTCGTGTCCAAGTTCGGCGCTCTGCCAGCGACGTAGACGGCTCAAAGGAGCTCCCGTCTTTGGCTGAGAGCGGCAACAGACATTGCTCTACTGTAGACATTCTCATTGACGATAGGCACAGCGTCCTTTGGTTTCGCGCCCAGTGTCGTTTACAGGTTCCACGCGCTGTGCTCGTGTCTCGTGGACAGATAATGGTCGGCCCGTGCGGCAGCAGCCGCCGTGCTGTGGGACTCCCCCGTTCAGTCCCTGTCGCTGCGCTCCCGGCCCGGCCGGCTGACCAGTGCTGATAGCGCCGACCGGCTCCGGGAGCAGGCCGACTCTACCGCCGGCCGGCGGCAGCTACCATTGTGCGTCATTCTCAGGGCAGCCATGCCACTAGCGTAATCCCATGACGCCATCTGTGTCACACCTTCAACTATAACGAGGAAATGATATTTCTGTCAGCAGCGGCCGCTCATAGATGACGTACAGCACAGTAATCGTGACGACTTGTGGCGTCCTTTCTCGGTTTGACGTGCCCTCGCTGATCGGGCTGCTGACAGGCCGGCATACGCTGGGGGCCACCGGGTGACTGTTCTGCCGTTTTTGTGTTTTGTCAGTTTTCTCGCTGTGTTTGTAGCGCCGCTCTGGGTGGGCGGCCGCCCGCCGCTGTGAGCCGTGCCCGTGCGAGGTGGCTGTGTCGCCGCGGCGACTGGTTCGCAGTGACCTCTGTGACCTCTGACCGGCAGATGGCGGCCCGACGACCCGCGGCGCCACGCTGCGGCTGACCTGTGACCGGACGCTGGGCAGGGGCTCGCCAGTCGTCACTCGGGTAAGTGTTTATCGGGGCCGCGGGCTCGGGGGGTGCCCACCAGTCCCCCCCCTCCCACACACACGCAAACAGCACAGCCTGGGTAGGTACCACTGACCCGCAGAGGGGGAGGAAAACACCGATATAGATGCACCTGAGTGCACTGGAGTTTGACACCCGGCCAGGTGCTCCCATCGGCCAGCCAAGTATAATTCATATGTAGTGTATAAATAAATAAATAAATAAATAAATGAACTAGTTCTGCTATCGCTCAGCAAGCAGGCTTTTCATCGGCTTTTCTCGGTGCACCCAAGCACTAAGGATTCGTAATTGTATCGGAGCGCAGAAACTGAGCGAGTTGCTGTGCCTGGAGATGTATGCGATGATTGGGGCATGCAGATGTCGCATATGTCAGTAGGTTGGCAATCTGCATGTATGTTAGTAGGCACCCGGGATGTCAGTACATGCTGCGGTGGGCAGTGTGTCCAGATGGGGTGGCGTGGACGCCCTGTCTGAGGCGCCACCGCCAGCTCGCCCCAGCGGCGCAGAAGGCTCTGCTGGGGAGTAGGCTGTGTGCTGACAGGATTCAGTGGCTGGGTCCCGATTCCAGTCCCTGTCAGTCCCGGCAGCCTCCGCTCGGACACCGCTGTTTTTGATCGACAGGGTAACGGCTGCAGTCCTCTATTATGTGAGAAGGCGTCCTGTCGGGGTGGAGCGGCTGCTTTATATTTTGTTATTTGTTTGTGGCTCCATTTGCGGCGATTCCAATGAGTCCAGGACAGGAAACTGGCGTCTGAAGTCAGCTGACGATAATCACTCTGTCGGCGGCCGTTTTCCCCATCACATACAATTAGCGCGGTGATTAGTTCATTGGCTTTCCGCCTGGGCTCGGCACCGGTGCGTCACACCGGGGACCTAGCAGACTCATAATCACATCAGCATTCTCCTGTACCGGGAAGGGAGCACCTTACCCGTACTGAGAGCACTGGTAGTGGCCCTTAATTAGGCGCCTTTGATCACAACAACCGGCCTTGTAAACCATAAATCCTTCTATATTACTGGATATATGCTACACTTTTTTTTGGGACACAGACTTCAAGCGAGCACATATTGCACGCGGGTGGTAGTTCAGAGCATTGTGCTGTCAGTCGCCCTCAACCCGTTTTTAGTTCTCCTTTAAAGTAGGAGAGTCGTGGGATGCATAGAAATTGAACATAATATATGAACTTTTTTCATTTTAATTTTGTTTTGCGCCGAATCCGTTTCTGAATTGATTACACAGCCGGCTAAAGTGGTTGGTACTCCCAAGGTCACCGGCATCTCTTCCTGGGCTGACGTGTGAGCTCACCTAGATGAGGATGAGTAAGTCGTCAGTCACCGATCGCCTCGACGGGGACGTCCGTGACGGCACTGGAGTGGACTCGCGGCGCCCCGCTGGCCGCCGGGGGAGGGGAGGGGGGTCGTGTGCGCTCCGGCCGACGTCGGTAGTGCACGGTTTTCCCCGGCCGGCCGGCCCGCGCTCGGCGCTGTTTATCCGGCCAACGCGGCGCGCCGGCCGACCCGGAACCGGCGCGGCGGCCGTCACGAGCGACCTGTGAGGAGCCAGATGACACGGCGCAGGACGGCACCGGACCACCGCGCCGTCTGTACAGGGGGCCGCTGGCCTGCCCGCTGCCTGGGACGACGCCGGAGGCCCGTGCAGGCTCCTTCACATGACCGCCACCGTCCCGCCCCGGTCTGGGCCGGGACACGTACTGTGACGGTGTGGGCCTGAGTCCTCGCTCCCGGTCCTTCGCACATAACTATGTTTTACAGGCGTACTCTGACTGGTGTATGCCTCCACATGTCGCCTTCAGTGCCAGCGTCAGGCGAATACCTATTGCTCTGGGACCGGCTTTGTTGGGTAAGTTGGCGTGTTGGTGTCTGTTGTACTTTCCACCACCGTGTGAGCTCGCCGCCAGACTTCTGTCGCCGTGGTTCCCCGCTCGGCCCCACATCAGCGCTGTGTCACCGTCCCACTGAGCAGTCCTGAGCGTCCCTGAGCGCACTGAGCGTCCCACCGTCCCACTGAGCAGCCGGGACGCTATCCATGGCCGTTCCGCCGGAACGGCATTTTTGCCAGAGTCCGGGCAAAGTCCGGGCGGCGCTCAGCCCTTATCAAATCCTGGCCCGCGTGTGACAAACGCTACTAATTCTGGAAAAGGGCTTGACGTCCGGTTTGGAGGCGGTGCTTTGGCCAGTTTTGCTGTGTCAAGTTTCTTGTAAGCCTCGTTACAGCATACCTCACCTGATTTTGTGTCGTGTCGCCCGGCTAAGAAGCGAGTCTCCATGGCGCTGCACACTAATGCCGTGGTCACCACTCAGCCTATCAGCGTGCCATCTCATCCGGTCTCGATGACTGCGATAGTAGCTCGATGCTACATCTTTTCGGGCTTAGGGTACCACTGTTTTTTTTTTTTTTACACAATGGTGTAGGTAGTATCATCCTTTACGGCTGACTGACTGTGGCACGGCATGTGACTTTCAGAAGGGTTTCATACTGGGTGTCCTGTCCATCGTCACTGAGCCAAAACTGCTGCGTCACACCTAACATTATGGCCACATCTGACAGCGACAGAGCGGCATGGTGCTGTCCGCGCCGAGAGCCGCCCCGAACACTGGACCGATCGGTGATGGAAATCAGCAAACAGGCCAGGGTCTGGTGGACTGCTGAACATCCGGACTGGATAAACTTCGTCCGTCATCGGTCCAGCCCGCTTTGTTTACGCCTCGCTGCTCGGCTGCCGGTGTGGGCAGTTTATCCTAGTTGCGAGTCCGACGTTTTGAACTGCATTGCGGTCTGCCTTGCCCCGGAGAGGAGAACCCGCAGAGGTCTCACCGGTCCGAATCCCGCCCCGCTTTCTACAGGGTGTGTCACTAAAAGTGTCAAAAAGTAAATGCTTATCAAATATACATAAAATATGCAAATCACGTGGTTGCGCACGTGGCTTTGTTGCAAATTTTTGGACATTAATGCTTTGTCCATTTAATATTTCTTTACACCCATACGGAGCGAGGGCAGGAGGCCAAAGTTACTAGTCGTTTTTCTCCTTATACAGATCAAGAACAGGTTATTTACACCTCAACACGAGGGGTGAATTACACTTACATTTGGTGCCATCAGAAACATTGAAACCGTATGCCGACTTTTCAGGAAACTTTTACTCTCTCACCTCGCTACGTTCCAGATGATAAAAGTTTAAAAGGGCTTCCTAAGAGGTTTAAAAGGGCTCCTTTGATGCCAGTTCCAGTCCAAAAAAGACGGGGTCGCCCCACCTCTCGGCGGAAACCGTTGAAAAGGTCAGGGTCTTTTTGAGGGCCTTTGAAGATAACAAGAAGCTAATTTCAACATCAGAAATAGCCAAGGCCTTACAAGTTATCAAAAACAACCACTGTGACGGCTGTAGCCACCAGGAACTGGCTGGACCAGAAGTTCCTGGGCCAAATAATCAGCTGACTCACCGCCCGCCCCCATGTGGCCAGCGCGAAGCCCCGATCTGTCACCGCTAGACTTCTGGTTCTGGTCAGTGACTCAGTAGCTCTCGCAGAGCTGAGGAAGACTCAAGTCGCATCACTTCGGGAGCTGAAGAGCACAATTCAAGGCTTTGCCGACAGTCTGGACGCTGAATATGAAAACGGGCTGTGAGGCACCTCCGGACACGTGCCGAAACGGTGCATCAAAAGAAGGGGCGGATATGTGGAATAGGTTTGAGTGACGGTGATATCGCTGTTATATAATCAAATGTCCAACAATTGCGGATGAAATGATATGCAAATTTCATTAGAAAACATTGCTCTTATGTGCATTATGACCTTTTACTTTTTGACACTTTTAGTGAAACACCCTGTAAGCTGGTGATCGTGGCGCACTGTTCTCACGGGCGGGGTCACGTGGGCTGCAAGCCTCCCATGTGACTGGTCGTGGGACGGGCCGCCCTGGCTGCGGTACTGGCCACTGCCCCGGCCGGACGGAGCGGAGCCGGTCGGCGAGTGTGAGACGGGACGACGGCCCGCCGCTACGGGAGTGCCCGTCACGGCCGACCGTCCGCGCCGCGGCGGCCGGCACTGTCAGTAAAGTAATCTAGGCCGGCACTGCTCCATGCCATCAGCACTGCCTACCTGGGACTGGAGCAGGTAGGCGTCCGGTGGAAATTTCCTCCCTGCGCCTCCGTGTGTGGGGCTGCAGCTGTCGTTAGGGAGGGAGTACGAGGCAGTTTCTGCAGTCTCCCGTTGCTGCTCTTTGCTCGCTGCTTGTGCTTGTCGTCTCTGTTCGTCATATCAGGTCACACCGCTCCGGCTCCAATGGCGCCCCCGATGGGATGTGGTATCGTGGATGTTACAGGACGCTCGCATAGGTGGCGGCTACTTCTTGTGGACACATTTATTGAACGGTGAACGGCGATCATGGTCTGTACAAACAGGCATATGAGACGCATTGAGCATCACTGCGAAATCAGTCGGTCACTGCGAATACACTGCACGACGATATAAACACGGAATCACAAGTGAATGGTGGCCGCGAGGGCCCCCGTATTTGTACACCAGGAAGGGGCGCCGCCATCGGTCGGGCCGGCGAGTCCTTATCGACACCGGCGGCCGGCCGTCACCAGTAGATGTGTATGCAGAGAGACGGCGGCCGGCCGGCCGGCGCGCGCTCGGTGGGCCTCTCCCCTGCACAGCCACCGACATGGCCGGCCGGCGGCGATAGCGCGCGCCACAGCGTGGGAGGGGCTTCACCCGCACCACATCCTGGCTGTCCGAGCGGCGACCGACGCCGACTGCGCGCCTCGGGCAGCGGGCGGCGGCTGGACTGACCAGCTGGTACCGGCGCTCGCGCGCTCCGGGTGCGCGCTGCTGGGACCGGGTCAGACTGAGATCGGCGGCGTGTCCGGCCCCGGGGAGCCTCCGTGAGCGTCACCGCAGGCGCCAGACGCCGCACTCGGTCACGGCGCTGCCGCCCCCTTTGGTCGCCCTCCGGCCCCGCTGGCCGCCGGTGCGGTCCTGCCGCCTAGACAGCGTTGTCCGCGGCGCGCTGCTCCCTCAGCCGACTCTCGGAGATGGTCGGCAGCTTGTCGCCGACGAAGCAGCCGTTGAGGTGTCCGTCCGGCGGCGTGGCCGGCATCTCCACGGTGGGCGTGACGGCCGGCGTGGAGCCGGCTGAGCTCAGGCCGCCTGCGCTCAGGATCAGGCCCAGTTTGTCGGAGGTGAGTCGCCGGCGGCGGGCCGACTTCTTCATGCGGCGGCCCTTGTGCGGCAGCGCGTAGCGGAGCCGCTGCCAGAAGAGCGGGTCGCCCCACTGCAGGTACGTGTTGAGGCTGATGTAGGAGCGCAGCTCGGGGTCCATGGCGGACGGCTCGGGCAGCTCCCCGTACACCACCAGGATGACGCGGTTGCGCCGCTCGCTCAGCGCCTGCTTGTGGGCGGTGAGGAATTCCATCCGACCCCAGTCGCTCTGAATAAAGTTCTTGGACAGAACGACGATAACGCGGCGCGAATCCTGCACAGAGTCCTGGATCTGGTCCGCGATAAATTCTCCGGCCAGCCAGTCGCGGAAGTGCAGACACAGCGTGTATTTGGGGTCGCCGCGCTCCAGCTCCGGCACGAGCTGTTCCACCACAAACTCCTCGTCCAGGTGTGAGTAGCTGACGAACGCGTCATACTTTTTGTCCGTGTCGAGCTCCTCCTCGGAGACGAGCGCCATGCAGAGGCCGTGCGCGTACAGCCACACCTTGATGGTGTCGCGGTAGTTGTAGTAGATCACGGCGGCCACGAGCGCGCACATGGCCAGCGCGGTGGCCGCCACACACGCGGCGATCACCATGGCCAGCCGCGACGGACACACCTCGTCCGGCTTCATCTCGAGCAGGGTGCGGTTGGCGCTGTCGTCGCACCGTACCGCCGACACGTCCTGCACGGATCCGGAGCCGTTATTGGCGCTCAGCAGCACGAAGCGGTGCAGCGGCAGCAGGTCGCAGTCGCACCGGTACGGATTGTTGCCCAGCCAGACGCGGGCCCCGGCCTGCTGTAGGTGGCCCAGCAGCGGCTCCGAGACGTTTGTCAGGTTGTTGTGGTCGAGTCTGAGGAGGCGCAGGGAGGGCGGCAGGTAGGTGACGGGCACGCTGGTCAGGTTGTTACGGCTGAGGTGGAGCTCGGAGATGACGGCCGAGGTATTAGAGAGGTCGGTGAGCCGCCGCAGGCCGGCGCCCTCCAGGTGCAGGCTGACGTTGTAGCCCGCGATGTGTGGCAACACGGTAGGCAGTGGCGCGCCGGCCGGCAGCGCGGCGCACGTGACCAGCACTAGGCGCTCGCTGCGCTGCTCGCTGCACTGACAGCCGGCCGGACAGTCGTCGATGAGCGGGCAGAGCAGCTGGTCGGCCGAGGGCACGCCGGTCAGCGGCTGGCCGGCCAGCCGGTCGGGGCCGGCGCACTGCAGTCCGTCCACGTCCAGCCGGAACAGCTCGTCCAGCTTATCGCGGTGCGCCGCCAGCGGTCCCGTGCCGGCCAGGTAGTTCCACAGCGAGACTAGGTGGCAGTCACAGAGCACTGGGTTGCCGCGCAGAACGATCGTGTTTGGCCGGCGTCGATCGTTGCTCATTACGGCCGCCTGCACCACGCCGAAGGGCTCCAGCGAAACGGTCGTGATCTGGTTGAAGCTGAGGTCAATCCGTGCGTCTGTGCACAGGAAGTTCAAGTCGTTGAAGGTGATGTTCTTCAGCTGGTTGTTGCGCAGGTCCAACAGGCGCAGCTGCATCAGATTGATGATGACGTCGTCGGTGATGCGGTCGATGCGGTTGTTGGCCAGGTGCAGCTCCTGAAGCTGCGGCATCTCCTTGAAGGTGGTGCCGTCGAGCACCAGCTGGTTGTGATCGAGCTGCAGCAGGCGGAGGCCGGTCCGCAGTCCAGCGAACGCGCGCGGCGTCAGGAGCGTCAGGTTGTTGTGTCGAAGGAAGAGCCGCTCCAGGTGCGGGGTGGAGGTGAACAGGTCGTCCGGCAGCGCGGCCAGCCCGTTCCGGTCCAGGTAGAGCGTGTCCAGCTGGCCGAGGCCCTGCAGCAGGCGCGCCGGCACCCGCCGCAGCCGGTTGCCGTGCAGGTCCAGGTTGCGCAGGTTGGAGAGGTCGGCGAACACAGTGTCGGGCAGCGTCTCCAGCCGGTTGCGGTCCAGCGTCAGGTTGGCCAGCGATGTCAGGTTGGCGAACAGCGTGGCGGGCAGCTCCTCCAGGCCCAGCTGGTGCAGCATCAGCATGTCCAGCTTGGCCAGGCCGCGGAACACGCCGGCCGGCAGTCGGCGCAGCTGACCGCCGCGCAGCGTGCCGCCATTCATCAGCAGCTTGCGCAGCTCGGGCGTGCCGGCGAACAGGCCGTCTGGCAGCGTCCGCAGCGGGTTGTCCTCCATGCGCAGCGTGTGGAGGCTGTGCAGCGGCGCGAACACATCCACCGGCAGTGTCTCCAGCTCGTTGACGTACAGATCGAGCCACTCGAGCCGGCCCAGATCGCGGAAGTGGCGGCGTGTCAGCTGCCGCAGCCGGTTCTTGCCGAGGCCGAGCTGCGTGAGCTGCGTCAGGCCGTCAAAGAGGCCTTCGGGCAGCGAGTGCAGTCGGTTGTCGGTGAGTCCGAGCCGACCGAGCCGCGGCGTGTGTCGGAACAGAGCGCCCGGCAGCTGCAGCGCGCCGCCCGTCATCGTCAGCGATTCCAGCTGGCCCAGCGACGCCAGGAAGTGGTCGTGCAGCTGGATGCGCGACACCTCGGTCAGCTGGACGGTGGTGGCGTTGACGCCGTCCAGAAAGTCGCCCTCGATGGTGTCGTTGAGGATGGCGTGCGAGGCGACGGTGAGCCGCTGCAGGCCGGTGACGCCCAGCCGGCCGAGGAAGTCTGCCAGCGGCCCGGCCGGCAGCAGGCACAAGTTGAACACAACCGTGTGCACGGCGCCCAGCCGCATGCCGTACGTGAACAGGTGGTCGTAGTGCTCGCGGCGCATCCGCAGCGGGTCGCACCAGATGACGATCGAGGCCGGCGACAGCTCCGTCGGCGCCACGTACGTGAACCGGAACGTAAAGTCCAGCGGGTGCGTGCAAAACAGCTTGAACGAGCCGGCCGGCATCGCCTCGCAGAAGCACGCGTCCTGACGGTCGCACTGCGGCTTCACGATCTCGGACGTCGAGCTCGCCCGCTCATCTCGAGCCTCAGCAGTGTAGGCGATCTCGGATTCTGCCGCCCTGACCGACCCAGCCCCGTCTTCTACGACGACTTCTTCCAGCCCGTCTCCGGCCTGCGGCGCGGCCCCGACGGCCACCAGCAGCACCAGCAGCGCGGCCAGCACGGCCGACCGCGGCGCCACCATCTCCGGCGCTCCTGTCGGCTCCGCGCTAGAGAAGACTCCGACTCGCCTTTGCTGCCTGCATCGCCCGCCTGCAAACGACACACGACGGTCAACAGCAGGAAACGCCGGGGGAAAGCCTCAAGACACAATTTACCTATCTGCTCGAAGCGGAGCACTTTTGTAGCAATATTTATGTTCACTTTGCGTGACATCGGCGTGCTGGACATTCACACGCGGAAAGTGGCCGGGATATCGTCCACCCGATCAGCAGCACCTGTCCGCGATGCGGGTCGCATGCTTGGACAGCCGCCTGTCAGCCGCCCGCTGCCCGATGGCCGCTGAGTCTGCCCCGACTGGCCGGCTACCGTCACTGACTGCTCTACTGTCGCCAGTCCAGCGCCCAGGCGGCCGCCTCTCGGGCGGTCAGAGCGCAGACGGTCCCTGCTGCGCGGTCCATCGCGTGACGCGGCGCCACTGAGCGCTCGGCGGCGGTGGTCCGCCGCGCTGGCATGGCTCGATCAGAGTCGGAGCGACGGCTTGTGTGTATGTGTGCCCTCACAGCTCTGCCCCGTCTGCATTCAGCCGGCCAACCGCGGGCCGACCGCCGCTGCCGCCGCCAAACTAAACCAAACCTGTTTGTTTTTGTTTATCCAAGAGTGCCAATTACAGTGTCATTTCTAGAGATGTACTGGTGCTTTCTCACTAGTTGAATGTGTTACTTATTGTGAATAGCCCAGTGCTGTGTTGGTAGCGTGCTACCAACACAGCACTGACAGTCAAATGTGGTGCGCCGGCGTTACACAGGGCTGCGTCTGCGCTCCGCCGCTGCGGGGTCGTGAGCGGCGGCGTCAGTGGGCCGTGAGGCCGCAGCCGCGCCAGCTCACGCTCCCAGCGGACCGGGACGCGGCGGGGGCTGACGTCACCAAGAGCTCTGTAGGCCGCCGAACGGTGCCAAGTCGACCGGCGTCTTACCTGCGGTGACTGGTGCGGCGCGGCCTGTCCTCGCCACACAGCAGCACTCTCCGCGCACTGACTGCCGCCACAGCACCCGCTCTGTCACCAGCGGCTGAACTCGCTCCGTCACCAGGGACAGCGCCCGTCACCAGTCGGCCGACCCGCCGCCGCGCCGCTCGGATCACCACTGCGCGGCGAGCGCCGGCCGGTGCCGCCGCGCCGTACGGGCTGAGCCCGGCGGCCGGCAGGCGGCGCCGCGGCCGGCCGTGTGGCCGAGAGGCGGGCCCAGGGCCGCGCGGCGGGAGGGCCGGCGCGCCGCACTCCCAGGCTGTCGCCCCAGGGGGGCCGGCCACAGGTGCCGCGTTCGTGGCGATGCTGCAGGTCACGGTGCGGTCGGAGCGGCGCACTCACCGCGCCGAGAAACGCCGTGGTGGCGCGCCGGCCTACGGGAACGGCACGGGCCCACGGACGCCCCTGCCCGCTCCTCTAGCGGCACGTTGAAAAGCGCAACGAGCCAGTCACGGGCCATCCCGGAGCTTTCTCAAATTACCAGGCGTTAAACTGATAACTTGCGGTCTCCTGTGCACTTAATGTCTTCTTGGACTAGCAGAGACTTGCAGAAATGTTTCCGGCTCCGATATATAAATTTAGACTCGGATATGGCGTGTAATGAATATGGCAGCACTGACTGAATTTCAGCTGCTGAAGGTAATTGTTTAATCAAAATGTTTTTTTACGCCTTTCAGTCTATCGTATACCTATTGACGGTCCCAGGAATCGTTTTGTTGGCTAAGGTCTATGATACGCATTTGGCAGCACTGGCATCACTGTATGTGCAACTTACCAAATGACGTGAATGGAATAGTACGCGGCACTCCATAAGATTAGGCAGGTGTGTGTCCACTCGCTGTCCCGGCTGCGCCGGTGTGCTCCGGCTGCGGCGTCTACTGGTGACCCGGCGGAGTCTGTCGGTAAGCCGGTGTTCTGGACCGCACCCGCGGCGGCGGTGTCGCTCGCGTGAGAGCCGCTCGGAGCGCTGCCCTGTCGGCGCGGCGCCGGCCGATCATATCACCGCCGGGCGCCTCTGCGGCCGGCAGTTCCCTATGTAGATCACCTTGGAGCTGCAGGCCATGTTCCGCGCCGCGCCGACCGGAGCTGGCCGTGCCCCGTCTACGGAGCAGTTACCGGCCGACCGGAGCCACCAGGCCACGAAGCAGTTACCGGCCGACCGGAGCCACCAGGCCACGTAGCAGTTACCGGCCGACCGGAGCCACCAGGCCACGGAGCAGTTACCGGCCGACCGGAGCCACCAGGCCACGGAGCAGTTACCGGCCGACCGGAGCCACCAGGCCACGGAACAGCCGCCATTTACGACATATAAGTGCTCCACAGCTAAGGCTGAGTCCTCATTGACTGAACACTTGCCTCGTATCCGTATGAATATGATAGACTGGGTATTAGTCAAATGTAAGCTTATGTCTATTGTCACCATACGCTGGGCGAGAAGTGAGGTAGCAGGTGTAAGTGGACCAGTTGTAGGTGTGGAGCATCGCGTCTCTTTGCAGTGACAGCAAAATGCAGCCATCGAGCTATACACGGTTTTGTCGAAATGAAAAATTCCTAACATGCCCTGGGACGAAGGTTGCATCCACCTATGCTGATTTCAAAACCCGCCACCACCCTTTGCTTTTATTGTTTTTCGTACAAAACAGCTATAGTCCTGTTGGGCTTTCCGTCTTTTTCTTCCCAACATCTAGCACCACGAATATGTGGGCCCGCCCTGCTCCGGGTCAGTTTTAGTCCCGTATACCTACCTGTCAGGTCGTTGGGCCACGTCCCATATTCGTGTATCTAGCAGCCCAATGATGTTGGCGAATCCGCGGCTAGAGCCGGACGCTGGCCGGCCCCGTGTATGGCGCCACCGACGCCCAACTCGCTGGCCGACTCCGCCGGCAGCAGATGCGGCAATCGTGCCGCTCGGCAATGACCCTCGCAATGATCCTCTTGTCCTGAACGATCGGAACGGGATGGGTCCTCCATAGACCTCTCCCATAATCCTCCTCGAAAGCGTTGGCACGCCGTTTCAGCCGATGAGTGCTATAGCGCCGGCCGGTGAGCCGAGTAGCGGCTGCGCCGAGCAGTGCAGCGGCGTGCTGCCGCGGCTCGGCGGCCGATGGCAGGCTGCGCTGCGCTTTGTCTGCCGGCGTGGCCTTGGTCCATGGCCGGCGGCGGGGTCAGCGGCGCGCCCGGCGCCGCCGCGGCAGTGCCAGCAGCGGGCGGAGGACGGGGAGGGAGCACCGCGCCGTGCACACTGCACACAGGCCGCCGGTACACGGCCGGCCCGTGGTCGCCGCGGCGCGGTGCCGATGGTGTGCCGGCGGATAACGACTGCTGGTCACGCCGCTCCGCTCCTGAGCCGGCTAATCCGCCGGGTCTGTGTGCGGACTAGCCGGGATCATCTGCTGTTTTTGCACCTGGCACCACAGAGGCAGAGTTTTCATGTAGGGCGCTGCAGCGGGCCTCGGCAGCCTGCGGCGCCGGCCGGCCGGAGATCTGCTGCCGCCGAGCCGGCCGCGGCCCGCAGTTTTCCCAGTGCCTCCGATATGTAGCGGCAGAGTTTTGTGGCGGCGCCGGCGCCGCGGCGCGACTGAGCCGGCGATACTCATCTCTGACGGCCGGAGTGCCGGCCACAGCGGTACTGACGTACGGTACCGACGGCACGGCAGCGCTGCCCTGACCTTGGAGCTGCGCCCGGCCGGCCCAACACCGCCGCGCCGCAGCGCGACTCATCTGCCGCGAGCGAGCCTCACCGGGAGTCGTGGGGTGCTACAGACCTACCTGAACTAGTGGCACGGTACACCTGACCACACTCTGTACAGTCAACGCGGCGACGAATCATTCGTCAATTATTGGCTCCGGGATTGCGCCGCTTCTGGGTGCGGCTCGCAGATTAGGAGGCAGGTCGTCCCGCTGCGGGCTCCGGAGCGGTGATGCCGGCTGAGACTCTCCAAACACCGCGGGCTGAGAGGCCGCAGTGATGTCACCTCTGCCGAACGCGGTCGGCTGGCTCTCGGTAAATGGAGCCATCACCAGCCGGTCGGTACTCTACCGATCTGGCTTGATTTACTGGCTTGGATTTCCATCGCTCGTGGATTACCTGTATCTGATGAGATAAGTATCTGTGTTTCCCGAGCCGTGGCTGCAGCGTTAAAACGTTCCGTCCACCATTGAACTTGTGCTATGGTCGCCCGCAACCATTTGTTTGGTGGTGAGGGGTAAAAACTAAAAATGTTTGACAGCTGTGAATCTTCCCAAAGTATCCCACAGCGACTCGTGTAGGTATGACGCTCTGCACGCTGTATCCGCCCCTGACGCTCCCATGATTAGCACCAACGCGCGCTTGTGGCGTACGTTAAGCTGTGCGGTCACTGCCGTCTGTGCGGTGTTGTAATTGAGGGACGGTTCGGGGGGGGGGGGGCTGTGCGGGGCGGCTACACAGGCAGCCCCCACATTCAGGCGTGTGTACCGAGCCGGCGCGAACAGGCCCCCGGGCGTCCGTGCGCGGAGCCCGCCTTAGGTGTCCGGCGGTGCCGCAGGTGTAAATATTGAGGACGCTCTCGCCGCTCGCCACCAGTCCCACTCCCATGCTCGCGCGCGGGTTGTCCTCTGCCGGCCTCCAACGGGACGATGTGACCCGCGGATTGTGGCTTGCAGTCAGGTGTCGCTCACCTGTCGCCGCCCTGACCCGGTCACTGCGAGGCGGAGTCAGTGCAGGCGGGACCCGCTCGGTGCGGACTGCCCCGGCCTCCGTCCCGCTCCTCTCGGTGGCTGACCCACACCCGTCGCACGGCTGCCGACCGCGCTCTGCGGCGCCACCGAGTGCTGCCGTCGGTGCACCGTGCCCGAACGGCCGGCTCCGGGCGGGCGGGACGCGCAGTCGCGTATTGTGTCACTGGAGACGGCTGGTCGGAGGCGACTGGCGGGTGGCTGCCGCTGACTGACCGGCAGAGGTAGGTATGACGCTCTGCTGCTGTGGATGTGGTGAGCTCGCTGCTGTGGATCTGCCAGCACGACGACAGGCAAATCCACAGCAGCGAGCTCACCGACCGGCAGAGACGCAGCACGACGACAGGCAGATCCACAGCAGCGAGCTCACCGACCGGCAGAGACGCAGCGCGACGACAGGCAGATCCACAGCAGCGAGCTCACCGACCGGCAGAGACACGGCACGACGACAGGCAGATCCACAGCAGCGAACTCACCGACCGGCAGAGACGCAGCACGACGACAGGCAGATCCACAGCAGCGAGCTCACCGACCGGCAGAGACGCAGCACGACGACAGGCAGATCCACAGCAGCGAGCTCACCGACCGGCAGAGACGCAGCACGACGACAGGCAAATCCACAGCAGCGAGCTCACCGACCGGCAGAGACGCAGCACGACGACAGGCAGATCCACAGCAGCGAGCTCACCGACCGGCAGAGACGCAGCGCGACGACAGGCAGATCCACAGCAGCGAGCTCACCGACCGGCAGAGACGCAGCACGACGACAGGCAGATCCACAGCAGCGAGCTCACCGACCGGCAGAGACGCAGCACGACGACAGGCAGATCCACAGCAGCGAGCTCACCGACCGGCAGAGACGCAGCACGACGACAGGCAGATCCACAGCAGCGAGCTCAAACACGATACCGGTGGCGCTCATGAACTGTCAGAGCTCACGAACTGTCGGACACTCCGGGTCATTTGATACCATTTCACTCCAAAGGTCAAACTCAGGATGTTTGCATTTGTCCCGGAAGTGTTGATATGCAACTGTATCCTGTGACCGCCAGCGGCCGGCCTCGGTCCCCATATGGAGGTCGTCCTCCAACCCGGGCTTACCCGTCTGACCTCAGATCGATGACAATGCGCACGTGAGGCCAGTTGGATGCCAGTTGAAGTGAAAAGTTGAACTAACATAGATAGTAGATACAATATCCTGCGAGCTCTCTGCCCGACAAGCGTCACCGCTCTGTCACTATCAATGATACGTTGTGACTTGTGACCCAGTACGGTCACTGGCCGGCGGTCAGGGCTCAGTGGAAACAGTCACCGTCAGGTACGGAGGGTAACCTCCCGTGGTGACCATCGTCCAACAAACGCATGGGGCCCATCTTGAGGTGATGTGCTAGTGTGTCCTGAAATATCATACCTCATGCGTTTTCACCGAGCTGAGCAGCTGCGCATGTCCTGGCCTGTCGTCGTGTGCGCCTGAACAACCTAGGCTCTGCCAAGGGCTCTGCAATCTGCATTCTGCACCCCCTCTCCTTTCTGAGTGACATCACGTGACCTCTGCGCCTGTCCTGTCCGCCAGCTGACGCCGTGTCACGTGACGGCGGAGTGGCGCTCGGCGGCGGTGTGCGTCCCGGGGGACGCTCCGGTGGCCTCCGGTCCGCCGCCGGTCCGCGGAACAGGTGGGTACCCGCTAGAGCCGTGGCGAAAGGTGATTTTTTAACCAGACTCGTCATCTAACTATTTGCAGGTATCTTTAGTTGCATCAAGTAAAACACGCTTTTACAACTGGGAATAGGAGTTACAAGCTACAGTGTGCAAGGAAACATAACATGGCAAATGTTTTCGTTCCATTCGCTTCATATTTTGCAGTACCTACCTATGTAAGAAGTATGGTTTATGGTAAGACCCGGTTGGACCCGTCAGAATATTTCCACGAACCGGTCTTGACTCTTGACCCATATGGGTCCAGACTGGTTCTATGGACCGGGTCCTCGGGTCCACATTTTGCCAATTACAGTACCCGCGGGCCGCGGTCCCAGCGGCCCGCCCGCTGCCGGGATGAGTGGCTCCCAGTTACGCGCTGTGTTTAGTGATCAGTTGTGTAGTAGATACTGCCGGGCCGGGTGTTGAAGTGTGCCTTTCATTATGTATGTGTGTCTGGTCACTGTATCGTGGTGGCTGCTGTGGTCACACCCCGCTCTATAGCCTGGAGCCGCCACTGAGCCGGCGCCGGTATCGTATGCAGTCTGGGCTGTGGCCGCCCGGGCCACCGCCGCCCCGCTCGCTGAATACAGTTCTCGGCTGGTACTGGTGGCGTCTGCACCCTGGGTTCATCAAGCCATAAGCAAGCACACAAACAGTCACTGTCGCTCGCTCGCCGCTGACCGCCGTCCCCCGGTGCGTAGGACACGCTGTGGCCTGGCTGACGGTGGCCGCCGTGGCCGGCGCGCTGGTGGCCTTCCTGTTGGCGCGCAGTCGGTGGCGCGGCTGTGCCTCCTGCGCGTGCTGCCAGGTGTGGGGCGCGCTGAGGCGTCAGCTCCTGTCGCCGGGCACCCGCGCCTCGGCCCACTACCGGCCGGTAAGTCCTGACACACACATACACTGACACACCCGGCGTCTCGACCCACTACCGACCGGTAAGTCTTAAGATATACAGACACACACAGGCACACTCCGTCACACACCCTGTCACACACCGCGGCTCTCTGTGCGCGGCTGGGCGTGTCTGCCGTCTCCGTGTGCGCGTCTGACGCGTCCCCGCCGCGCGTGCCGGCCAGGTGCGCGCCGAGGACCCGGACGACACGGAGACGGCGCTGCTGCTGGACGCGCCGCTGGAGGAGCAGCGCTCGCCGCGGCCGGCCGCGCGCCGCCGGCCGGCCGGCCACTCGCCGCCGCCGCCCGACATGACCGACATCTGCCTGGACCCGGCCTGCGACTCGGACGACGAGCTGCTGGTGGTCTAGCGGGCCGACGGAGCCGACGGACGGAGCGGCCGCGGCAGTCAGCGCCCCCGTCCCGCAGTGGGGCCGCGCGCGCGGTCCCCAGACGGCTGACACGCCCAGGGAGAGAATTGGCTGTGGCCTATCCAGTCGTGTAGCGCCGTGTGCTGTGTAAGCTTTGTCAGCAAGGACTGTATGGTGTAGTCAATGTGTCTGTTATGTCCTTGATATAGCTGGTATGTATTTTATGCGATGGATCTCTATTTGTGTTTAATCTTGTCGGAGTGATTATATGTCATTTGATGTACCCTTTTGTGTCATCCTGTATTGTTTTTATGCTTCCTTGTAGCTGTGTGAACTGAGCGATTATAGGATGAAAGCTGTTTATCGGTCGTTGTCTCTCCCGTGCTTTGTATCAGTACCGTTTTAGAGTTTAGGTTGTATCGCTCCGGGAGCCGCGGCCGGCCGTGTGCGCGGTACTGCCGGAGTGCCACCGGCCGGCGCCTCAGGTCGGTCCCCCCCCCCCCCTGCCGTCGGTGCGGCGCACAGTGCCGGCCGGAGCGGAACGCAGTCGTGTCGCCCCGTGTGTGGCGTGACGCCAGTATAGCGCGGCGTAACGTGACGGCCGCCCAGCCGGGCGTTCCCCGCCACCCCCGGCCCGTGAGCTGGGACCCACCGGCCAGTCACCGGGGGGACGCCGTCAGACGCCGCTGTACCCGCGTGAGCAGAACACTAGTCCGATTTTACTGCTGCGGCTGTTTGAAATGGAAATCCGGTTGCACTAGCAACACAGTATGCTACTGTCTACAGAGTGCTTTTGCAAAGCCATGCGTTAGGATTTACTGGTTTTCGCTAAAAAGCTGTTATTGGAGACGTTATACTAACTCGCATTAGAGACTGTAAATATAAGACTGACACGGCTCATATGCTCCCGCTTACTCCAGTAACGTCTGCCCGTACCGAGGCCTCAATGTCGTGTGTTCGTTCTGCTGCTGCTCTCTGTCGCCCGCCGAGTGAAGGTCGCCATTACCGACTGCGTCCCGCCGAGTGAAGGTCGCCATCACCGACTGCGCATGCTGAGGCTCGGGTGCTGCGGCATCTCTGCTGCTCAGCAGTGAGAGACGTGCCGGTGTGCAGCTATCATATGCCGCTGTATAGCTGCCGTGTGCCGCTATACAGCAGTCATGTGGCGCTATTCAGCTGCCGCAAGCCGCAGTGTATAGCCGCTGTGTGCCGCTTTACATCTGCCGTGTACCGCCGTGCAGCTGCCGTGTGCCGCTATACAGCCGTCATGTGGCGCTATTCAGCTGCCGCAAGCCGCTGTATAGCCGCTGTGTGCCGCTTTACATCTGCCGTGTACCGCCGTGCAGCTGCCGTGTGCCGCTATACAGCCGTCATGTGGCGCTATTCAGCTGCCGCAAGCCGCTGTGTGCCGCTTTACATCTGCCGTGTGCCGCTATACAGCTGCCGTAGGACCGGCTCAGCCACGGTGTGCCAATGCTGCCCACCCGATCCAACACGAGAGTGACCATTCGCTACCATTATTTGTGCGAAATAAATCGATCCGGGAACTTTCCGTGTCTTCATAACGCCGACAAACTAGCCTGACAACATGAACGCCTTCGAACATGGAGAGGAGAGCGGTGGTCGATGCCAGCATCTTGGCGCGTCGGCGAGGCCGGGGCGCACCGCGGGCGAGCGGCACCGCGCCTCGCCGCGCCCCGTACCTGAGGTCCTCGCCGTGCCAAACCGTACGGCGGGTCGACCGATCCCGCCCGGGCGCCAGCAACCGGTCCGACAGAACATCGGCCATTGTACAAAACAGGTCCCATTTATTCAGCGGCATGCTGCGCATCGCGGCCAATCACATAACACGGGCCGCAGCCCTCAGTGGCGGCGGTGGCAGCCTGGCCCTGACTGCCGGGCCGGCCTGCCACCCCCCTCCCCCCGTCCCGCCCTCCGGCGCCGGCTGTTCAGTCTCGGTTGGCCTCCAGCTCAGACGGCTGGGCGTCCGACTCCTCGTCGTTGTAGATGTTCTCTGCCATCTGCCAGACCTGCATGATGTTGTCCTCGGAGACGGAGCACACCACCCACGGCTCGTTGGGGTTCCACGAGAAGTCGGAGATTTTGGCTGTGTGGCCGCCGTGGATGAAGAGCAGCTCGGGCGGCCCGTCCTCGGCGTCCTCGGCCGACTGCTCCTCGCCGATCTTGCTCAGGTCCCAGACGTGCAGGCGACGGTCGGTGCCGCTGCTCGCCAGGATCGTCTCGTTGTGCGGCGACCACTGCACCTGGAAGATCTCGTCCTTGTGCGACTCGAACGAGTGCAGTTTGAGCTTGAGGTTGCGCAGGTCCCAGAGGGCGACCGTCTTGTCGGCCGAGCCGGTGGCCAGGATGTACTCCGAGTACGGGTTGAACGACAGACAGTTGACCTCGGCCGAGTGGGCGTCCACGATGTGCGACGGCTTGTTGGTGGCCGTCGAGCGCGTGTCCCAAATCATCAGCTTCTGGTCGTCCGCCACCGAGCCGAAAAAGGTCGGGTGCAGCAGGTGCCAGGCCACGTCCTGGGGGCGGGTGAGCTCAGGTCAGGTCATGCTCGCGAGAGTAGCAAGGTCAGGCCACGCCATGGTGTGGATAGTTGAAACTTGGAGTCACATCCTGAGGGAGCAAAGGCGCCAGGTTACGTGATAATGCAGATGGCTGCTCGCGTTCAAAGGGGAGCGGCAGGATCCGGGTCCGCTGACTCGCACCAGCCAATAGCAGACAGACGGACGGACGGACAGACTGACGGACGGACGGACGGACGGACGGACGCTCACCTCGACCACAGCTGTGTGGCCGGTGAAGATGCTCTTGGCGTCCACCACCTTGTTCTCCTTGGGCGTGGCGTTGATGTCCCAGAGGCAGATGGTGTGGTCGTCCGAGGCCGACAGCAGGTTACCGTTCACCGACGGGTTCCACGAGAGGCCGTAGCCCTCCTTCTGGTGGCCGCGCAGCCTGCGAGCACCGCCGCGGCGCCGGTCAGACAGTGTCCACACAGCGAGCCCGGTAACCGCCCACTGGCCACGTCAGCGGCACCAATCTCTCCCATTGGGACACTCCTGGCAAATTAATCCCTCTGATATACCGCGAACGCATCTACCCATCGGTCACTGACCTTACACCCCCCCCCCCCACACCGCTTGCCCGAGGCGACTAATCTGGGGTCTGGGCTGGACTCGCCGCCCATGGCTGGTTTGGGTGACTGACTTGAGGTCGGCACTGGTATAAGGCGACTGACTGACCTGAGGCCGGGGCTGGTATAAGGCGACTGACTGACCTGAGGCCGGGGCTGGTATAAGGCGACTGACTGACCTGAGGCCGGGGCTGGTATAAGGCGACTGACCTGAGGTCGGGGCTGGTATAAGGCGACTGACTAACCTGAGGTCGGGGCTGGTATAAGGCGACTGACTTTAGGTCGGGGCTGGTATAAGGCGACTGACCTGAGGTCGGGGCTGCACTCGCCGCCCGGGTCCGGCTTGCTCGGGTGTTTGGTGTAGTCGAACACGAGTACGTCGGAGCTGGGCGTTTTGGTGGCGATGACGCACGGGTTCTGCGGCATGTAGCGCGCCCGGTTCACCTCGCCCTCGTGGTTGATCTTGATCTCGATGTCGATCCGGCCGTTCACGGAGCTGAACCCGCCAAACTCTGCCGGGAGAGACGGGAGCCGTGGGTCGGGGACAGGGACGGCGGCAGGGGGACAGGGACGCAGCGCGCGCGCCGGACCAGCGTCGACAGCTGCCGGGCCGACTCCCCTCGACCCGTGTTGGGGTGGCGCATATCAGTCACACTACTGTATTAGGGCTTAAGGGCGCGAAGACTGCTCAGGTCGTTCTGAGGCCGTGTCAGTCATAAGATGACGAACTAGTCATGCCGGATCCCACACTCAGATGACCGGTGGATGGGAGCAGCGGACCTCATATTCAACTCGGCGCAGATGGGAGCAAATTCCACTCAAGCCTTTACCTTTGGCGAGGTGCCAACTATCCAGTTTGTTGAGGTATGCCCAGATCCTCCAGTTTGCTTAGTTGAGCTTTAAGGAGCGCCGACCACAATGGTCATTTGGAGCCCCACAATTCACTCCGACAGTAGGACGTATGCTTGTGTACAAGCAGTGGGTGATGTTACTCAATGTAATGTTTGTGTTGCGCCCACCTCCCCGATCGCTGTCGTAGTGGGACGGGACACGGGTCCGGTGGGTTAGTATGTCTGTGTGTCCGTCCCCACCTCCCCGCTCGCTGTCGTAGTCGGACGGGTCCGGTGGGTTAGTATGTCTGTGTGTCTGTCCCCACCTCCCCGCTCGCTGTCGTAGTGGGACGGGTCCGGTGGGTTAGTATGTCTGTGTGTCCGTCCCGACCTCCCCGCTCGCTGTCGTAGTGGGTCGGGTCCGGTGGGTTAGTATGTCTGTGTGTCCGTCCCCACCTCCCCGCTCGCTGTCGTAGTGGGACGGGTCCGGTGGGTTAGTATGTCTGTGTGTCCGTCCCCACCTCCCCGCTCGCTGTCGTAGTGGGACGGGTCCGGTGGGTTAGTATGTCTGTGTGTCCGTCCCCACCTCCCCGCTCGCTGTCGTAGTGGGACGGGTCCGGTGGGTTAGTATGTCTGTGTGTCCGTCCCGACCTCCCCGCTCGCTGTCGTAGTGGGACGGGTCCGGTGGGTTAGTATGTCTGTGTGTCCGTCCCGACCTCCCCGCTCGCTGTCGTAGTGGGACGGGTCCGGTGGGTTAGTATGTCTGTGTGTCCGTCCCCACCTCCCCGCTCGCTGTCGTAGTGGGACGGGTCCGGTGGGTTAGTATGTTTGTGTGTCCGTCCCCACCTCCCCGCTCGCTGTCGTAGTGGGACGGGTCCGGTGGGTTAGTATGTCTGTGTGTCCGTCCCCACCTCCCCGCTCGCTGTCGTAGAGGGACGGGTCCGGTGGGTTAGTATGTCTGTGTGTCCGTCCCCACCTCCCCGCTCGCTGTCGTAGTGGGACGGGTCCGGTGGGTTAGTATGTCTGTGTGTCCGTCCCCACCTCCCCGCTCGCTGTCGTAGTGGGACGGGTCCGGTGGGTTAGTATGTCTGTGTGTCCGTCCCCACCTCCCCGCTCGCTGTCGTAGTGGGACGGGTCCGGTGGGTTAGTAAGTATGTGTGTCCGTCCCCACCTCCCCGCTCGCTGTCGTAGTGGGACGGGTCCAGCTGGGCGTCCTCGGTCGGCAGCTGCACAGAGGCGATCAGCAGGTGGTTCTGCTCGTCGGAGGTGTGCGTGCCCAGGATCAGCCGGTGCACGGTGTAGTCCCGGCCGTCCGGCCTGCCGGCAGAAGAGTCACGTCACTCAAACAGGGCCACCGAAAGCGGTCCCTGCACTATGCAAACCACCTCAAGAAATATTTCTGTAAGGAATAGAACACAAACCAAGAAAAAAATGACACCAGCCAGTTATGCATTCAAAACTTTCCTGATCTACTCTGACTGCTGAAGCCTTATGTGGCAAGGCAAGATTTATTGAATATATAGCTGGAAGTGTGATACTTATATAGTAAACTTGAAAGATGCAACTGTGACTGTTTGACAAAATGGGGTATCTTAATACAAAGTCATTTGCACAATCTGCACAATAGCATAGCAGTGCTAAAAACCATAAAATGATGCCACAGAGCCTGTACATTGCAATTGAGCAGGCTCATGTTAAGGGTACTGGTAAATGCAGCTGGCCAGATTGTGGGTTGCCTGGGAGAAAGGAGACACTCAGTCTGCTGCCAATGTGTACAACACATAAGCAGGTCACACATACCATTCGACCACTGTGCATGGTGTAATTCTGGCGAGTGTGGGAGCAATAGCAAGACACATCCAGTTCCACAGCCCATAAGTGTCTCATGCATGGTCACAACTTACCTGGTGACATCAGGTAGCCACTGAGCTGTAAGTGAAGGCCATTCCAAGGCATGGGTCATCACCAGGTCATACAAGAAGGGGGTATTCTTCTTCCAGATCTTGTATTCTTCATTGATGACACGCTCCTCAACAGCATCATCAAAATTGTCACCTGCCAACAGCAAAGGTAGAATGGAAGCATGGTATACCAGGGTCAAGGAAGGGTGTCATGATGTGATGGGAATGAACACCTTTACAGCAATACCTACATCCAGGAGGGCTCGCCACTTATCTCTTTTGAGCACTATTTCCAGTCTTATGATCATTTATCTAAATGTGACTAATCCTAGACATACTCAAATAAATGGAAATATTTGCTAGGAAAACCTGACAAGCATTGCAGTGTAAACAATGAAATTGATATCAATAATGGCCACCAAATTACCCACCCTTTCACAGACTGCAAAAGCCATGATAATTTACACCATCCCTATTCATGTTCACTAGAATTGAAATTTGAACTTCATTCAAGGGAATAGTTCACTTTCCCAAAATTAATTTTTGGCAATGGATTTATTATTTTATGCTCAAAATGATCAGCAAAGAAAATAAACCTTCTTTTAAAAATATTGTTTTCTATATTTTAATTCAGGAAGAACTATAATCCATAGGTATCAAAAATTAACGTTTGAAAAGGAAGCTTATTATGCATTGACCAGTCATATTGCGCAGTACAAACCCATTGGCTGTAAGCATCATGCTGATAGGCTGATGATGACATGGCAGCATTCCTCAGCAAGGTACTCATTCCTCTGCAAGGCACTCTTTTTGGAACAAGAAATGGAATATCTTCGTCTAGGGTGAACATTGAGCTGTAAGAGTGATTTGAGCTGGTCTCAGCTCAAGCTGCAAAACATTATATTCTAGTTCATAACCCCATGTTAAAAGTGAACTATTAGTTCGATAAGCAATCCATACATACCTTCCTTCTCAGTCATATTACTGCTGCCTCAGTCACAGTTAATGTAGATGACAAGCGGCTCAGACTGATTCTCCACGACGCACAGCTCCCGATCATAAATTATCCTATAAAACAGGTAAAAAATCCGGTATATGTCAAGTTTAGGTCCTAACTACAACTGTGGCGCTTTTGATACAAATATGAAACAGCAAAAATTTTAGGTTTTAGGTTAGGTTAGGTTGTAGGTTTGTAGGTTTTAGGTTGTAGGTAGGTAGGTTTGTAGGTTAGGTTAGGTTAGGGTAGGTTTGTAGGTTGTAGGTTGGTAGGTTATAGGTAAGTAGGTAAGGTTAGGTCAGGTTTGATTATGTTTTTTTCTTTTATTTGCGAGACATATGAGTATCATTTTTGGATTCAGGATGTCAAATAATGTAATAATATGAAAAATTTATCAATGAAATCTTTTTAGGACTTAAACTTGACATTCAGTCAAGCCTCAAGCGAGCGGCAGACCAACCTAACCAAGTCCAAACCGAAAAATTAAAATCCACAAGGCAAGGCCCACAGGGGGGCTCTGTGCTGCAAGCTGTGCTGGCTCTGTGTATTTGGATTTGCGGGATTTTCCTTGGATTTTCCGCGCCAAACATGTCTTGCTACCATATGCTGTTCGCGGCAAAAGTCAAATATACTAGGCTTAGAAGGGTGCATATTCATTCATTTGTTCGCTATGGTATTCAAGATTAATTTATGGTATTGTCATGATTTTATTTCGGATTGATTCTATAACCAAACAAGCTAAGTTAAGAAAGCAAGATAATTCAATGGCATGCAAATTATTTTTTAAATCTATATAAATTTCCATTTACTTTATACTAAGCTTTCGAACGTAATTGAAAGACGTGATTTTTTCATAAATACATACTCTTTTCATTGAACTAATGTGGGAGAAATGTCTTTAACACATTCCCATGAGTTTATTGAAAGGAAATTTCTAAAACCGAAATTAAAAAATGGTATGTAGTTGTGTTTCTAGCTTTATATCTAGTATATCTTAAAATTTCCGCGGGATTCTGCATGTTTCCGCGCATGGGCGAAGATGGCGCTGAGGAGGCTTTGGGAAATACGGAAGTCTAAAGCATTTAGATACTTTTCGGTAAGTTATATTATAAAGCGTCTATGTTTTCTGAAATAGTAATTATGATTGGCACTCCGTCACTCTCTTGTGGAAGGTGTCAGCGACGTACGTTATGTGAACCCGGTTTACATAACATTTTTGACGAGGCTCTAGCTTGTTAATTTGGCGATAATTTCGATGCAGTGGTCTTCAAATATTTAGAGGGGATCATTTTGTAAATTGTTAAGCACCATTGGCATCTTTTGCAACATCACGGACAGAGATATAAGCTTGCAACAAACCCTATGTAAGCCGGGTTGTGGTGACCTGACCCGTGACCGTATGTGTGGTTATGACGATGCTTCAGCTCATTTATTTTGCGATAATTTTGGTGCAGTGCCCTTGGTAGATTTAGGAGGAATCATTTTGTAAATTTTAAAATACCATTGGCATCTATTGTAACATTATGGGTGGAGCTGTGAGCTTGCAACCATCCACATGTAACGTGGCTCATTTTGGTGCATTCAGCCTTGGAAGTTTTAGCGAGCATAACTTAGGGCCTGTTCCATCGCCTTAAGGAGAAATTCTTGACTGGAGGCTCTACCAGAGATTTCCCTGGAGGCGCTGGAATGCAATCTGGAGATTTCTGGAGATTGGTGTCACAGATCAGTAGGCGGAACTATGGTCAAGCGTACCCATTTTCGGGAACGCATTTTCGTTCCCATGTTTGGGAACGATAAACCCAAATATGGGAACGCCATGTAGGAACTATTTAAAACAAGAAAAAGAACCGTTAAATGACGTCCAAAAAATATAAAACGATCGTGAACCGCCTGATATTTGTCTCAATATTGTTGCGAAAGAGTTCGATATTGTAAGGCCCATCGTAGTTTCAAATCGTTCCCCTATTTCTAAAGCAGTCCATCATCCGGGCCGCGAACCCAAATTTGGGAACGCTCTCGTACACTGGCGCTGCAAGCGTTCCTTATTATGGGAACGGCGTACCCAAATTTGGGAACGATTTCAACGACGCCTTTCAGGGGCTCTTTTCATTAACAAGCATCACGTCCAACGCCGCAAATTATTGTTAACACAACAATCATCAGATGACCTTTCCGGCAAGACCGTCGCATGTTTCGCCCGGTCTTCTGCGCTTTTATTCCCGTCGATCTCGCAGCGGGCACGCCCCCCTCTGCAGGATTATGTAATTTACAACGCTCAGCGATGTTCAACAAGGTCTTCCATACCTATATCCACCGTACGCGCCGAGGGTGGAGACATGTCAAGCACCTGTCTGTTTATCACCGATAGTTGACGAGCACAAGGAAGTATCCAAAAATGGGAACGCTGAATATGTTACACCCTCAAAACACCTAGTCCCACGGAAAATCTAGTTTTTTCCTTTCTTAATGAGTGTAAGTGGCAAAAGGCCTGGTAGGATGGGCACGAGGAATGATCGAAATCAGCATAAAAATTATAAATAAGCCACACAGAGCGACCTATATAAGAGAAATTCCCCCAAAACGATCATGCTTAGAAACACGGAAGACAAAAACCACGCTCATGACGCTCCTTATGAAACAACGCTAAACAGCTAACATCCAAATAAAATATGTCTTTCCGGGCTGATAAAATACAGCTGAATAATTTTAAACCACTGAAACTGAGTTTACAACAGTAGTTCGGTAAAATCACTGACGTTCCACGCGGTCGTGCGCCCCGACACCAAAAGTCAACAATATTACCTCGGGACTGTCCGCGTGTTCGCTTGCATATGTCAGCATCTAGTGTCGCTAGAATGAAACTTCATAACCAGGCGATAATTATTATACTTGACCTCAAAATATTAAAAACGCTTCATTTTCCTTTAAATTGCATGTTAAGTGTAGTATAACCCATGTTTTCACCATTCCGTCATTTCAAAAAATCATTAAAAATATCATTCGACGGTCGATTTCCTTGTTCAACGGTCAGATTAAAGATAATTTTATAGAGATTTAATAGATACTTAAATTAGCGTGCACTTTTTTGAGACGTGATGCACTAATGAGTTTTAGTGGGCGAACGGCCGAAAAATTACCTTCCGTTCTCATAAATGGGAACGCCCGTTCCCATATTTGGGAACTCCGCTCCCAAAAATGGGAACGTTCCAATATTTGGGTACTCATGACCATAGTTCCACCTACTGAGATACCAAAGGAATGATGATTGTTCTATCTTGAAACACAAAATTTGTTTTCAATTTTAGAAAGAAAGGTTAACAAAATTATAGCAATGTAATTTTATTTACATTCAAGTTGTAAAATTAGCAGTCAAAAGTCCTTTGTTTTCATTCATGATTGTAACATGTGCGCCATAGTTGTAGACCAGAGCCTCCAGAGAAATTGGGACCTCCCAACTCTCTGGAGGCTACTGGAGGTTTCTGGAGCTTAGGCGAGAGCTTTCTGGAGCTTTCTGGAGGCGCTGGAATGCTCTCTGGAGAATTCTTGAGCTTTCTGGAGGTTTCTGGTATCTGTGACACCAATCTCCAGAAATCTCCAGATTGCGTTCCAGCGCCTCCAGTGAAACCTGTGGTAGAGCCTCCAGTCAAGAATTTCTACTGGAGGCGCTGGAACAGGCCCAAAGTTGGTGTTTTTTCTGATAATTCATTATTCAGTCAATATCAGATCAGATAAATGAATGACATCAACAGTTGGGTGTGGGTCCAACCAATAAATTGCTTATATATTATATACCTGTATATTTGCTTATATATAGGTACCTAATCCTATATATATAAGCAAATGAAAGATGTTCTGTTAGTTTTGTCAATAAAAATAATTCAAATAACAAAATCAATACTATTGTATCAGTTCCTACAACCTTATCCAGATTGCATACTTGTATAGGCTTGGCAGGGCCTGAGTTCTTCAAATGATTTTGGGTAGTCATAAAGCAGGTGTCACACTTGTTTTTGCAATCAAGGGGAGGTGCTATACCCAGAGATGCTTCTTTCTAACCAAACCAAAACTAACCTAATCTGACCTAACCTAACCTAACCTAACCTAACCTACAAGCTATAACCTAAAGCCTTAAACCAACAACCTACATATCTGGGTATAGCACCTCTCCTTGGTTGTAAAAACAAGTGTGACACCTGCTTTATGACAACTTGATTTTTGCCCTATGTTATTGCATGGTTAGAAAGCTTGGCATATGAACTTAACTCTTTGACACCTACAAATAAATTAAAAAAATAGCTCCCACATATTAGTGAGCCATGCATTTTCTAACTGTTCATCCCAAGAACAGCTGACCCCTTCTCAGAATTTTTCTTCTCGACATTCAGTCAATGAGCTTTTGCATTTGGGTCCAAGTTAATTTTGCATGCCAGCCTCTGGCGTGTCGCCTGGTCGAGAACCTGTGTGCCGCTGGAGCAGAGTGTGATCGTCAGTGGTGCTCAGACCGCTCCTCGGCATCGCCGCAGGACCGGCGATGGCCGCCAGCGGCTGCGCGGACACCGACTCCTGCCAGCTGGACATCTACGCGGACATCGTCGACTACAGCCATGAGGAGGTGGAGCGGCTGCTCACCACCTGCCGCCGGCTGCACGACGAGAACTCGCGCCTGGCCAGCACTGCCGCCGAGCTGCGCGCCCAGCTGGCCGCCCAGCAGAAGAGCCGCGAGCTGCTGCGGCGTAGCTTCAGCTCGCTGCTGCTGACGGCGCGCGCCGAGATCGCCCGCAAGGACGCACGGCTGGCCGAGCTGCAGCAGGCGCTGGACCAGCGCCAGCTGCGCTGCGCCGGTCGCGACCTGAGCCGCGTGGTGGAGCGCGAGGCGCGCCGCCTGGCCAGCCGGCGGGGCCGAGTGTCGCCACCGCCGGTGGTGGGCGCCGGGCCGGACCCGGCCGCCGCCCGGCCGCAGCGCGGCCGCCGCTCGGACGTGGTGGCCTCCCTGGACGACAGCAACGTGACGGTGCAGGCGGCCAACCTGTCCTTCAGCCTGGCCACCGAACAGGTGCCGTGGAGCCGGCACCGGACCGTGCAGCTGGCGCGCCGGCCGGCCGAGCGCCCACCCCCGGCCGCCCGCAGCGAGCCGGCAGCCGCCGATGCGCCTGCTGGTGCTCCACAGACAGTCGGCTGTCGCTCTGCCGCGGCTCACGTCCACGGTGAGGCGCCGGGGGCACTCGATGCACAGCCTGCGGCGCACGAAGCGGTCCCTGGGCAGCGCTCGGTGGCCGACTGTCCGGCCTCAGAGGGCGCCATAGCGCGGCGCTCGGCTGCAGAGCGCGGCGCGGTACCTAACTCTGTCACAGCGGGCAGCTCGTTGCCCGAGAGCTCTGACAGTGTGACGGCGAACGGTCTGCCTCAGCTGGACGCAGGGACGCCCGACGGCGGCGGCGACCGGCTGCTGATCTGTGAGGACGCCAGCGATAGTGTGACGTCACCGGCAGCCGCTGACAACGGCCGGACGCCTCAGACCAACGGCGAGCGTACGGTCTCTCTGGAGCCGGGCGTATGCAATAGAACGTCTGAGAACAACAATGGAAGTCTCTCCTCACTAAAGGAGAACATATCACCGCTCCGTGACAAAGCGTCTGAGAATACCAACGGCCGTGCTTTATCATCAGATCTGATCGGATGCCTCACCCCCGCGCCACCGTCGTGCTTTGCGCTCGCTAGCCCGCGCGGACTAGCGGCTACCGAAGGTGCCGGCTGTGAGACAGCGGCGCCGGGCTCGACAGCTCTCACGGGTGGAGACACCGCCAGCCCCGGCCGGTCTCCGGTGGCAGCCGGCAAACGAGGGGCCAAGAGACGGCGCGTCGCCTGTTTCTCCGACTCGCCGGAGGGGCCCGACTCGGTGGCTGCTGCCGCCGCCGGGGACGGAGACAGCGGTCAGCCGACAGGGGACGCCGGGGACGGAGGTACCGGCCGGCCGGCGGGGCACGGAGGTACTGGCCGGCCGGCAGGGGACAGCGGCCGGCCTCGGCAGAAGCGGCGCAAGCAGTCCAGCACTGGCACGGCCCGCCGACGACGGGTGCGCACGGCTCAGCTCAACGACGACAGCCAGACTGACCTGGTGTTCGACGTCCAGTTCTGCGTGACCTCGGCCGACTCAGACACGGACCCGGCGGCGAACCCAGGCACAGCCGCCAGCGCCCCGGCGGCGGACCCAGCCTCGGTCCCGCCGCCGGCCGCTGCTCTGGCTGCAGTGGCCGAGCCGGCGGTCTCGGCCGCGGACCGCGCCGGGGCCGCGTCCCCGACCCTGTTCCTGGCCATGACGGTGGCCCCGGCGGCGGCCGCGAGTCCGGCGCTGGTGCTCACGCCGGCGCTGTTCGCCGAGCCGGTGCCGATCCCGGTGTCGGCGCTGGCGCGGAACCCGTCGGCGGCCGCCGCCCCGCTGTCCACCGTGGCCCGACACCCGCCTTCGCTACTCGCCCCGTCCCTGACTCCTGAGCTGGCGCCCCCGACTCCGACCCCGCCACCTGCGGAGTCCTCTCTGACGCGGTCCTCGCTCCCCTGCCCGTCCCCACCCCTCGCCCCGGCCGGTGGCCCGGCGCCCTCTCCTGGCCCGGCGCCCTCTCTTGACCCGGTGCCCTCTCATGGCCCGTCCGTTCCCGGCGTCCCGGCGCCCTCTCCTGGCCTGGCGCCCTCTCCTGGCCTGGCGCCCTCTCCTGACCCGGCGCCCTCTCCTGACCCGGTGCCTTCTCCTGACCCGGCGCCCTCTCCTGCCCCTTCTGCACCCCGCGTCCCGGCGCCCTCTCCTGGCCTGGCGCCCTCTTCTGACCCTGCGCCCTCTTCTGGCCCTGCACCCTCTCTTGACCCGGTGCCCTCTCCTGGCCTGGCGCCTTCTCCTGGCCCTGCACCCTCCCTTGACCCGGCGCCCTCTCCTGACCCGGCGCCCTCTCTTGACCCGGTGCCCTCTCCTGTCCCGGCGCCCTCTCCTGGCCCGGCGCCCTCTCCTGACCCGGCGCCCTCTCCTGACCCGGCGCCCTCTCCTGCCCCTTCCGCACCCCGCGTCCCGGCGCCCTCTCCTGGCCCCGCACCCTCCCTTGACCCGGCGCCCTCTCCTGACCCGGCGCCCTATCCTGGCCTGGCGCCCTCTCCTGGCCCTGCACCCTCCCTTGACCAGGCGCCCTCTCCTGACCTGGCGCCCTCTCCTGGCCCTGCACCCTCCCTTGACCAGGCGCCCTCTCCTGGCCCTGCACCCTCCCTTGACCCGGCGCCCTCTCCTGACCCGGCGCCCTCTCCCGGCTTGGCGCCCTCTCCTGGCCCGGCGCCCTCTCCTGGCCTGGCGCCCTCTCCTGACCTGGTGCCCTTTCCTGACCCGGCGCCCTCTCCTGACCCGGTGCCTTCTCCTGACCCGGCGCCCTCTCCTGCCCCTTTCGCACCCCGCGTCCCGGCGCCCTCTCCTGGCCGGGCGCCCTCTCCTGGCCTGGCGTCCTCTCCTGGCCTGGCGCCCTCTCCTGACCCTGCGCTCTCCCCTGGTCCGTCCCCACCCCGCCTCCTTGTGCCCTCCCCTAGCCCTTCCCCACCGTGCGTCCCTGCGCCCTCTCTTGGTCCGTCCGCACCCCGCGTCCCGGCGCCGGTGTTTCCTGGCTTTTCGCCGGTCTCGACTCCGCCTTCCAGCCCGGCGGCGCCGAGTAGCGCCGACTCTCTGTCACCAGCCGGCTCGCAGGGCCTGCCCTCGGAGCAGCTCAGCAGTTCGGCCGCGGCGCCAGACGAGGCCGCCCCACCTGACACTTCGCCAATGCACTCTGGGTGGCTGAACCTGAGTCTCTCGTCCTCTGACGCGCCCAGTCCGGCGTCTTCGGTCGCCGCCGGCGGACCTCCTTCTCCCGCTGCCTCTGACGGCGGGTCAGAGAGCGACTTCCACCTGCAGCTGAGCGACGACGAGCTCGATTTTGAGCCAGACTCACCGCGGCGACCGTCGACGGCGCTTGGACCGGCCCCGGGACTCCGGGCGGCGCTGGACTCACCCCCGGGACTCCGGGCGGCGCCGGACTCACCCCCGGGACTTCGGGCGGCGCTGGACCCGGCCCCGGGACTCCGGGCGGCGCCAGACAGGGCCGAGCGAGCGGCCCGGGCCGGCGGCGCTGGCGCTGACCGCACGGAGGGGCGTCTGTCCGCAGACGGTTCCACAGCCGGCCGGTCGGCTGAGGACGCGAAGTCGCCCCCTGGTGCCACCGAGCGCGGTAACAAGCGGGCGCCCAGCACGAGGAAGACGCCGAGACGACGGCGTCCGGTGCTGGGGGACGGCGACGGTATGCAGCTCCACATTCCGACCAGCCAACAGGTGCTGAACACCATCTCGCCGGGTCGGATCGCGGAGCGGCCTGCTGTGCCCACCAGCGGAGAGCTGCCGCCCCGTCAGCCGGACGGACGAAGACCACGGAGTGCTGCTGCCGAGGACGGCAGCCATAGCGCCAGTCCGGCGGGTGGGGACGGACAGCGGCCCCCTAGTGTGACTGGCGGCGGGTCTCCCTCGCTACCAAAGCGCCGGAAGCGGCCCGGCGAGCCGTTGGAGGACAGGCGACAGTCCGACAGCTCGTCCGAAGAAGACAGGTCTGACGCGGAGGATGCCGCTTCCAGTGTGGATAAAGATGACCTATCTGAAGTGGAGGAGGGCGGCTCCGACTCGGACAGGGAGGAGGGGGAGATCGTCGACAGCTCTCCGGTGAAGGTGCCTCCGTCGCCGGCGGCGGTGAGGCGGCGCCGCGGCGGCTGCAGCCCGCGGCGGCGCCGGCGGGACCGTAGCGGCTCCGACTCTGATCGCAGCCCGCCGCGGCGGCGGCGCCGGCTGGCCGTGCTCAGTCCGCTGTCGTGGCGCGGCCGGCGAGGGCGGGGGCGGGGGCGGCGGCCTCTGCTGGACAACACGGCCTGGCACTGGACTGCCGACGACCGGAACCGTCGCCGGCGGCGCTCACCACCGGCGCGGACCGCGCGCTGCGCCGGACTGGCCGCGTCTGCCGAGCGCAGTCGGCGCCGCAGGGAGCTGGTCGGCCGCTACCGCCGCTCCAGCTCGCCCGGCAGTGGCGACGACCGGCCGGTGCGGCGGACCCCCGGCTCCGGCGGCCGGCGGTCCGGGAGCGCGTCCAGGGAGCGGCGCCGGCACGCGGAGCACGAGGAGGAGGAGGAGGAGGAGGGGCAGGAGGAGCTGTTCTCGCCGCCGGACCGGCCGGCCGGCAGTCCGTCCGGTCTGACCGGCCACAGCGAGCGCCGGCTCGGCCGCTACCTGACCGCGTTCATCAACAACGACACCTTCCTGGAGGACAGTGTGTCGAGGGCCGAGCCGTGCGCCGAGCGCGGCGACGTGGTGGCCGTGGCCGCCCCCGCCCCGACCCCGGCCCCGGCCGCCGCTGTGACGCCGCCGGGCCGGTGCCGCCGGCGCCGCAGCGCGGCGCGGCTGGGCGACAGCCAGAGCGTGGTGCTGGCTGTGGCCGCCGAGCGGGCCGGGCCCAGCCGGCGCTCCGAGTCGCCTGACACGCTGGAGCGGCTGGCGCGCCAGGCCGAGGGGTTCGCGGCGCCCGAGCTCAGCGGAGACGACTCCGAGATGAGCCTCCTCTCGTTCTGCCGCTGAGGGAGCCGCCGGCCCGGCTGGCAGAGCCGCTGACTCGGCTGGCGGAGCCGCTGGCCCGGCTGGCGGAGCCGCTGGCCCGGCTGAGGGAGCCGCTGACTCGGCTGGATATGACTGGCCGATGCCTCACACCAGTGGTGAACTCCGATCGGTTGCTGTCCTTGCTGTCAGATGCGCCGTCTACTGGAGAATGGCGCGATTCTCATGAATGCGGCGGGAAGCAGGGTGCGGGGTGTGCTGTACTGATTTGCTGTACCGATCATTGCCATCGCTCATCTGCATGCACATAGAGCCCTGTGTTAGACCAGGCCGGCGACTGGGCGCCGCGCTCCGAGGGGTTTCCGTCAGTTGCGCTGGACGTCTGGGCCGCTCGGCCGCTCCCGCCCCACCGCCGGGCGCTGGCCCACCGTGGCTCGATACTGCGTGGGCGAGGTGCCGAGACCATGTCCGTATTTGAGCTAGATGCATCTCGGCGTTATTGTCATATACATATATCCGTTATTTTGCTCTTGAATATTCGAGATATAGTTAAATACATTTTGAGATAAAAGTCAGATATCTGCGTTGAGATGCCATCCCGTCAAAAGTGCAATATTTCGTAGAGCGTTCACCCAGGCCGTTTAGTGTGCCTTTGAGCTGCCGCACAGCGCAGTTCGGCTGCACGGACGACCGCGCGTGCTATTGGACGTGCTCTGACACTTGCGATGAAATACGGTACGGGGGGCACACATTCACTGCGGACGGGGCTCCACACTCGGTTGTAGGACAATTCCACCCAACGCCTACGACTGCAGCGCCAGGGGTGTGCTATCCGGCACAGCATGTATTCAGGCGCCCACTACTAGTGACATCTAGGGACAAAGTCGGAACTGTGGTGTGTTATCCGGCACAGCATGTATTCAGGCGCCCACTACTAGTGACATCTAGGGACAAAGTCGGAACTGTGGTGTGTTATCCGGCACAGTATGTCTTCAGGCGCCTACTACTAGTGACATCTAGGGAGAGAAGTATGAACTGTAGTGTTATCCGGCACAGTATGTCTTCAGGTGCCCACTACTAGTGACACCTAGGGATAGAAGTACCTATGAACTGTAGTGTTATTCGGTAGTGTATTCGGGCGGGTACTACAAGTGACACTTAGGGAGAGAAGTCTGAGCTGTAGTGTTATCCGGCACAGTATGTGTTCAGGCGCCTACTACTAGCACGGAATATATAGTCTACGACATGGAATGGACAAGATCGAGATTTCCTGTAACTGCCGAGTTTTTGGCGACCTGCTGATTTAGTCGTGCGGATTCGCTGTGGTTACTTCCTTTACGAGGATGAAAGTATAGTTGCCAGACCTATAACTAATAGGGGAAGGTGGGGCATAACGGGGTACCGGGGCAATATGAGAAGGTGCATTTTATTCTAATCAGGTGTTGCTGTCTGGAATCGCTTCTGACAATTTAAACTTCGCTCGTTTGCCGCCCTTTTCTGGTGGACGCCGGAGGGAGGCGGCGTTGCTGAGGATGGTGGGTAAGGTTTTTTTCATGGTGCTGATGTATTTTTCAACATTCGTTTGGTAACTTCCTAGGTGAAAATCCGTTCGAGTAGGTTTGTCATAGTCAGTGAAAGCAATGACTCTCGTCCTAGCCAACCTTTCGCTGCGATAGAAAGTTGCCGGCTGTTTTGATAAACATGAACGATCCTGCTCTATTGCCAATGTCCTTCGGGGGTTAAAACGGGTTTCCGGTAGAGGCGATATGGGGTGGTGAATTTTACCACATTTTACCACATTTACCCCATTTACGTGCCCAGAAGTGCTTTTTTTGTTACAGTTAAAACTAGTTGCCTTTATTGGCCCACTCACGTTTCATAAATGCATTTAGAGGAGGGGTTGCGTTAAACGTTTCAAACGTTGTCATAATGTTTCTCCATTATAAGTAGGTACACAGGCACCGTGTATGTGCCTAATATATATTTTTGCCGAGATAAACTCTTTCATTTTCAGTAGCTTGGATCTTGGCTTAAGCGGCGAGTGCACAGGAACGTGCACCCAGCAGCCTGACACAAGTCCCAGATTTTCACCACGCCTTTTATCGTTTGTCGCAGTCCTCGAATGGAGTCGATGCTGGCGCCGCCACCGACCGTCCACCGCTGCAGCCAGGCGTCGCTCTCCTGAAGAAACTGCATGTGTTCTCCCACCGTTGCTGGATGGAGGCTGGATATCGCGCGTGGCTTTGAGCAGGGGTCGAACCGGGCGGAAGAGTTTAGCACATCGAGCAGGTCGTTGAGGCGCAGCAGGAGAGTAGCAGTCGGGAGTGCAGTGCGCGGGAGCTTGCCGTGGGTCGCATGCAATGTGATTGCTGCTGCTACTGTCCGGCTCATCACCTGTAGGGCATAGCTGACTTTCATTTTTCAAAGCTGTTTGGCCTGATGTGTTTCTGGCTTAGTTTTGGAGCAGCCCGTGGGAAAGAAGCGCATTCCAGTGTGTAGAGTGTTTCTAAATGACTCCAAGAGGCTACTTCACCGTCTACTTCAATATCGTATTTCATTAATGCATTTCGTATGCATTTGAAGATGTGAGGCACGCCATACAGAGCAGCAACCTCGTGCCCGTCCACGATGAACAAGCCGGTTTCCGCAGCTCCGAGCAGTCTGTAGGTCGCCTGGTTGTTCTTTGACATGTCACAAGTTGTAGCTAGCACAGTGAATCCCGCTGTTGTTGTTACACGTTGGACACACTGTGTTAACAGCTGCTGCTGCACAACGGCCTTGGTCGTTCCGGAACTCAGAAAGAAACCGATGGGCTGTTTCCAGCGTTTGGTGACACTGACGCCCCGCACCATCATGACCAAGGCGTGGTCGGCGCAGGCATTGGCGCGGCAGAGAGAGCCATGATCAGTGAAGCCCTCGATGACGTCATCACCCCGCTGGTAGGCCAACCTTGGTTTCAGCTGCATTTCGTCGAACGAAATGATGCACAGCTTGTCCTTGGCACTTGCTCCGGCGAACTTCTCTTTTATGAGAGCCAAGATAGCGTCATGAAAGCCAGGTCGCATCTGTATTTTTTCCATCTTCCCCCGCAGAGTTCGAGGATGGGGAAGGACGTACCGTTTTTGTAGGAACCGATACGCCCTGGGACCAAGGCCATATATAGTCCTGGGACCCTGAAAGTAGAGCGCGAGTGCTCGCACTTCCTCATCTTCATCAAATTTTAGACGAATTTCATCGAATTTCATTTAATTTTAGACCAATGTTAAAACTCTAATGCAATGAATAATGTATAAATGCTCCCGTAACAATGTGTGCTAAAAGTTTCCAATAAAATATACGGTTACCATTTCAAAGTCACAGTCACAACTTGGCCCTTGAAGACGAATCATTCGACGATTGTTAAGAAAAAATGTATGAAATGTTAAGAAAATATATGAAAATGTAAACCCACGTGGAAAGAAATTCATCCGCTTCCTCCGGATCTCCGGATATTCATCCGGCAAAATCCTTGATTTTTGGTTACACACGTGGCAATGCTAATCGAAGCTTCTGTCCATTCCATGTCGTAGACTATATATTCCGTGCTACTAGTGACATCTGGGGACAGAAAATCCATGGATTCAGGCGCTCACTACTAGCAACATCGAGGTCCTAGGAGTAGGGACAGATGTGGCGCTCATTGCCCGCCCCCGTCAGTAGGTGTGCATACGTCCGCCACTACTACTAGGCAGCTTGTGTAAGGCGGCAGTGGGCAGAGAGAGAGAGAGAGAGAGAGAGAGGGAGAGAGAGAGAGAGAGAGAGAGAGAGAGAGAGAGAGAGAGAGAGAGAGAGAGAGAGAGAGAGAGAGAGAGAGAGAGAGAGAGAGAGAGAGAGAGAGAGAGAGAGAGAGAGAGAGAGAGAGAGAGAGAGAGAGAGAGAGAGAGAGAGAGAGAGAGAGAGAGAGAGAGAGAGAGAGAGGAGAGAGAAAGAGAGAGAGAGAGAGAGAGAGAGAGAGAGAGAGAGAGAGAGAGGAGAGAGAGAGAGAGAGAGAGAGAGAGAGAGAGAGAGAGAGAGAGAGAGAGAGAGAGAGAGAGAGAGAGAGAGAGAGAGAGAGAGAGAGAGAGAGAGAGAGAGAGAGAGAGAGAGAGAGAGAGAGAGAGGAGAGAGAGAGAGAGAGAGAGAGAGACGTCCTGGCGGCGTCCCTGTACTGGCGCTGGGAGACCAATGTTCGCCTTTATACATACCTTGTTATACGGGACGGAGCATGACCACGTCATACGCGAGTGATACGATGCTCAGGAGCCACCTTCCCCACGGGCACCTGATGTCGCTAATAAGCTACGTCTGTGACTGGACGACGGGTTATCAGCGTGTAACTGCGGATAAGTTCGCCACAGAGTTTTCAGCGGCACCGGTGCGAACTGTTTGCAGGCGTCCGCCGACCCGCCGGCCGTAGTGTTCTCCGGCGTCCAGCCGACCGGCACGCTCCACCTGGGCAACTACTTTGGCGCCGTACAACAATGGGTCGACCTGCAGAACACCGACAAACAGCTCATCTTCTGCATTGTGGACCTGCACGCCCTCACAACTCCTCAGGTGCGAGAATGATCTGCCACCCTATCTAATAGTACGCAATATTGATTGCAGTCATGAGCCCGTGAAGCATATTAAATATTTTTGCTCAATACCCATTAGGCGTTGTGCGTCCTGAATAGAAACTAGGAGGGTTTTAGCAGCGGACCTGTGCCATCAGTGATCAGCGTCCGCGGTCCGAGTCAGTTGCCGCCGGCTGTGTCTGACTGTATCTGTGCGTCCGCCGCCGGCCGTGTCTGACTGTATCTGTCCGCCGCCGGCCGTGTCTGACTGTATCTGTCCGCCGCCGGCCGTGTCTGACTGTATCCGTCCGCCGCCGGCCGTGTCTGACTGTATCCGTCCGCCGCCGGCCGTGTCTGACTGTATCTGTCCGCCGCCGGCCGTGTCTGACTGTATCTGTCCCCCGCAGAGCCGTGTCTGACTGTATCTGTCGGCCGCCGGCCGAGTCTGACTGTATCTGTCCGCCGCCGGCCGTGTCTGACTGTATCTGTCCGCCGCCGGCCGTGTCTGACTGTATCCGTCCGCCGCCGGCCGTGTCTGACTGTATCCGTCCGCCGCCGGCCGTGTCTGACTGTATCTGTCCGCCGCCGGCCGTGTCTGACTGTATCTGTCCGCCGCCGGCCGTGTCTGACTGTATCTGTCGGCCGCAGAGCCGTGTCTGACTGTATCCGTCCGCCGCCGGCCGTGTCTGACTGTATCCGTCCGCCGCAGAGCCGCGCTGAGCTGGGCCGCCGGATCACCGGTCTGACGGCCGGCCTGCTGGCCTGCGGCCTGGACCCGGCGCGCGCCACACTCTTCCTGCAGTCGGCGGTGCCGGAGCACACGCAGCTGGCCTGGCTGCTGGCCTGCCTGACGACGCTGCCGCGGCTCTCGCAGCTGCCGCAGTGCCGCGACAAGGCGGCCGCGCTGCCCGAGACGCCGCTGGGCCTCTTCAGCTACCCGGTGCTGCAGGCGGCCGACATCCTGCTCTACAAGTGGGTGCCGAGGCCGCGCCGGTCCGTCAGCATCAGCTACACGTCACAGGCAGTCCACGTCATTGGGTGATACCGTCACAGGCGGTTCACGTCACTGGATGATACCGTCACAGGCAGTCCACGTCACTGGGTGATACAGGTCCACGTCACAGGCAGTCCACGCAACTGTATGTTACCGGTCCACGCTACTCGGTACCGCTAGTCCACGTCGCTCGGCACAGTTAGCTCGCGTCACTCGACGTCGTGAATTTCTCGTTGGTGATTTTGACTGTTGCGCTTTATGTGTTTTGGATAGTGAGTCTATGAGGCTATAAACCCCCAGCCCTGCCGTTTATCAGTGTCAGTGACGTCGTCCCTTTTCACCCCCAGGGCCACGGAGGTGCCCGTGGGCCAGGACCAGCTGCAGCACATTCAGCTGGCGCAGCACCTGGCCAAGGCCTTTAACCGGCAGTTCGGCGAGCTGTTCCCGCGGCCGCGGGCCACCGGAGCCGGTGAGGGCCGCTCCGCCGGCACCGAGGCCAGGCCGTGCGCTCGACGGAGACCGGCTCCGGCGCTGAGCTCGGCTCCACACTCTGCCGTATCTCAGATTTTGTCCCATCAGAGCAGTCAAGTAGTGGTTAGGTGTGTGTGAAATCCTTGACGTGTCACCAAACGTGTAAGTCATTAGAGCATTATGTGGTAACTGTGCCCGGTCCGTGGTGACGCCCCCTGCGGCCGCCGCCCCCAGATGACGAGGGCGCGCGGGTGCTCAGCCTGCGCAACCCGGCGCACAAAATGTCCAAGTCGGACCCGGACCAGCGCGCCTGCGTCTACCTGACCGACTCGCCGGACGCGATCCGCGCCAAGCTGAAGAAGGCGCTGACCGACTTCACGTCGGAGGTGTACGCCGACCAGGAGCGGCGGCCGGCCGTCACGGCGCTGATGCGGCTGCACGCGCTGGCGGCCGGCACCGACCTGTCCGGCGTGGAGCGCGCCGCCGCCGGCCTCAGCACGGCCCAGTGGAAGCTGCAGCTGGCCGAGCTGCTGGTCGAGAGGCTGGCGCCCGTGCGCCGGCGCTGGCAGCAGCTGGCCGCCGAGCCCGGCTACCTGCACCAGGTGCTCGAGCAGGGCCGCCAGCGGGCCGCCGAGCGGGCGCACACCACCTGGGAGCAGGTGCGCCGACGGGTGCAGCTGCGGCCCGACTGAGGCGCCGCGGCCCGCACACACCCCCGATAGGTAGACTCAGTTGTGATAAAATAGAGGTATGTCGCTTATCCGGACTGTAAGAGGCAGCAGGAGAGAGGGAGAGAGAGTGAGAGAGAGAGAGAGAGAGAGAGAGAGAGAGAGGGGTGTGGAGGAGAGAGGAGATGTGAATAGTAATATGTACCGATTTACCAGCTGTTTTCTCGCGCCCCACTGGGGTCTGCGTATAACTCGCCCTACTGGCCCTCTCCCCTCCAAACTCCGAAACTACTGGGCGGATCGTCAACATTCAAACGGCGTCTGATAACCCCGGAAAAACTGTCAGGTGGAACCCAATTTAATTGACCTCGACGTCACCGATGACGTCACAGGTCAGGTCAAAATTAAAATCATCGATGTTTGGCTTGTTCCTATTTTGGGCTCCGGCCGCCGTCTTACAAGTCAGATCAGGCTCATGTTTGGTATACACACTCGTGAACAGATGCTTTAGATACCCTGAGGGTACCAAACTTGTACTTTGATTTTCAGGTCAAGGTCAGGTCATCACAGGTCAAGGAAATCTTATATCATGCGTCGGTCACCTCACACATGTTTTATGGTCCATTTACGCCATAGATTTCGCATTCGATATCGTTTATGTCATTCGAGGTCAGTTTGAGTTGAATTTAGCTAAGGTCAGGCCACTTTCATGTCAAAAAGGTCAAATTTTAAAGTTGACATTTTTCAACAATAAACGAACTATCGGATGCAGTTTGAGCTCAGGGACACGATGGTGCTATTTATATTGGTGTGCGATGTCAAATACGTACTGAACAATTGTTTTAAAATATTTTGAAATTGAAATTGAGTTGTGAAATTTTTGCTATAATGCGTATAACTTGGCCATTTTTGAAAATATCTGGCTAAACCTTGCTAGAGTAAGTCATAAGCATGTGTTCTATCACATATGTTCCGTATTTTTATAAGCCAAAAACGTTTTGAAAAAAGAAAATGTTGAACTTGAATATACAATTTTCAAAATTTTGAAAATCCGAGATAGCACTTTATAGCGCAGTCTATTCTGAGTCCTCCCATGCAAAGAAATTGGATCTAGCTTAAAAACTGAGCTCTTAGGAGTGATTGCCGTGGTTCAATGTTTTGCGTCGAAATCGGCCGAACATGACGTCACTCCGACGTCATTTTCGGCCGACCCATGGTAGCTACGAAGTTCATATTTTGACACAAGGTGTCAAATTGATGCATCCGAAGGCACTGAAAGTTTGGCGTCGATACGTCAAGCGGTTTAGAAGCTATTGCAGAAAAACGGGAGGGGGGGGGGGCTATGAATAGCCCCCCAGTGGGGCGCGGGTTAACCTTGGGGGGAGGGGGGTGTTATTGAGGAAGTAACTGAAAGACAGATGTCTGAAACATGGCCATCACAATTAAACCAAATGAAACGAGCTTTGACACTTATTGATAACAGATACTGCGAATTTACGTAAGCGTCACCATTTTATTTCGTTGTGAATACAAACCCTCCGACATTTGAGTGAACGACATTCATAAGCAGTCAACATTACGACGTGTTGCGATTATCCCACCGAAAACGGCCTACACGGCGCCTCTGCAGAGTTGACATTAGTCTTAAGTCCTACTACAGGCTCACGCCGACTATCGCCCACTACATGGCATGCAGGGTCGTCACGTCACTCACACAGAGCACCATCATTGCACGCGGCCATATCACATCACAAGGCAGCGGCCAGTCACCCGGAGATAAAACCTCAGCTCGGCCACCGCGCGCCGGCCGGCCGGCCGGCCGCTGAAAACAGCGTCTCTCGGCCCCGCCCGGCCGCCTCAATACTGCTCCGGTCGAGCCCGCGGAGGCGGCGCCGGCTACTATCAATGACTAGCTGGTGCGGGCAGCGCGGGGCTCCCTGTGTACGGCGGTCAGGAGAAGGGTTGGGGGGCGCCGCCCCACTGGCATTGGTCGGCCCGGGCCCAGTCCGATTCTAGCACGGGTCTCGATAGACAGCAGGCAGTGGGGGGGGGGGGGGCGGCGGCTTTAAGGCCGGTTCGGTGACCCGAGCCGCGCAGTACACGCTGCGAGGCCGTGCGGCCCGGCGCGGCTGTCGCTGAGGTAAGTAGAGGGGCGGCTGGGATGGCCGTGCGCCACGTCCGGCGGCCCGGAGCCAGCCGGTCGGCAGCTGCGCCGTCCCGCCGCCGTGCCACAGCCGGACTCCGGTGGCCCGGGCCTCCGCCGGCCGGCCGGCCTTACACAAAGTGCGACCGGAGCAGCTCGTACGTGCTGTTGATGATGCCCCAGCTGATGAGCGAGCGCGTGTAGTTGATGTGCACGCCGCGGAAGAGGGCGCGCACGCTGCGGCCGCGCGCCCGGTACAGTTCGGCCGTGGTGGCCAGCACGCCGGCGAACGGGCCGCCCACGCGGCTCTGCATGTGCGTCTTGACCACGTTCAGCGGGTACATGACGGTCGAGATGAAGGCACCGATCAGAGCGCCGCACGCAAAGTCCCAGGCGGCCGAGGAGGCGCGGCCGCCGTCGTGCGGCGCGGCCGCCTTGAGCCGCTCGCGCAGGCCGAAGAAGAGCACGTTGCTGGCGCTGTTGCGGAGCAGGATGGGCACCAAGCCGCGGTAGTACTCGGCCAGGCCGAAGGTGCGCAGCTGGCGCGCCGCGTGCCACGTGTTGGCGAACCGCTCGTGGTAGTGCCGGTCCTGCATCAGAATCTGCAGCCGCTCGAAGGGCGTCAGGAGCGCCTCGCTGGCGCCGGCCAGCGCGGCGGCGCTCATGTCTGCGAGGACCGGGTGCAGCCGCGGCGCCGAGCGGCGCAGCGTGCGCTGGTACTGGTCGTACATGCCTGCCGGGGCACAGCGGGGCGCCGGGGGTCACGCGCCGCGCCGGCCACGCCCGTTCGCCGGGCTGGCGTACCGCGCAGCTCACCAGAGACTGAAAAGGCCCCCTGCTTCATCCGTGACCTGGCAGAATCATTACCTTCCCAGGTGAATGAATTCACAAAGTTATTGATCCCAGTACGCCATACCACAAAATAGAGGGTAGCTCATCACCAGGCCCGACAGGTTTTCTAGCAATCGTAATCGCATACTGTATGACCACACACATTCAACAGTCAGTAAGGACAGGAAAGGCTAGCTTAAGCCAGGGGCCCTCAACCGAGTAAGTCTGGAAATGCAGTCCTACCAAGACTTTGATGCAGAAAGCTGCATGAGTCGTCCCAGATATCCAATTCAAAAGCCAGTGCATCTAGACGTGGGGAGCTCCGCTTACCGAACATCAGTGAGACAGAGACTGTTTTCTGGAAGAGGGGCGGCAGGATGCCGCGGTAGAGGAAGAACATGCCCTCTCCTCTGAGCTGGCCCAGTGCCGACCACATGCTGACGCCGTGCAGCATCTGAAGCACGCAGCCCGACGGCGGGCGTCCCGTCACACCCAGACAGACAGACAAACACCCAGACAGACAGACAGACAGCGCGCCGGCGGCGGGCGGCGGGCGGCGGGCGCCGGTCACACCCAAACAGCGGGGCGGCGGGCGCCGGTCACACCCAAACAGCGGGCCGGCGGCGACGGGCGCCGGCCACACCCACCTATAATTATATAGTTGTATATAGTTATAAAGTTGCAGTTGGATTTTCCAAACATGGAAAATGCACATTTCATTCATTGCTCACCTGTCGGAACATGACTTTGTTGATTGGGAAGGTGATTGTGATGTTGATGAAGGCGGCGCCCCAGCCACAGAAGAACTCTCGTCCGGGCGCCACCAGCGGGCGCGCCTCGCACGGCCGGTCCGGCCCCAGCGAGCTCATGGCACTGCGGCGGCGGGCCGGCTGGCCTCCGCTCCAGCGTCGCTGCACCTACAGGACAAGGGTGAGAGCGCGAAATCACCCCTCAAACCACGGTGAAGGTTAAGGAGTCAGATGTGACTGCCAAGCTGTAAATCCAGAAAGGACCTTGATGGGATCTGAGCCCCACAGGCCAAGTAAGGCTGTCTAAATTTAGTATTTGTAAGATAAGGTAGGGTTAGCAGGCACCCTAAAAACAAATAAATCAGTTTGAACTTGCAATGACTGAAAGCAATTGATCTTAAATCCCGAATAAAGATTGGACAAGTTACAACTAAATGCCAATTCCAGTATCACACATCCATGATTTTCTATGCCGCCACCCATTATCAGGTGACCAAGAGTGCCCCCTCCCTCTATCCCAGCGACACACATAACCTTACGTTAACACCAGAATAACTTAACATTGCAAGTCGCGGCACTCTCTGCTGGGAAATGAAATACAACATAAAAAGCAGAAGAGAGGAAAGCCATGCAAGTTAGTGGAATAAAAAGGAAGCAAAGTAGTCAACACTGCAATCAGTGGTGACTGCCCACTACTGAAAGTCCACCCAGTTTGTTAACACATTCACTTGTTAATCACATCCATAACATTCATGAACGTCACGGAAAGTGTCTAAGTCTGCTGAGGCAGGTTAGTTAGAGGGGGATTCACATTCAAGTAAGCTCCAGCATCACTCCACACAAAATACCTCATCTGCAATGCAGTGAAAACAAAAAATAACGTTATGCCGAATATGTCCGGCGAAGTGGCGGGATTGTGCCGAAAATTTCAGCGCACGTCCGGCATAATATCGCACGCGCCGAATTCAGCGCGGGGCGGCCACCGAATTTTTCGGCGAATGGCGGTCACCGAATTTTTCGGCACGCTGGCCAATCTAGCAGCAGATTCACCCTGAGGGCGGCTCTGGAAAGGGTTCGGGACGACACGTCCCTCGCTCCGGTCGTCGCCTACTCCGAATCGCGAGCCGCCCTGAGTCTACTCAGTGAAGGAGCGGCCGCCCATGTGAGGCCTCCACCCTCGGCGCGGAGATAGGTATGACAGAACTTGGTGAACATCGCAGAGTGTCGTGAAGTAATCCTGGATCGAAGGGAATGAGAGAGCGGACAGCCTGGTGAAACAAGCGGCCGCCCAGCTGCCCTCGGACGCCTGCTCGGCGCTCGCTGGCTCGGCCCGTTCATTGTGCGGCCTCGGGTCAACATAGATCGACAACTAGTCCGAGTTACTATTCAAACCACTCTTCGGGAGCACGCTGCAGCTCCCCATTATCGGAAAGGACCGAGAGGACGCCGTTTCGGTGCACCAGATGAGGGCGGGCCACTGGGGCCGCTCGCTTCAGTACGTGCACAGAATTAGCCGTCTCCCTTCCGCGGCATGCCAGCAGTGCCCGGACAAGCGGTGCCATCACAAGAGGCCGATGTCCTGGAGCACGTGCTGCTCCGCTGCCTGGTCCTCGCCAGCGTCCGCCAGCATCGAACACACTGCTCCGCCGGCCGATTTTTGTGGCCCCCGAACTTCCAGTCCGGGCCTTGTTTCACGGCGCGACGCTGCAGTGCGCTACGCTTACTGTGGTATTGTTGGGATTCCATGGAAGCATCAACTAATTCGGACGCTCAAACACGGGAGAGCTTCCGAGGCCGACATGCTATGTCTGGTTGATATAGCCTTGGCCAGTGGATGTACCTACACGTGTGCTGAATTTTGGCGCGAATAGGCACCCAACTTTCAGCACAAAATCACTTGCGCCAAATTTTGGCGCATGAGGGTCTCACGGGCGTCCGGCGTGGTGTGTGGATATTTTCCATGGGCAATACACCACTTTACTTCAGTGACTATTCAGGAGAGGCACCCTCAGGGAGCATTTTGCAAGTGCAATCGGTGTGACTGCATTGTAAAAATATCACACATTAAATGGTACCTTATCTATGGCTTTCAACCTACAACTTTCAAAAATTATAAGTTACATCGCTGAAAAATTCCTCCATTTGCCTTGCCATCTTGAAATACACGCTCTCAGGCCACCTTCCCTAACAGCCACCCAGTACTTCTGCACTTACTAGGTACCCAGTGCCACCAGACTGGAAAACATCCGTACACTACGCCGGACGCCCGTGAGACCCTCTTGCGCCGAAATTCAGGGCAAGCGATTTTGCGCTGAAATTTCCGCATGATTTGCGCCGACAATTGGGTGCTTATTTGTGCCAAAATTAAGCCACTTTTATATCAAGCACATGTACGCATCTACCGATCAAGGCCATATCAACCAGACAGAGCGTTCCGGGACCCTAGACGCTCTCCCATGTTTGAGCGTCCAAATAACTTTTCAATTTCCCGGAAAACCAATACCTCAATAGGTACGCTTAGCGCACTGTAGCGTCGTGCCGTTAAAAAAAAAAAACAAGGCCGGAGCCGGAAATTCCCGGGCTACAAAAATCGGCGGAGCGGTGTGTTTGAGGCTGGCGGGAGCCAGCGAGGGCCGGTCAGCGGAGCAGCACGTGCTCCGGCACATCAGCCTCTTCTCGGCAGTCGGCACATGGCGCAGAGCTCCGCGGGGCACCGCTTGTCTGGGCACTGCTGGCATGCCGCGGAGGGGAGACAGCCGATTCGGTGCAAGTACTGGAACGAGTCCCTATTGGCCCGCCCTCGTCTGGTGCACCGAATCGGCGTCCCCTCGGTCCGCTCCGGGGAAACAGAAAGGGAGCGGTGGCGTGCTCCCGAGTCCCGAGCAATGGCTTGAATAGTGATTCGGACCAGTTATCGCGCCATTGATGCGAGGCGACACAATGAACCGTCCTGGTCAGCGGGCAGGCGTTTGAAGGCAGGGCGGCCGCCAGTTTTGCCAGGTCGTCCGCGCTCTCATTCCCCTCGATACCGCAGTGGGCAGAAACCCACAGCAGTATTACTCAACAGCACTCGGCGATGTTCATCAAGGTCTTCCAAACCTATGTCCGTGCTGAGGGTTGAGGCGGGCTTCACCTGGGTGGCCGCCCCTCCACCTAGTACTCAGAAGGCTGTTCACGGGCCCTGTGTGCGGTCGGACCGCACACAGCCTCCAAGCTCCGCCCACTGCGTCCCTACGTCAGCCTTCCGTCACCGCACACAGCGACCGCTGTGGCCGGTCGGGACCGGCCACAGGAAACCGTCCACCGCACGCAGCCGTGACGTCAGAACCGCCTACCCATCCCCTACCCCCACGCCTGCTGGACCTACCGCACACACCGCACGCAGCAGTGTGCGGTGCCCGTGAACAGCCCTCAGGTCAGCTTACTAGTTTGAGCGCGTGACGACCAACGCGGGGACGTCTCGGCCCTGTTTCACCGGTGATAGCAGCACGCTGCTATCACACGTGTCAAATTGGGTTTCCATGGAAACCTCAACAAACCATGACGTCGTCAATCTGTGTGATGTCATCAAATATTGCTGCTAACATATTCACGGCCGTGCGAATGAATCAAACGCATTCAACGAGACAGCAACTCTGTTCCAAACGTAGCTATGAAAAAGCTCACGGATTAGACGAAACGTCATTAGTATGACGCCATCACATTAAGTCAGCTCACGCAATTTGATAGTAGCGTGCTGCTATCACCGGTGAAACAGGGCCCTCGTCCCGAAACCTCTCCAGAGCCGCCCACAGGGGAATCTGGTGCTATAATGACCATCGTGCCGACTAAATTCGATGACCGTCTTTCGACAAAAAAATATGAGGTCACCCTGCGCCGAAAAATTCAGCCCCCACCATGCGCTTAATTTGACACATGCGAAGTTACGCCGGACATGAGCTGAAATTTTTGGCGCAATCCCTCCGCTTTGCCGGACATATTCGGCACATAACAGTATTTTTTTCCAGTCTGGCCCAGTGGCCAGAACCCATCTCAGTTGGGGAAACTACGAGGTGATGACCATATATGGTCATACAACCAGAAACTTCATCTTTTTCATGCATCCTAGCATTAAAATGAAAAAATAAGGCATTAGAATGTAAATTAACCACACAAGGCCTACACTCACTCAGTGCACAATGCACTGGTGGCTCTAAATCACAGAGTTACATTACAAGGTCAAACAGTGATTGGCTAATATGGCGGATTGAAACAGACACGCAAAAAAATGTAAGCACCACCATGGTTTTAAAATGTCATTATTTTTAATATTTAGCATGTTTTTTTTCCAATTGTGGGTAAATTATCATTTTAATATTAAACATCTTTAGTCATTGTAATGAAATTAAATCTTATAACAATTTTCTTTCAAAATACCGATCAATTTATGGAATTGCCAGCTGATTGTGACGCCCAGAACCTGCAGAAAAGCTGTTTTTCTATCGCCATTTCCGAGTGAATTCGTCAAAATTAATCAAATTGGGTTAATTCCTAGTGGAAAATGGAAGCCTTTTCTCCCCGACAAGTGGACGCGATACTGCAAGTACCGGCCGGTTACACCGTTTCTTCACCCGTAGTAGCGAGGGCTGCATTTATGTCCATATATGGTCATCAAAAGTCTTTTTATTGACCGATCCATTTTTGGATCTTTGCCTTGTAGTTTGCGCAACTGATCTTAGACTAAATGCCTCCTTACTGAGTAGCTATTATCAAGACTGCCATGCCCAGCAGTCCAGATCTATCACAGTTAGAGGATACTCACCTACTTTACAATACGGCTATGACAAGCAAATGGTTGATAGCTTTGGCTATTGGAAATCCAAACTTGAATGTCTAGCAAATGCCTCATCAATCGCGGAAATCGGGAGGGAAATAAGTCACATTCTTATTTGCAAGGGCAAAGACAAACCGAGAAACTAATTAAACTTGAACCCCCCAGGGATAAAATATTGTACCAACAATGAACGATGCCCTCTCGGTTTATAACTGTAACGCATAAGCCCTATCATCTGTCACTCGGACAAAATTTCGGTAGTTAAATGGAAAATTAAATACACTTCGATATAGTCCTCACTGGTCCTCACTTCTTCTTCTGTTCGCTCCACATTGCAAACTTTTTGCTTTTGCGTTATCTGTGTTGTTGATTCGCTGCTGTCGTTCCTCTGGTGTCTCTAATTGGTGAGGTTATAGCCAGTTTTTAGCAGTCTTCAACTCAAGTGTAAAATAGAACAGTGGGCACACATTCACGTTTGTAGCACAAGCGCCATATGGAAGCAAGTGGAAGGAATTTTGCTTGCATGAAAATATTGAGAGCCGTTAAAAAAAACATTTTTCCTCTACCTTTTTATTCCACTGCAGGTGTTTGCCTTCCTTTCCTCGAGTTATCTTCCTCCTCACAGAGACTGGCGTGGCAGCTACGAAGCAAATATGAATATTACCTACCCAAACACAGAATAGTATGGCTCGAAGCATGAATGCTTTTCATTTTTTTTTCGAAGGAAAATATAATGCTCGTCGGCCTATTTGTAAAGTAATCTTGCGTCGGTCTAGCAGTGAACTGAAATTGCGCATCGAGATCGGGCTGACAATACCTATTCACCGCTTCCGAGTATAATATGAACCTATAATAGAATGAGATAGCGCTAGAATGAAATTGAAGTAATTAGCCGACGTGTCCGCTAATTGCTCTCTAACCCTTGATCTAACCTTGAAGAAATAGTATGTAGTGCTCTTGCGAGGAACATCTTGATATATGTAGTTAGGATTTCAAATGACCTTTTCCTCGATAATTAATTGGAAATTCAATAAAAAGTAAATATTATATTGTTTGGCAAATTTTCGAACAACAGTTCATTCTCAAGCCACATGAAACAATTGACATTTGGCTTGTCAATTGTTTCATGTGGCTTGAGAATGAACTGTTGTTCGAAAATTTGCCAAACAATATAATATTTACTTTTTATTGAATTTCCAATTAATTATCGAGGAAAAGGTCATTTGAAATCCTAACTACATTGATCTAACCTTGATCTAACCACAGTGTATATGATCTAACCCCAATACTCATTCCGCACTATTCTGTTCAGCCCCAATTCAATTGATAAATAAAATATTGACGTTTTTGATATTTTGATATGCAAAAAAACTTACCTGTGGCCAAGGCCCTAAAACATAAAACATAAGGCCTCATGGCAGAAGATTCGCAAATATCAATATGCTGTCTCAAATATGAAATATTCAATCTGCTGTCGATATCGTGCTGAGAAATATGTAGTTGTATGAATACGCGCCAACTCGTGAAAGCCACATTTCGCCGGCGTCGCGCCACATTCGCGTTGTTTACTGTGAGCGTGCTTCAGTCGGGCGTGCGGCGTGTGTTTCGTGGTGCTGCGATAGATGGCCTTGGTGCTGCGGAGAGCGAGGCAATAGAACCTGGACAGGGTGGGATCGGATGGTGGATAAGTGCTTTTCCGTTTTAATAAATCATCAGAAATGTCGGCGCGAATGTTTAAGAAGACCACTTCCACGATGTCTGTGTCATCCGGCGGTTCCGCCGCTGCCAGCCCTGCCAGAAGCCGGTCACCTTCCAGTCCTGCCAGAACTACGCGGTTAGAGGAAAAACAACAGCTTGCTGGTCTCAATGACAGGCTGGCTGCATACATTGAGAAAGTGCGCTCGCTAGAGGCTGAGAATAACCGCTTGTCTCTCCAAGTGCGCACATCTCAGGAAGTTGTTACGCGAGAAGTCTCCAACATCAAGTCGCTATATGAAAGTGAGCTCGCAGATGCAAGAAGGCTGCTGGATGAAACAGCAAGGGAAAGAGCGAAACTGCAAATTGACTTAGGGAACTTGAAAACGGAAAGGGATGATCTTGCTGCCAAGTAAGTTTCTTTTATGACCTTCCATCTTTGCCTACCTATGGACTGGTAGATCCTGAAACGTGACGTGGGACACAGGTGTAAGGTGGCAGTGTCCGCAATCTTCCAGTAAGATAGGTACCTATTTAGGGTGGAATCTGAAAACAGGGTGCACATTTCAGTGTCATTGCACACATTTCAGCAACAGTGTCATTGCACACATTTCAGCAATATTGCAAGCAATTTTGACAGTATTGGTATGGCATGGTCAATGGTGAACTGCATTGAATTGTTTGCACTATCACTATAGGTAGGTACCTACTGAACTGTGTGCAGTAGTACCGCACTCAGTGATCTCAGAAGCGGACTGCCCGCGAGGACTCAGTCAAGGGGCTATGAATGCGGGCACATCAAACTTTTCTTTTTATGAATTTATTTTGAATGTTTAAATGGGTGGTTCGACAGAGCTGAAGCCCACACTTAGGGCCTGTTCCAGCGCCTCCAGTAGAAATTCTTGACTGGAGGCTCTACCAGAGGTTTCACTGGAGGCGCTGGAATGCAATCTGGAGATTTCTGGAGATTGGCATCACAGATACCAAAAGAATGACAATTGTTCTCTCTTGAAACACAAAATTTGTTTTCAATTTTATTAAGAAAGATTAACAAAATTATAGCAATGTAATTTTCTTTACATTCAAGTTGTAAAATAATCAGTCAAAAGTCCTTTGTTTACATTTGTGATTGTCACATGTGCGCCATAATTGTAGACCAGAGCCTCCAGAGAAATTGGGACCTCCCAACTCTGGAGGCTACTGGAGGTTTCCGGAGCTTTGGCGAGAGCTTTCTGGAGCTTTCTGGAGGCGCTGGAACGCTCTCTGGAGGATTCTAGAGCTTTCTGGAGCTTTCTGGAGGTTTCTGGAGGCGCTGGAACAGGCCCTTAGCAGAGCCTGTTGCGTAGACCGGACCCCCACCCGCCACCGTTCTATCACGCTATTGCGGATAACAGGAGAATTTAGATGTCAAAGTTTAGCATGCCCTTCAAAGCCGGACACAGCAAGTCCCTCTCAGGCTGACTTCAACTGGCTGCGGCTGCCCCCACCAACCGCAGACCATCCCTGTCAGGAGTCTGGAATACCGAGCACCGGAGCGACTCGAACCGGGGCTCTCAGTACCAGGAGTCCAACGCTCAATCAACTGAGCTACGGAATGGGCAGTTTAAAGCTGTATGTACAAAAGCAATAACAAGTATGAAATGAGAAACCTAACACATGAGGCGAATTCGGGCTCGCACGGCACCTACGACTTACTACTTACGGTACTATCATGCCTGGCCGTAAAGTGTAGGTAATTGCAATGGGGAAACATTTGCAAAGTGGAGTGAGTGAGAAAAAGAACAAACGGGTGGTATATTTGGTCGGTGACACAAATCTTACTAATTATATTTTTGAAATTTTCGCCTTAAAGTTTTTGATATAGGTAAAGAAAAACTGAAATGTGATAGAGCTGGAGTCAATTTCAAAATTGACTCCAGCTCTATCAATTGCCGTTTGGCCCCTGATCGACCTAGAGCTTCGCGGAAAAGACGAGCGTGTTGCCCGTGACGAGAGGAAGCCGATGGTACCCAATTTTAAGGTCCTAGGTTATCGGTTGGCCTTTCAGGTCAGGTCAATGACCAAAAAGTGAGGAAGCCGGGACCTGTTAGAACGTCGTAGTGTGGTTGCTACGGTTTTTCGGGGTACTGATCACGAATATCATGTTAGTTTTGATCAAAGATATCTTCATGCATTTAGGCCAGTGTGGATCAGGTCAGGCCAGGTCAACCAGTAGGGATCCTGCCGGGTATTCGTAGTATGTGTCAACCGCCTCTGACAGCTTCGTAACATGTTACGAAGGCGCCAAAACTACTTCGTAATTGTTGAAATGGCTGCTCAATTCGAATTCAGTTCCAAAAACTAGCTTAGAAACATGTAAAACTAGAAACATATGAAAGTGAACCGAGGCCATCAAAGGTTAGTGACCTGACCTGACGGCTTACCGTCAGGTGACCTTGACACCCACAATAATGCATGTAACCAACATCATATCACATGTTTGAATGTTTGAAACCAAGAGAAGACTGCAAACGTGCGGCTAATGCGAGCCGACATACGCCAGATCGCGATTCCGGCCAAACATGGCCTCGAGAAAGAGGTCACAGGTCAAAGGTCATTTGGGTCAGGATCATGGAATTTTCATTTTGGGTGTAAATTGGATTAACTCGAGGGTACTGAAAGTGCACGTGTAAGTGGGGCATAAAGTCCCCCCCCCCGTTACGTTTTGTGAAGTATTTCCGAAACCTGATTAGCTACTAACTTGAAACATGGCATAGCTTCAGATGAATTTACCTAGGCAATGTTTGAGCGCAAAGTTTGGTGGTTTTAACACTGAAGATGACTTCACAATGATGTCATAAAGTTTTGTCGTTTTCCGATATGGAGCGTTTCTGATGTCGCTGAGTATGAAATTCAACTGTAAACCAACTAAACAGCACCTGCTGTCGCCCTGACACATCTAAGTACGCTTCCAGCTAGTTCCTGACAAATGAGCGTACCTACTTTATATTCGGTCTCATATATCGGATATATCGTGATGAAACTAAGAGTCGCAAATCTATACTTTGACCTCTGACGCTACTCTGACGTCATTTCAAATAAGATCGACACCAAATTTGGACACAACCTCGGCTAGGTATTCAGGAAGATGTGTGCAAACTGCAAAGTTTCGCCTCTTTATCTCTTCGCGTTGCGACGATATTGTCTCGGAAGTAAAGGGGGAGAGGCAACTAGGTACATGCCCCCTTCAGCGGCCGCCGGTTTAATTAAGATTGCTAGACACTATTTTCTAATTTAGTGACCAAAGTTGACCGTAAAATATGCGTTACTTGACCTATGGTGCTATACAACAAACCATAAAATTGCCTTGTCCTTTGTGACCTAGGATGACCTAGCTTTAACTTGAGACGTACCAAGTAGGCATAAGCTCTGTACCAACAGAGTATCACCCGGCAGTTGTTGGGGTATTTCGCCACCCGCCATATTTGTTGGGGGGGGGGGGAGGCGGTTAATGAGTGCGTTAGCCATATATGAGCTTGATGTGACATATGTGAAGGGGCCTTTCTTTCTTAACTTTCCCTGGACATAGCATACTTTTACATGGGCCCTGGCCGGGACTGGTGCACCCCCCCCCCCCCCCCATGGACAGTTAGGCGTTTCACTGCGGTTCTGGGCACAGTGACTGGCGACGGAGCCGGTGCCAGTGCCGCCGGCCCTCGTTCCGATATCTGCGGCCACGCCGCCCCGATAGGCACTGTACCGACAGCCAGCGCCCCGATATAGTTAGGCACTGCTTCAATAGACGGTGCTGTGATAGCGGGTACCTATGAGCCGCCATCCCGGAGGAAGCTCTCAAAGTCGATTTTCATGCGGGAGTAAGTTGGTTCGCTCTCAAATGGGTCTGCTTTGGACGCAGTGCTATTCTATTGTTTGCGCTGAACTCGGGCAGCGTCCGTTGCTGGTGCAGACACGGGCGCCGGTTTTACGATGGTTTGACGGCCCGGTGAGCCGGTGCACGTCGTGCAGACATGGTGGGGAGCGCGGCAGTGGCGCCCGCCGCCCGCCGCCCGGTCGACGCCGCGGGCGTCCCTCCTCCATGGCCGTCAGCAGCGGCGAGCTGACCACGTGGTCCGAGCTCACAGCACCGTCCCGGCTGGGGGCGGTGGAGCTCCGTGGAGCTGCGCGGTCTGACCTCGGCCCGGTCCGGCCGGCCGCCGCCCTGTCTGCTCTGCCGCCCGGGGCCCAGCCGGCGGCCCGGCCGGCGAATCCGAGTTCCATCGCTGTACCGAGCGGTGCGCAGGCCGACGAGTCGCAGTACTAGCGCAATGGGTGGGACGGAGCGGCAGCGCGGTGTGCAGCGGAGGCACCAGCGCACGGCGTACCGCGCTCAGCCAGTGCCCAATGTTCCCGCTCAGCCAGTGCCGAATGTTCACCTCCAACGCTGGCTGGAGCTCGCCGACGTCCGGGCGGCTCAGTGGTGCTCACTGTTGGCCGTGGTCGATGAGTGGCATTGGCGCGGGTCGGCTCGGAAAGGCCGCGGCGGTGCTCAGGCCGTGGGATGGTGGTGCGCGGCCGGTGGGTACACGCGGCACTGGCAACTGTCGGACGCTTTGGTCGTGGAGCCGCGCGCCGCGGAGCGCCGGCTCTGTCGGGAGGGGGCGGGGACGCCGAAGGTCAGATTGCAGCGCCGGCCAGCGCCCGCCCTCACCGGCTGACGTCACTGACGGGCCCGCCCGCGCTGTTTGAACGGCGGCCGTTGCCGAGTCCGGCACCCGCGCGGGGGGGGGGGGGGGGGGGCAGCGTCCGCTGATCCGTGCCAAACGTCCGCGTGGCCCGCCGTCCGGCTATCACCAGGTGGTAACGGAGCATGCTGGGTTCGGCGGCATGTATTAGGAGACCTGCCCCAGTCGGCGCCCCCTTCGTACTTCCCCCCCCGCCCTACCAGGCGGCGGCCGGTCGCTGGTAGGGCGGCTGCGGTGCTGGTGTTTGGTGGGAACTGACTGCCCCCTCCCCCTGACCATTCGGTTATCTTATCATGGTTCTTTACGCTACTGTACCGATCAGTGCGCACGGCTCGGCACCGGGCTGCTCTCATGGCTGGGAGCCTGTAAATACTGTGGAGCCCTGGCCTGTCATATCGAGCGCCGACCAGAGCCGATGTGCTATCAATGATTAAATATGAGACTGGGTCCCAGGACTGTAAACTACGGCTGCTTGAGCCTAAATTGGACACATTGTTACCGCAGGTCAAGCTAGATGAATAAAAAAGAAAAACTTGCATCATGGCACATTTCGCATGTGGGAGGATGGAGCCTCGGTTTCAGCCGTCTCAACCGGGAGCTTACTTTATATGTGAATCGCTTAAAACTCCCAATATGTTTAGACCACTTATAATCGCTCGGTAATGACGGAGCAGGCTGGCGGATGGTGTCGGGGCGGAATTTCGGCGGCCCCATCCCGGCCTGTGTCGTGGCTGGGCGGCATCCTCTGTGGTCCCTGACCCCGGCGGACGCCGCTCAGGGGCGACGGCCGTACGTACGGTCCCGTCCGTACGCCCGCTACCCGGCCCGCCGCGGGCCGTAGTACGCCAGGCCACGCCGGGCCGGACGCGCCCCGCCCTCCCGCGTGCTCAGTTGGAGCCGGCGTCCGTCAGGTGGCGCGGGTGGGCGGTCCGGATTCAGCCAAGTAGCGGCGAGCGGGCCGACTCGCGGCCTGAATGGCTCGCCTGGGAGGTGGATGAATGACCAGTGGCCTGTGCGGCTGCGCCTTTCGAAAATGATAGCATAGCGCTGTGTGGGGTCACCTTTTATGTGAGGCAATTAGGTACCATTACTGATTAAGCAATGATGGCATCTTTGTTCGATGTCATTTATAATTTATTCGGTCAGTCGGCCTAGGTTATAGAGCCAGATTATAATCGCAGTCATTCGCAGTGTGGTCTCTTTTTATTGTTATATTTTATTTTTTATTATTTTTTTTTGTGGTAAAGTAGGTTTCAGAATTATAGAACTTTAGATAACGGCTAAGTATAGCCCAAAAAATATATGAGGGTGATGCCGGATGCGGCACTGCTTTGCTACACTTCGCTTTGACGGAGCATTTCTTGCTAGCCAGCAACTATGCAGTGTGCACCTTTGGAACATGATAAAGGGCGATTGCCGATTAGACAGAAATGTCGAATTATGTGGATAGGTGCTTGTTATGATGCCAATAATACCTAATATTTTTTAGACAACACCTCATCTTAAACCATGCCGGTGAGGGTGGCACCCTATTATACAGTTTCCCGGGATTTCTTGGAACGCGCTAGCGATAGAAAGCTGAAAGCTAGCATATCTGACCTTTGACTCGAGCCGGATCTTGTATGTGATACCAACAGCATTGTCAGGTCAGGTCTGTTCGCTGTCCTGTGACGCCAATGCCATACGTGAACCTCTACACGGCACTTAACCCGCGCTTGTGGGGTCTATATTTATAACGCGACCTGGTGGGGGGGCTGTTTTTGCCCCCCTCGTATATCCAAAACTACTGGACGGATCCGCAAAATTCAAACGGCGTTCGAAAGCCCTGTCAAATTTGTTGAGGAAAATCCAAATTCCAATTTTATTTACCTCGGGGCCACCGATGACGTCAAAGATAGTGTTGTGCAGGTCACGGGTCTTCTAGGGAATGAATGCGCTGTAACATCGAGTAAAACGCATTATATCGAAAATCAGCGAAAGGGCGTCAGTTGCCTAGTTCATATGTTGCTATTAGAGGTCACTAATAATACCAGGTCAGGTCACAGGTCAGGTCACCTAGGGTCAGCACAGGAACCCCATTTTACCAAGGCTGTGTGATGCATGTTTTATGGCCCGGAGCGAGCGAGGCGAGCGGAGTCTTTCCCATATAACGGAAAAATCTCAGTATCAGCGGCCCCGGCCCGGCCCGGCCCGGCCCGGCCCGGCCTGTAACGCTTTTGCGAGACTTGGGTATATCTCAACAACCACTTGACCGATTTACATGTAATCATTTTTGTAGGATAGCTTAATTCCTTCTACCAACTACCAAGTATTGGACTACTCCCGATGCATGTGGGTGACGCCTTATGCACGTGCCACGTGCAAAACGAAGAGGTGTCAGTTTTGAAACAATTACAATATCTCGGTAACTACTGGGCCGATTGCGCTGAAACTTGGCATGTAGGTAGGCACCCACTAGGCTGTGCATATCCATGTGCCACAGTTGGGGTGCTGCTGCATGTGCGCACGTGCAGGGGTCGATTCCAGATCTCGAGAACGGCTGAACCGATTACGCTGAAATGTGGTTCATGGTTACTGGTTAGGGGCCGGTTAGTAGCGCGCCGTGCAAAAGTCAGTTGGGACCCATTTTGCACGTGCGCACGTGCAGGATGCCGCTTTCAGATCTCGAGAATGGCTAGGCCGATTGCGCTCAAATTTGGCACATTGCTAGAGACCGGTTAGAAGGGTGCCATGCACAAGTCAGTTGGTGGTCCCCCTCACAATATCGCACGTGCAAGGCTCACCCTCTCGCTCGCTCTGTTTGTCGCCCTAGAAGGCGCTTTACTGGTGGCCGATTTTTCATTTTAAACTCAATGGTGTTGGTGACAAGGCCATCAGGAACAGTTCAGGTCACTTCCTGGTGGAGGTCAGGTCAATGTTAGGTCAAGAATGGTCAGATTTCAAAGTTGATATTTTTGCATAAAATGGGTATTGACTCGATCCAGCTCGTCACGGCGAGTCTGATGGTGATCTTTGTTATGCACTACGTTATCTAGAATTGCTAAAAATTGATAAAAAAATTGACGTTATCAATTTTTTAAACAGTTTTTTCGCTATAACTTAGCCAAAAAAGAGGTAGGTATCGATCTTATATTTAGTGTGTGAATAGAAGTCGGTAAGGGCTATCACATATATTCCGGGTTTTTCGAATATCAAAAGTCTTTTTATATTTTTTGCAATTTTTTCATAAAACTATTTTTTGATTTTAGGGGTCAAAATTAAAAATCCGAGATAGCAGTTTTGTAGCCTGGTAATTCTATACCTTTAATGTCTTAAACGTTTTTCCGTATCTTCAAAGCTATAGGCCGGACAGCTCTTCCCGCGAAACTTTTTTTTGGTCGAAAACTGCAGAACATGACGTCACTCTGACGTCATATAATAGCTATAATACCTATAATAGCTTTTGGAATTGAAAATTAGTAACAATGTGTAAAATTGATGCCCGGGAGGCTACTGAAAGTTTGGTGTTGATCGGCGCAGCGGTTTTGGAGATATATCGAAAAGTCTGGAGGGAGGCAAAATAGCCCCCTCCCACCAGGACGCGGGCTAATTGCTGCAACTGCGCAGCGCCCCCAGTGCCAGGAAATCCTTCGCGGAGAGGTCAATCCGGGAGATATGTGGCTCGCAGGGAGATGTCCGTGCCGCTGTGTGACTTTGTGCCGTGCCCCCGCCGCAGGCTGGTGCGCCGCGAGCGCGAGCTGGAGGGTGCCGAGAAGCAGGTGTCGCTGCAGGAGGCGCAGGTGCGCGACCTGCAGGGTCGGCTCAACCAGGCGCTGGCCGACAAGAAGAAGGCGCAGGACGACCTCAAGGTAACCGGCCGCTGCCGGGCCACTGCGGACAGACGGCTCCGCACCTCGCGCGCCGCCGCCATAGGGGGTACCAGCTACAGGGGTGCTACGATAGGGCGCAGTCTTACGCTCTGTCGCTTTTAAGCGCTGTCACCATTTGTGTCACTATGTTGGCAGTGCCGCCTCTGGGCGTCTGTGTGTTGTGCGTCTGACGCCCGGTGTCCGGGCGGGCGCTGACCCGTCTGTCTCTGACGGCCGCAGGATGCGCAGCTGGAGAACATGAAGCTGAAGAAGCAGCTGGACGAGGTGCGGAAGCAGCTGGAGTCTGAGGCGCTGGCCCGCGTCGACATGGAGAACCGCTGCCAGAGCCTCAAGGAGGAGCTCGAGTTCAAGACCAACGTGAGTGCCGCGGCCCCAGCGTCCCGACTGCAGCCCGATCGGTGGCGGCCGCTCCGGCTGGGGCCTCTACCGCCAGCGAACTGTTTTCTATAGACCTGTGTATACCGGTATACAGAGGTCTATGTATTTTCCAAAAGTGTGTGGTTTTTACAGAGAGTATGATTGGGAGAAATTGCATCCAATTTCGATTTGTGATTTGGATTCCATGCCTAAAACTAAGCCACGTCGTAACAATTACCTCCATGCTCGGAGGCCTAACCAGCAGCAGATGAGCAGGCGCGCGTCTGTCCATTTTTGTATAGTTGAACTGAAGGCCGTCCGCCTGTCCGCGCGTGACGCTGTCCCTCGATGGTCGCTCGGCTCGGCGTCTGGCCACCAGTGTGTTAATCTCCGGTGTGTCGGCGCTCTGTGCCGCCCTTTGTCGCAGGTGTACGAGGAGCAGCTGACGGAGACGCGCAGCAAGAAGACGGAGGAGATCACGGAGCTGGACGGACAGCTGCAGACCGAGTACGAGGCGCGCCTCCGCCAGTCGCTCCACGAGCTGCGCGAACAGTACGAGATGCAGATGCGCGTCAACAGAGAGGAGATCGAGACCATCTACGAGTCCAAGGTGGGCCCCGTCCGGCGGCCGGCGGCCGCGCGCCCTGACCGCGCTCCTAGGGCGGGAGGGCGGCGTCCCATACGCACTCGCAGTTTATTGTGACACGTTCTGTGGAACTGATGTGTGTGTCGCTGACATGTCTCGTGTCTCGCTGTATGGGACGGGGCCGCGTGGTACGACTGTGTGGGGTAGGGCCGCAGGGCAAGGCCACTCGCCGCGTGGGGCAGGACCAGGGGTCTGAGGCCGCTCTAACCCTGTGTCCGCGGCCCTTCTGACCGTCCCGCGCCGCCCCTCAGCTGGAGGACCTGCGCGCCGCCCAGTCGCGCAACCAGTCGTCCACGGCCACCACGCTGCGCGAGCTGCGCGAAACTAAGGCGCGCATCGACGACCTGCTCGGCAAGATCAGCGACCTCGAGGGCACCAACACCACGCTGCTGGCGCGCGTGCGGGATCTGGAGCGTCAGGTGAGACCGACGGCGGGTCGGCGGACCAGCCGACGCTGCTGATCCAGCCGGTGCTCAGCTCAGCTCGGCCCGTCCCAGCAGTGTCTGAATTATCTGAGAACTTACTGATTCACCTGACCTGTGACCTGACCTGTGACCTGGCCAATGACCTGAGCTGTGTCGGCAGCTGGACGATGAGCGCACGTCGAGCGCCTCGATGCTGGTGGCCAAGAACGAGGAGATCGAGCGGCTGCAGGAGCTGATGCAGCAGCAGCTGCAGGAATACCAGGACCTGATGGACATCAAGGTGGCTCTGGACGTCGAGATCGCCGCCTACCGTAAACTGCTCGAGTCGGAGGAGGCCCGGTGAGCGCGCCGGCAGGGCGGACTGGGGACGGGCAGGGTCGGACTGGGGACCGGCAGGGGTGACTGGGGACTGGCAGGGTCGGAGTGGGCCTGCCTGTGCTGTCCGGGGCGGCGGTCCGCCCGACTAGCTGTATCAGTGCGTCTCTCTGTCCCCTCAGTCTGTCTGTCTGTGTGTCTGCAGGGGCTGAGCTTCCTATACAGTTGGTGGGGCGGCTGCCCCACCAACTTGGTATTTTGCCCCACCAATCAGCGTTTTGTCCCACCAACTTTAGCTGATTACGGAGCGAGCGAAGCGAGCGGAGTCTTTCCTTAGATTAACGGAAATTTCTGAGTATGGGCGGCCGGCCGTGCGGACGCTTTTGCGAGGCTTATATCTCAGCAACCACTTGACCGATTTACATGCGGTAAATTTTGTAGGGTAGCTTCATTCTTTCTACCAAGTATTGGACTATTCCCGATGCATGTGGGTGACCCCTTATGCACGTGCCACGTGCAAAACGAAGAGGTGTTAGTTTTGTAATTGTTGCAATATCTCGGTAACTACTTGGCCGATTGCGCTGAAAGTTGGCATGTAGGTAGGCACCCACAGGCACTGCATATCCATGTGCCAGAGTTGGGGTGCTGCCGCACGTGCGCTGCCGTGCACAAGTCAGTTGGGACCCATTTTGCACGTGCGCACGTGCAGGGTGCCGCTTCCAGATCTCGAGAACGGCTGGGCCGATTGTGCCCAAATTCGGCACATCGCTAGAGACCGGTTAGTAGGGTGCCGTGCATAAGTCAGTTGGAGGTACCCCCTCGAAAGTTCGCACGTGCAAGGCTCACCCTCTCGCTCGCTCCGTTAGTCGCCCCAAAAGGCGTTATACTGGTTTCTAAGACTTTGTTGCTTTGCAAATCAATCTTTTTCGCATTGAAGAGCTTTGGAATGTCTGTTTAATGCGAAATAATATGTCCGTAATGATAGGAATTGATTCAGTGTGGCATTTTATACAACTTTATAATCGGACATTGTGGGTTCGGCGACTTTTTGCCCCACCAACTTCCCTGGAAAAGCTCCACCTATGTGTGTCTGTATATGACGTGTCTGTTTCGCGCCGTCGGCAGGCTGAACCTGTCGCCGGGCGGACGGCACGTGGTGGAGGTGAGCGCCAGCTCGTCGGCCCGCGGCTCGCGCGCCACGCCCTCGGCCGGCCGCGCCGGGAAGCGCAAGCGGATGGTGCTGGAGTCGGAGGAAGCCTCCACCAGCGGGTTCGCCGTGGCCAACACGTGCCACGGAGACGTCGAGATCGTCGACGAGTGCGCCGACGGCAAGTTCGTGAAGCTGCGCAATAAGTCCAACAAGGAGGTGCGTGCGGCCGCGACCGGCCGGGAGGGATAGGCGAGAGCCGCGACCGGCGAGGGGGGGGGGGGCGCCGGCACTCTGAGGCTCCGTTGTTGCTTGCGACAGGTTTTTTTTGTTGTAACTGTTTCTAGGTGGTGAAAGTACAAATGTTTTTTTCCATATAATGCTGGCTAGCTATTTATTTGGCGATAGATGACTATGTTTTACACGCATAGAGCCAAGAGGTGTTTTAGTCAGATAAATTTCGCGAGGTAAAATTCGGTGAGCTGATTGGCGCTCACTGCGGCGGCGGCGGCGTGGGAAGCTGATGTTCCGCCGGCGGCCGCCAGGTGTCTCTGGGAGGCATGCAGCTGGTGCGCAAGGCGGACGGGAACGAGACCGACTACAAGTTCCACCGGGCCATCAAGCTGGGCGCCGGCGAGGAGACGACCGTCTGGGCGTCGGAGGCGGGCGCCGTGCACGACGCGCCGCACAGCCTGGTGATGAAGGGCCAGACGTGGTTTGTGGCCGACAAGATGACCACCACCCTGTACGACATGGAGGGAGAGGTGAGCCGGGCGACGCACTGGGGAGGCGGCAGAGTGCCCAGGGGAGGATAGTGGCAGTACTGTATCGCCAGACGGTGCTGGATGCTTCACGTCTCTTGGCGTAGCACAGCGGAACCCTTGTGTTTTCCTTTTCATTGCTGTGTGCTACCTCACCGATGCATGTTGTGTGTTTGTCAGATTTTTGGTGTTGTTTGCTAGTTCCAGGGCCTGCTCTTTAGTGTCACGAGGCGACGCTGTGACGGCGGGAAGCTGAAGTAATTTTATCATTCCGTTGTTATTTTTCTGCTCGGTGTCACTTTTTTGCGTGACTAGTTCCAATTAGGTTTGATTTCGCCGACACGGGAAGCGGCTGTCTGGCTCCTTCCGTCCCGTCCCTTCCCGTCCCGTCCCGTCCCGTCCCGTCCCGTCCCGTCCCGTCCCGTCCCGTCCCGTCTCGTCTCGTCCCGTCCCGTCCCGTCCTGTCCCGTCCCGTCCCGTCCCGTCCCTGCAGCGGGGCCTCTGGCACTGACCGCCGTCCGACCGTTCGCAGGAGATCGCCCAGCGCGTCTCGCAGCGGGAGAACCGCTCTGCCAGTTTCACCACGTCGCGCCAGCAGGTGATCGCCACTGGCTCTGAGGAGACGGCCGAGGGCGGCGCCGACGAGTCGCGCGGCAGCGACTGGAGCCTGCTCAACATCTTCGGCGGCGGCCGGCGCGCGCTGCGCCAGTAGCGGGCCGAGCGCACCCGCAGGTGGGTCTCCGGGCCGGGCCGGGCCGGGGCGACGGCGGCCGCCGGGGCCAGTAGCAGACGCCGCCCAGCCGCTCGCTGACTGGGCTGTGCCCGCGCTGCACTGTGTCTGGACTGTGGGGTGCCCTGGTGATGGGGCGCCCCGTCTGGCCGCGCAGTGCCGCCGCCCGCGCCCCGCCCGCCCGGACGGCCCCCCCACCCCCACCCCCGTCACCCCGCCGCCATCGTGCTCGCGTCATCAGCCGAGCGGCCGCCGCCGGCGCCTCTCCTGTCGCCGCCGCTCCGGGCGCCGGCCGCCGCAGTCGCCCAGACCACCGCGGCCGCCCGCGCGCTTTTAGACACACCTTTTCTGGCTTTGTGGCTTCGTTGTAGTTGGCGCGGTCCGGCCGTGTCTGTGTACCGGTCCGTGGTATCCGTGAGAGCGGGCTCGTCCCGTGGCGTACAAACCACTGCCGCTGCTGGCCGCCCGTCCGCCGGCCGGCCGGCTGGGAGGTGCCCCCCCCCCCGTCCCGTCCCGTCTGCGGCTGGGAGGTGCCCCCCCCCTCCGTCCCGTCTGCGGCTGGCGGAGAGCAGCCGTCGTCTGTCGTCTATCTCGCGATCCCCGACCCCCCCCCCCCCCTGATCGTTGTGCTCCGGTTCACTGCCTGGCGACGCTGTCGCCGACCAGTTGATGTATTCATTCGCAGCGTTCATTCCCAGAAGGGGTCTTACTTGCGTGACATTGTCTCCTGGCGCCGACTGCGCATCCCGGCGCGTCCGATCCCGTCTTCTGTGCCGGTGTCGCGCCTCCCAGCCGGCGGCGGCCAGCCGTTTTATTTTTGTATAGGTTAGTGAGCCCAGACTCGTCCCAGAGAGGTGGTGCGTAATAAACTGTTCCAAATTTGACATCTGCTGTTTTCAGAGCTGGGCAAGTGCGTTCCTTTAGTGCGTTCCTGCGTTCTTCCGTACGTACGCACCGCCCTTTTTAGGAACGCAAGAACGCAGGAACGCAAAGTTTTTCAAAGGAACGCAAGTAAGAGGAACGCACCACCCGAAATTTTGAAGCGTTCCTGCGTTCTTGCGGAACCACCCGAAAAATTATATTGCTGCCAATGACCTCTGTGTCAAATGTTTGAATCTCGAGTACGTGTGTTTGCCGGTGCGCCACTTGTCAGTCGAATCGAGGAAGGCTTGCTTAGATTTAGTGGTGATGTTTACTATTCGATTCGGTTTCAGGCATTAAAGATTTTTGGTGGTGATGTTTACTATTCGATTCAGTTTCAGGCATTAAATGTGTAGAGTAAATATGATAACTTTTACTAAGATACATCTTTTAACTAAACTATTGTTTTTAAGCAGGTCGTATTTTTGTTGAAAACCCTACGGATGATATTGGTAAAACGTATTTCAGATATTCGATTCGGAAAAGAGATGTCGAGTTGCTTTTCGGCCCCACGACGCCACTCTGGGTATTCTGTGATCGATTCGCCCCGTGTTTGGTTGGGCCCGCGCCGCGTGGTTCGGCGGTATTTTTGAGGGAGGAACGCAGGAACGCAGGAACGCTAACGCACCGAACGAAAAAAAATTGAGGAACGCTATTCCAGGAACGCACTAACCGCGGCCGGAGGAACGCAGGAACGCTAACGCACTACCGAAAATCGAGGAACGCGCCCAGCTCTGGCTGTTTTGGTCGCCGACTGCGGAACATTGTGAGCGGGGTCATCATCAGACGAGCAGGCGTGTGGTTTGGGTGGGAGGTTACTGGGGTCGGGGCTTTGGTGCCTTGTGACGGTCACCGGCTACCTGCCAGTCGTCCCACACAGCCGGCGCGGGGCGCCATCGGAAGGATGGCGTCATATTCACAGAGCCTTTTCCGAGCCATTGTCCTATCGTGGTAAACGCGCCTGCGGTAAAAAACGCACCGCTAATCATTCACACCTGCTAACACATTTCAATAGCGTATGCATGGCAAACGATCTACACGTATGTTTTTTTTTCTTTGTATACAGTTTACAGACTCCCATGCAGGACGGAGTGGACGGATATTTCGTGGAAGGTTTGTGAGAAATGTTACGAATTTACTATAGATTTAATTGAAGCCGATGGTCAGGGACGGTGTGTCGAAACAGGGACGGGCTCCGACCGCGTATTTACAAATTGCAACCGAGCTCCGCCGTAGGGTATTTTATTTCCGCCGTAGTGTATTTCACTTGGGGGATTTTCTACCATACATCCGCCTGAGCTTAGGGCATTTACAATTTGTCGGCGACGTTCAAAAATGATGCACCTTTTTTCGCAGTATAGGATATCGCATGTGCATATTTCTGCCTTTTTTGGGTGCGCTTACGCTTTATCGGTTTTTCGTGAGTAACTCGCGTAAAAACCGTCCGATCGCGATGAAACTTTCATTACCCCCGATTTTATCAATTTTACACCTACCCTGAAAATTTCATGACCCTGACCCAAATGACCTTTGACCTGTGACCTATTTCTCGAGACCATGTTTGGCCCGAATCGCGATTCGGCGTATGTCGGCTCGCATTAGCCGCGCGGTTGCAGTTTTCACGTGGTTTCAAGCGTTGAAACATGTGATATGATGCTGGTCCCATGCATTAGGGTGGGCGTCAAGGTCACCTGAAGGTCAGGTCAGCTCAATGACCTTTGATGACCTCGGTTCACTTTTTCGAGTTTTACATGTTTCTAGGCTAGTTTTTGGAGCTGATTTCGAATTTAGCAACCATTTGAACATTACAGCGGGTGTAACGAAATTATCCAGACACCTTTCTTCCCGCTGTAAAAGCAAAACAATCTGGTACTTTTTCTTTTAACTGAGCTTGTAGCCACCTTTCATAAAAACACAGTTTACTCACCTCGTTGGTTTCTGCATATCTTTGGAGTGGTTTCAAAGGTCAGTCAGAGGGGAAATGAGGAACCCACACAGTGGCGAATGTTCTGGAGCATTTCAGCCAATGGATTCTCCAGCACACTGGCTTTGATGCGGACCAACGCCGCCTAAACCTGTGCCTGCGGTTGAGCAGTGCTTATGGCGGGTGGCTCCTCATACACCTCCTGCTGAACAAGAGCCCACAGGTTTTCGATTGAATTGGGATCGCGACCTTTTCCAAGTCATAAGCGTTAGCCCAGAATGATTGAAGGTTCTATCGGCATCACTATTCACTTCCCGTTCTTTTAGGGACTTTTAAGTAGCGCGCCGCCACACATGAAGACAGCGTGGCTTGAATCAGGCATCAGTGCGCGTTCAGAAACCGTGCCCTCCTATGCCGTCTGGTTGAGCGCCTCCAATCATGCTCCACCACCTTCCCTGGAAAAGCTCCACCCTTGCCTATGGGGCAAAATATAAGGGACAAAAACACAAAACAAGACAGATAAAAACAAAGCAAAATTAACTCATTACCTAATGAAATTCAGGCTGGAGCAAAAACATAGGTAAGGTATCTATGTCAAATAGGAATGAAAGATTAAAATCAACCTGACCAGGCCTTACGGTCTGACCGGGTCCTAACCACCTTACTTCGCCTAACTTGACCCAGTTCAACCTAGCCTACCACAACACCTGCAGAGGTACCTTCCTGGAAAAATGACGCCCAGGGAGATGACTGTCCAACTTATTGGAATACTACCATGATTGCTTGTCAAAATGTGTGTTATCATGCTCTTGTTTGACAAGTGATGTATAATAAATGTGATATTCAATAATTACTCCTCACTCCTGACTGTTGACTGTTGAGTGATCAAAATATTCAAATAATCAGGGTACAATCCTGTGCATAGTGCACACTAATCATGTTGTTTTTGTGTAGGCCCTCTGCACATTGTTGTGTGCACTGCTATGTGCACCTTAAGTAAAAAAGTGACTGGTGGTACATGACAAAAGGTTGGGCAACTGTGAAGTTCATGCCCTTTGTCTTCCTGGTGCCAAATGCCTATAGCTATAGCAGAATCAGTGAGGGTTGTAAATGTAGACATGCTAGATACATTGTGCATTGAAGATATTGGCACAAAGTTCATCCGTAATTACTATGCTTAACACCTAATGCAAGAAGCGACATAAATGCCCAGATGATAAAGCTCTCTGGTCAACATCACACAAATTTATTGACATACTTTGCAGGTACATGTTTACATTCATGGCAAATACTTTCGATTTGATTCAGAAACTAGTTGCTAGTAAGCTTGCATTTTTGTAGGTACAACAACGACCATATATTAAATCATAAAAAACCTTCTCATGGCATTCATCAATACCTTTCTACCGAACAAGTACCTTATACCTAGCTTCCATGCAATGATTCTAAAATTTGTCCGCAATCCATCTATATCTCAACTGACACAATGAATTTCAAATACCCTAACAAAACCTATAACTGTACATGAGAAGAATGCAATACTACAAGAATTATGAATTTCTGAAGTTATTCTCATATGCTGAATGTTGAAACTCTACTTTTGTCGTCCATTTCCATGTTTGATTGAGCCATCATATATAACTGTTTCCGTTCTACAGTCACAAGCTTTCCCACAAATCTTGAATTTTTACACATCATCTTGAACCATGCTCCAGTCTTTCCAACAAAGCAATTTTGATTTGTTACAACAGCTTCAGATCATGATATGCTTGAGGTTTGTTACACCATTTGCCAGACAAATCTCTACAAAATGTGTATCAATTCCCAAACTAAGTAATTGATCATATCAGTATTTGCAGTTTCCACACAATGTTTCATAATACTATTCTATGTTTATATAAAGAAACTCAAATAATCCACAAATTGTTATTGAAACACTCCCACTTCAAGAATTCACAGCAATAACAGTACAAGTTCAGAAGCAAACAAACATTGCGCCACATTTCGTATGAAACGCGCCATCGCCCTGAAGTTTCTACCACAGACGGTAGTTCAACCGCAGCCGTAGTGCTAAAACCCCTACCCACCTTACCCCACGGCGGAGCTCGGTTGCAATTTGTAAATACGCGCTCCGACCGATCCGTCCCGGCCGCGAGTTACCTAAGTGTGGAACTACAAGTCGATTCTAGGGCTCTGATTGGTGACTTTGGTCGGGGGATGACGCTTATAGCATGACGTCACTCGCGTACTTGGCCGGACCAACGGCGCAGCGCAGGCGCGCCGAGCCAACCCAGAGGCTCTCAAACTCAATTGTACAGATCCTGCGCATTGAATGGCGAAACTTCGGCGAGTTCGCTTGAGTTTGGAAGCCCCTGCCAGAGGACTGGAGACGGCCGGATTATTTGCTGGACAGTGGGCAGCGCAGATGGCGATTGACTGTGCCAAAAAGATGATAGGGAAAAAGGAGTTGAGACTTTAGCAGTGAATTATAAGCCTGTTGCATAGCTGAGTGGTAAATTGTAAAATACTTAGGGTTTGAAGAGATGCAGTGTAGTTTAGCCGACTCAGGGGCATTCTGCCGAGTTACCGAGTATGTAAGGCGGAAGGGTCGCAACTCGAAAGTCGTTTGTTTCCATGATTGCCTGATTAAAATGTAAAGCGTATCTAATGTTTAGTTGATAATACAGCGAGGTTGGGCATGTGCTCAATCCATTTCTTCTCTGCAATAGTGCATTCGCCACTGTAATTCATTGTAAGAGGCACTGGGCTGCGCCGCCTGTTAATTATTCCGAAACCACCAGTGAATTCATTTGCTGTCGTCACAGTCACTCACAACAATACGAATCGTTCAGTCGTGCGCTGGGGGTCCGCCAAGTTTAATTGTGCTGCAGAATGCAGACTGGACCGCCGAGAATATAACACTTCCGTCTCCCTGGGCGAGCGGCGCATTGGAGCCGAAGGAAACTGCTTCAGTTTTTTTTTTGTAGGGAGGATACCCATGTTTGAAAATTATGTTATGGAATGGTGTGATAAGGAAAA